AATCTCCGCTGCCACTTACCAGTATGGAACTTTGGGCATGTCGCTTGGTTTCTACTGTCTCACCTATAAAATGGAAATAAGATAACACCGCTCTCACGGGACTGCTGTGAAGGTTCCAATGAGTGTACCTGTGGGAAGTGCTGAGGATCCCATGCCAAGCACATAGTATATGCTCAGTAAACACTGGCTCTTATTTTTCTTAATAAGAGACCATTTCTCCACTTTACAGAAGAGCTGGTTTTTAAACTAGGTTAATGGACTTCTCACTCTAGGGGACAGGTGCTGGTGGGATCCGACTGCGGTTTGTAAATTGAAGATCAGAACTTGCTTGAAATCTGATCCAGCCATTCTCGTTTAGTTCATGGTGGGTGGAAGAAGGAGAGAGAAAGGGAAAAGGAAGGGGGGGGGGAGAGAGAGAGAGAGAGAGAGAACATTGGTAGAAAACAATGTCATCTCATGCAGATCTTCACAGTGTCTCAAGGTGTGACTCCCATGAGGTCACAGCAGGATCTCAATATACTTGTCAGTATGCTGTGGGTTTTGCTATGTAGGGGACAGGATGAGGGTGGAGGGCCCTGGAGAAGGCTGCCATAGCTGGGATACATACGGGAAACAAACTAGCACAAAATATGCAAAAACTCTCAGAGGAGACAGAGGTCAGGATTATACATAATTTTAGCTTCCTTTTTTTGTACTTGTTTTTTATATTTTCCAAAGTTTCTGCAGTGATTGAAGATTTCATTCCATCACCATATAAAAATGTGTTTTTAAAACATTTACAGAGAGGAATGCAATGAATAATTTTTTAAAACGTTGTACATGTTAGCTCTCTTTCTCACGTATATAGCTTGTCCAGCATCATTTTCTCTTTCCTTTTCCTCTCCACTTGTTTCTCACAGCTAATAACAAAAATATTTATCGCATAGTGTACATTTTACCATGTACATCCCAGACACTATGTCCAACATTTGGTAATGCATAACTGTTCTTAAGGAGTGATACTATTGTCACTCTTCTTTTTTTTTTTTTTATTTAAGAGGAAAAAGAGAAAAACACAAAACAAACCAAAGCGGCGTAAGGGTACACGCAATACAGAACTACAAAACAAAACAAAACAAAAAAACATAACAGTAAGAAATTACCTGCTAGTAGATTACACACTATCTTCTTGAAAATAGTTCCTCAAATCACAGTATCAAAGAACACAAGGTGGACATTCAAACAGGGAGACTGCAAACAGCTGTGTTCAATGTTCCAAAAACATTGATAAAGTCAGCTATTTAACACCCCCAAACACACTTGCTGTTATATCCGTTAGAGCTCTTTTTCTTTTTTTTTTCCCTCTCTTTTTTTACAACAAAATTTACACATCTTGGATTTTATTACTCCTTAGTGCTTATTACTTTCTTTGGGGGGGGGAAGAATACAGTCAAATATGGCAAAACAAAGCTGTCAGTCAATACCAAGGATAGCTATTGTCAATCTTCTAAAGATGAGAGAACTTAGACTCTTAAATCACTGAAGTGTGGTCCCATTCATCCCAAATCCTTGTTCCTAATCACTATTGTCTGTCTCTCTCTGTCTCTCTCTCCTTTTTCCACCTTCTCTCTCATCTTTCAAAAATCATCAGTAAGGCATCTTTGTCAATTCTGGGTTATAACCCAAAATTTCTCACCTTCAGCATGAATTGCATTTTGGACCAGGTCATTCTCTGTTGTGGGGGTGAGGGGCAGTGTACTGTAGGGTGTTTAATGTTATCTGTGGGCTTTGTCCATGAGAGGACAGTGGCACCCCTACCCCTCTCCCATACACCCAATTGCAATAACTAAATACCCAATACAACAATACTCTAGTTCACAAAAGCTTCAATTTGTGAGCAACTTGGTTCATGAACAGAAGTGTTCAACAAAGTTTGCTTCCATCTGTGAACTCTGCGTCAGTGACGAATATGACAATGTTCATCTTCCCCTCAGGAAAGGAAACTTGGCCATCTTTCCTGCTGTGATGTGTGATCTTGGCTTCCTCTAGTTGAGATCTTAGTCACAGCAGACCTGTGCCCACTTGCTATGAAACTTTTTTGCGGGCTTTTCAACACATGCAGTACCGTACAGCATTCCTGGCTTCAGCATGGTTCCAAAGAAAATGCAGACTAATCCGGGTATGGTAGTACATGCTGTAACCCCAGAACTCAGGAAACTCAAGCGGGAGGATCTCAGTGAGTTCAACGCCAGCCTGGGCTACATATCAAGACCTTGTCTCCAACATACATACATGTGGTTCAGAATGGATTAACCTTATTTACATTTAGCCTTATTGGAAAATTTGATTCTGTCCACAAACAATTCATTTTGCAACCAGAATCATAGAATGAATTCAGTTCACGAATGGAGGTGCCACGGTATGCTTCCAGATATGCCAGATATCCTCAGGGACCAAAACTACCTTCACTATGAACCACTGATGCAGCAGGTCTCTGCCAGAGTGGTGAAAAAGGATTCTGGAGGCCCTCCAGTTGAGCGATCACTGGTGGAAGCAAGCAAGAGCAGCCTGTGCTCTTTTGGCAAGCACAGACTCATCCCAGGCAGCTGCCACCTGCTAGGGACATTCCAGGGCAGGACATGAAAAGTGCCTCTGACAATAAAAGATGCAGGCCGAAGCCAGCATTCCTGCCTCTTATTGCAAAAACTGGGATGTTGAGATTGGAATGGACGTGGATATTTCCAGATCAGTCAAGGGCAGGGATCAGGCTCTTGGTGAAGATGCTTCTGGGTCACCCACTTTGGTCTCCTCCATAGCGCCTAGAGCACATCCACAGATTCAACCAGACTGCAAAAGCTCAGAAAAAAATTGGGTTTATGGTGAACATGGACAGAGTTTTATTCCTTGTCAGTATATCCTAAATGATACACTTTAGTAGCTACTGAGGGAACATTTACATTCTGTTAGGTATTGCTAAGTAAGTTAAGGATGATTTAAAGTATAGAGGAAGGTGCATATAGGTCCTATACAAACACTAAGTTATTTTATATAAGGGACATAGGCATCTTGACTGGTATGTACAGGGCATCTGGGAACCAGCACCCCATGAGACTGAGGGATGAATGCATTGATGTGCAATCATCTTTGGTGTTGGCTTTGAAAGTGGCAGCTTCATGAGGTCACTGGTGCATCCTCAGAGCCTAGGACAGTGGTCAACATAGCAAATGCTCAATAAAGACATGCAAAGTGACGTATGTTCCTTGGGAAAGCAATTTGAAAATATGTCTCAACTATGATAGGCCTTTGTCCTCAGTCGTTCCACATCTGAGAACCTTAACCCAGCTCCCCAACTAAAGAAAAATGCTTAAATGAATTAACATGTATCTATTGTACCCAAAACACCACAAGTGACCTAAAAAGCCCTCCTAGGTAATTACGATAAGGACATAGTGAACACAACCATATAAAAATACTTGGTGAAGTTCCAGGCATTCACTGTAAATATTGTTTACATAAGGTGAGTCAATTCTTATAGCACACACACACACACACACACACACAACTGTAATGCACAGTGCAAAACCTATGTGTAGTCAGTTACTGCGATTACAGGAGCAACCCCTTCCCCCAATCCTGGTGGGAATACAACATGCAATTCTTCTGGCTGGCAATTGTAAACTCCTATTGAAATGTAAGTGTTCATGTCACTTGACCCAACAGTTGCATTTCTAGGAATTTATTATGGAGTTATGTCAACTAAAAACTCAGATGTCTATGTATCCATGAATAGTTAGATAAGTCACATTCACCAATAGATATAAAACTATGTATCCATTAAAAGAACAGATTTGCATGCATTGACTGCGTACCCAAAATTATTAAATTAAAAAATTAAATTGCAAAACACATATTCTATACAGTAAGAACAATGTCATATATGACAGCGTAAGCATTTTTTAAGTTTGGAACACTACATATCAAACTGTTAACAATGGTTCTTCCTAAAGGAAGATTTTGTGTTTTGAATTTTTTGAATGTTTAAAAATTTTTCACATAAACTGATTTTTAAAAACCTGAAACGGCTAGGGATCTAGTTCAGTGGCACAGTGCCTGCCTGGCAAGTGTGAGGTTCTGAGTTCAATTCCTGGTACCCCATCACCACCACCAAAACAAAAACGAAACTGGTAACATAAACTGGCTCATAAAAGCCAGCATAAACCAGGGACATGAAGCCCAGAAAGACTCTCTGCTGCCATTAACAGCAATTAATCATTTCTGAGTAGTGGGATAAAGGGCAGTTTTTGGATTCTTCTTATGAGGATAAACTTATATATGATGAGTATGTGTATTAGTCAGAGCTGTCCAAGAGAAAAACCAGTTAGAAAAGCAGGGCATGATTTAGAGAATTAGTTCACAAAGTCGCAGTGGCTGGAGAGTCCCACGACAGGCCATCTGCAAGCTGGAGAACCAGAGAAGTGGGATGTGTGGCTTGGTTCATATACAGAAGCCTCAGAATTGGGGAAGTGAAGAATTGCAGCCTCAGAGAACCATTAGTATCCGTTCCAGATCCAAAGGGTGCAGGGTCTGCAGTTCTGATATCCGTGGACAAGAGGAGAAAGGATGTTTCTCTCCAAAAGAGGAGTAGGGTTGGTAAGAGAGGAAGACAGATAGAGAAACAGAGGGACAAGGAGGAAACACATGACTCCTTATTTCTTCCTTTTCATTTTCCCTCTGGCCCTCACTGACTGGATGGTGCCCACCCACAAAGAAAGAAGGTCTTCCCCATTCAGTCCGTGGCTCATTGGCCAGACTCCTCTGGAAACACCCTCATAGGCATCTCCAGAAACAGTGCTTTGCCAGCTGCCTAGGCATCCTGTAACACAGTCCAGATGACACCCGAATCAGCCATCTCCACATGCATGGTCTTTACAAGGGCTAATCCTCTCTTGCGAACTTTCTTTGTCTAAGTTGATATGTTCTGTGGATGTAATCTACTGTTGCATGCCCTTCTGTTTTCCCAGGATGGATGACATCCAACTCTGCAAGGACATCATGGACTTGAAGCAAGAGCTGCAGAACTTGGTCGCTATCCCAGGTACCTGTACAGAGCTTCACCTCCTATTAGCCACTGCTCAGGGACCACAGCCTACCCCATCTGTATTCCTGGGCTCAGAAGACAAAGTTCATGTCTCTCTGCAGCATGGCCTCATTCTTGTAATGCAGTGCTTCCTAGCTGCAAACTTAATTTAGGCAGATTTGTGTTCAAGTCTCAATTATGGCCACCTTTTTGACCTTGGACAATTCACTTTACCTCTCTGAGACTCAATTTCTACTCTTCACAACATAGGGTAGTAACAGTGATAGTACCCGACTCACTGGGTATAAATATCATTGTGACAAATATTCACTGCCAGCCAAGTACTTAGCTTGATATTTGGTCCGCAAAGAGTTCAGTAAATATTAGAAATTATTATTATTATTATCTTGTTTGGGAATGGGGAAAGTGTAGTGTTTGTGAGTGCTGTCTTAGGAGTAAAACCTAGATTTGCTATTTATTACCAGTATTTATAAGAGGAAAAGGGATTTATTTTGGTCAATGGCTTCAGAGCTCTTAGTCCATGGTCTCTTGGTCCCATTGTTTCTGGGCCTGTGGTGAAGCAGGACACCACGGCAAGGAGCATTTGGTGGAGCAAATCAGCTCGTGTCACAGCAGCTGGGAAATAAAGAGAATGAAAGAGGAAAATGCCAGAGACAAAATATACTCTTCAAGGTACATACGTCTCTTGTGACCTATTTCTTCCAACTAAGCCCCACGTCCTGATAACCCACCACCTTGCAAAAACCCATTAACCTATGAGTCTATCAGTGGGTCAGATCCCTCATCATTCAGTCACCTCCCAAAGGGACTGCACAGTTCTGAGGACCCATCTTTAATATGCGAGTTCTTAGGGGACTTTTTTTGGATCCAAACCATAAGTGTCTTATATTCCTTACTTGTAAAATGTGACCAGTAATGTGATTCTCACGTGATTGCCGTGAACATCCTGTGATGTGTGTAGGTGCTCGAGGTGGTCCTTCTGCAGATAGCGTATGCCAGAGAGCAGGAGCAGGTGTGATTGCTTTGACAGATGTATGGGTGCCAGGCACTCTACAGGCTCTGGGAATAAATGAATGCACACAATGTTCTAATTAAGAGAGGGCAGGGTTACTGAGGACATGGTTTCCCTGGGGGATGATTACAATGTTCTAAAATTGAGAGTTCAATTGTAGAGTACTTACCAGCATGTGTAAGACTTTGGGTTTGATCCCTGGTACCACACACACACACACACGCAGAGTTTTAAAATGGATAGTGGTAATAATTGCCCAACTCTAAGTACACAGTAGGAACAAGTGAATTACATGGTATGAATCATATCTTAATAAAGTTACCCAGAAACATTAATATGTAAAACAATAAATGATTGGTGAAAAACATTAAAATCCAGACACCACCCACTAGGAATTCGGATTCAGTTGGTCAGGTGAGGAACTCTGGCACTGAGAAGTGTTAAAAAGCTTTCCTGGTTGTGCATGCTAATAATCCCAGCTATTTAGGAGAACGAGATAGGAGATCCGTTTAAGCCCAGCCCGGGCAACACAGTGAGATCCCATCTCAGGAAAATAAAAATAAATAAATAAAAGCTTCCCGGTGGACTGTGACAAACAATCAGGCCTGAGAACCACCAGGCCTGTTGCCTGCTTTCATCTGCAAGCCCTTCCAGGAATAGTTAAAAAGTACAAATCCCAGTCAAGTTCAGATGGGCACCAAATGGGCAGTTACTGGGAGGAAAGAGAAGTCTTCCAGAGCCCCCGGATAGTGGATAGTGTTTGTTCTCTGTGGCTCCCATAACAAACTGCCACTGTTTGGGTGGCTTAACACAGCAAAAATGTATATTCTCATGGTTCTGGAGGCCAGAGGTCCAAAATCAAGGACCTGGCCGGCGGGGCTATCTCTGAAGGCTCTAGAGAATCCCTCGCCTCCACCTGCCTTCTGGTGACCCCTGTCAGTCCTTGGCATGAGGCCACCTCCAGTCTCTGCTTCCATCTTCACCTGACCTTTTCCCTGTGTCTCTGTCATCTCTTCTTCTTACAGGGACACCCATCATTGGATTGGGGGCCAGCTCTAATGAGTCTTACTTAATTTTAGCTGAATTAAATATATCTGTCACATAGCCTCCAAATTACTTCAGAAATAGGCTATTTCTGAACAGGATAAACATGGACTTTTGAGAGGAAATGGTATTTCCAGTCAGAGTAGACGTGACTCTGTGGAGATAATATTCACCCACTTCAGGATCGAAGCTCAGCATAGCCTCACAAGCTCCTGAGGCAGAAATGAAAAACAGGATGGTGTGGCTTTTCACCCCCATTTTGGGATGCTGTAAAAGAAAAGGCTACTCAATTTCCCTTTCATGGTCCCCCTATGCCACAAGCCAATTCTCAGGGCCTCTGTTCTAATTTCTATTTCTCAGGAGAGGCTGATGGGTTCAGCATGGATCACTATGATCTCTCTGGTTTTGTTTTGTTTTGTTTTTGAGATAAAGTCTCACTATGTAGTTCAAGCTGCCCTTGAATTTGTGGAAAGCCTCCTGCCTCAGCCTGCTGAGTGCTGGGATTACAGGCATGTACTACCATGCCCAGTACTATGACCTTTTTGAAGGGAGAATTCTTAGGGCCCACTGTTGGCTCAGGCAACTCATGGGAACTCACTGAGGCACAGGAAACCTGCATGTGTGACCATGGAGTCCCCAAGACACCTGCACGCCAGAGGAGGAGCAGCCTATAGAGCATTCATAGAAATAAGTGGTCTTTGTTTGAACACAGTGATTGAAGTGTATGGGTATTAAAGGTCAAATTTAGGGAAAGAAGGACAAAGCCCTTAAGAGGAGCCACTTGGGTTTTGGTTTTGGCTTTTTTTTTTTTTTTTTTTATGGTAGTGGGGGTGAAATTCAGAGACCTGCACATACTAGGCAAGTACTCTACCACTGACCTACAGCCACAATCCTTTTTAAATATTTTTTTCTGTACTAGGAACTGAATCTTCAGCCTTCACACTAAGCTACATCCCCAATCTTCTCTTATTTTAAGACAAAGACTTGTTAAATTATTAAGTCTCCTGGCTAAGCTCAAACTTGCCATCCTGCCTCAGCCTCTCAGAGTACATCCACCATCATGTCCAGCCCTTTGAAAAAATTGTATTTGAGACAGAGTCTCACTAATTATCCAAGCTGTGGTCCTCCTAAAACTTGTGGTCCTCCTGCCTCAGAACCAGGCCCACTCTGAGTTACTGGGATTACAGCATGTGGAATCACACAGCATGGAATAAACAACATTTTAATGCACTAGAAAAAAATAAAAATGTATGCAAAGTCTCTAAAGAACACAGTACCAAAATATAAACGAAGACAGGCTCAGTACTGAGGTTCCACAGGCAGAGGTCAGGGGTGCCATAACTGTGGGTGGAGACAATCTATCCCATGCTAGAATTGTGTCCCACCCAACAGGGGCCACTGACTGAGAATGTAACTCAAACCAGATTAGTTAGCAACAGAGCCCAGACCTAAATTCAGGGGGAGAAGAGTCAATGTTTCTTGCAACACATCAACAATAAAAGCATTAAGTAAAGAGAACAGCAAGCCACCAAGAAAACCATGCTTCTTGAGCCAAGGTCAGAAAACAATTCACCAGAGCCTAGATGGGCATTGGCAACTGAATGGAGAGCCCTGGTGCCTAGCCGGGATGTCTCACACCTCCCTCACTGCCAGCGCCACTGTGGAGAGCTGACGATGCTCAAATGTGGCCATGAAGGCTACAGGTGCCTTCTTCCTTAGATCTAAAAATCATGTCATTTCATTGGGAAAGATGAACCCAGTGGTTCTCAACTAGGGGCAGTTGGGGTCTCCGGGGAGAATCTGGCAATATCTGCAGACATTTTGCAGCTTTTGGAGGGGGAGCTGCAAGCATCCAGCGGCTGCAGGCCAGGGACACTGTAGTGCACAGCTCAGCCTGCAACAGACAACTCTCTGGCCCCAGATGCCAACGGCACAGAAATTGAGACACCTAGGGTAAAGGACTGCTGAAAGCACGTGATATTATGCCTGTAATCACAATGGCTTCAATTTATTAAGCATTTGATGAGATCTGCTTTTCCTCCATTAAATAGTATTTCTTTTATAGCTGGCTGAGTAAAGATTTAATCTGGAGGGCATAAATCATTAAAGCACAGTGACAGCACGCACTAATAGTCTGAATTGAGGTGATGATTTAGTTCACCCAGCGTGTAAAAGGCCCTGGATTTAATCCAGCACCACCAAAGAATACAATAAAATAATTCTATATCATAATAGCAGCTAACTTTTTATAATCCCTTCCTATGCACCAGGCAGGGGCTAGGTATATTACTTGATTTCTTTCTCCTACAACCTGCAATAACTTTATGATTATGTATGTGGAGGGACTGGACGCTCAGAGGGCTGAGGAATGCGCTCAGAGTAGCTGAGAAATGTGCCCAAAGATGCACAGCTAGAAAGAGCAGGGAAGCTGGGCCATCAGGCCAGGCCTGTCTGCCTCTACAGCGAGGGTCCCGACTGTGATAGGCGGGATGGACCAGGGAGACTGGCTGGGAAGCCACGGCAGGGTCCTGGGAGAATGATGGGGCCCAGCTGAGGAGATGACTGGAGGAAGTGAGAAGCAAGTTGAAGGGTCACATGGCCAGCACATGGGAGCATGAGGGACCAGGGTATGTGACACTAGAAGAAAGGTTGACATTGGCAAGCAGGTGAATGCTGTTGGTAAAATGAAAGGGTCCGCTCATAAAGCAGGTGTGTGGTGCCTGGATGAAAGTGGGGCATGTGACACAGGCAGGTGAAAAGCACTGGCCAGTGACTTGGAGACTTGCGTTAGTCACTTCCCCGAGCATGTGACAAAATACTCAACACCCCTAACTTAGAGGAGAGGCTTATTTTGGCTCACATTTTCCAGTGGGCTCCATCCAAAGTCAGCTGGCTCCAAGGCAGAAGTGGCAAGGGGCACCTGGCAGAGGAAAGCTGCTTATCCTATGGTGGCCAGGAAGCAGAGATAAAAAGATAGGGCCAGGGAGGGAATGACAAAAAAAGGTCCTGGTCAGGCCTCTAGTCACCTGCCTCTTACAACCAGGCTTTACCTCCTAATACCACATTGAGCTAGGAACTCAGGAATGGATCGATCCATTGAAGACCACAGTGCTCCCATGATCCACCTCCCAAAAAGCTCTGCCTCTGACTGAGCACATTAGACTGTGGGGGGCGGTATTCTAGATCTAAACCACATTAGCCAGCAACTGGTATTCAAGCTGGCCGACAGTCCACTTCTGTGAGGACGCACGTAGCGGGGAATGTGGGAGAGGCTGGGAATGGCTGTATTGATGAAACTTGGAAAACCTGGCTGAGAAAGTTGGCGACAAGTGTTGGTCAGATGCTGGAGGTCCTCCAGCTCATCAGGTGTCAGGTGTTTTGTCTGAGTGATGCGGAAAGCACTAAGACACCCAGCAAGTGAAAGGTAGAGCCAAGATGCCAACCCGGAACCTCCACATGCTTCAAAATGTTACATACAAGGTTTCTTTACTGATGTTTTCTTCTTCCCAGAGAAAGAAAAAACCAAGCTGCAGAAGCAGAGAGAGGATGAACTAATCCAGAAGATTCACAAATTGGTACAGAAGAGAGATTTTCTTGTGGACGACGCAGAGGTGGAGAGGTTGAGGTGAGAGGACTGCATAGCCCTGAACCCCAGGCTGCCTGCCCCAATCCTACCCAACTCATGACCTGCTCTGGGGATTCACAGCCTTATCTGACAGGAACGGTCTCTACCTTGCTTCCCAGACACTGCCTCAAAAGAACCCCACCCTTCTGGCCTGAGAACTGATTTCATATTCAAGAGACATGCCAATTCAGCTCCCAAAGTTTTGCGAAGACCTGTGTGGTTTAGGTGGATGTCATTCAAAGAAGCGACCAGGGAGGAATTGTATCATGTGTACATAACAGATCTCCCTACACATCCTCCCAAACATACGGTGACTTCTCAAAACTTCTCTCTTCTCTCCAAAACTCTGACTTGCTTCCGTCCCCTCTCAATTCACCGGCTTTGTCCTTTTCTTTATCTTCCCCTCAGTGGCTCGGATACCTCGCCTACCTAAGTGTACCTGTCAGTTTGACTTGTAGAACCATAAACTCTGAGGGGATGGGGAAAGCTGTTTATGTTCATTCCTGAATATTTCTTTCCTTCTTATTATCTCTCCTTGTGGAGGCAAATTCTTTATTCTTTGTGTCCTTTGAGGTCCTCTCTTCAGCCCCCAGGCTGTGCCTTGCCTAGCTCAGCTAGGCTGGCCCTGCCCACCCATTTTATTCCTGGAGACCCTGAAGAACTGAGTTCACTTGCTTTCTAAGATTGGCCACACACCTTGCAGAAACAGCGATAAGCATGGTGGCTTGAAAGTACAGGGTCTGGAGTGGCGTTGCCCAGCTCACCAGTGGGGAAGATGGGTCTTATGGTGTCCTTCTCTCTGTCCTGGGGTCTTATCCTAGCCCTGGGTCACACATACCCAATTATTGATATTCAGAGCAGATTCATCAAACACAACATCACATCAACATATATGCACATCCACAAGGACCATCACCTGGTTCCCACATTTCCACTTTTCACCTCATTTTCTTAGTTCCTTGATGTTTTCCTTGTTTACTGTCTTCTCGCTTATATATCTGCCTTCCAGGGAACAAGAAGAAGACAAGGAAATGGCTGATTTCTTGAGAATCAAGTTAAAACCTCTAGACAAAGTAACCAAATCTCCAGCCAGTGAGTACATACATTATTTCTCCTCCTCCCCAATGAAAAAGAAAAGGCTATGTCAAAGCAATGTGGGCCCAGAAGGAGAATGCTTCTTAGAGCTCAGACTTGAGCACAGGATGGCAGCAGATACAGTCAGCTTCACAGTCTTGCAATTTGTGTGGTTCCCAAGGCTCCATGCCCAGAAGGGCAGGCCATGGAACTTCTGCTACTGCTGTCTTGAAAATATTAATATTTTTGGGACAAGTGGCCTTGTATTTTTATTTTACTCTGAACCCCCAAATCTATGTAGCTGGTCCTGGCAGTAGCTATCCCTCCCTAATCACATGATTTGGTGCATTTCACAATGGGAATTGTGAAAATTGTGGGCTTGAATCTCTGGAAGAGGCAGAAGCACTCAGATATTAGCCTTACGAGACACTTAGAGCAAAAAGGTTTCTATGTGAAATAAATTTGGGAAGTTCTGCACATACTTGATCTTCTATTTGGAGGCCCCAATGTCCCTTATGATATTAAAGTGATAATGGATCCTGCTGTCAAGGACCTCTCTTCTCTCTGTTGACTCACTGTTTCTCAAATGTATCTAACTGCTGTACTAGTGAGGCTTCTTTCAATTATAAGACACCAATGGCCAATTCAGTGTGGTCTAAGCACAAAAGGGCATCTGTTGGAGGAAAAGCCATAAGAACTAGGGCCTCAAGAACTGAATGCTCTTAGGACTGTGTCATTTTCCTTCCATTTCTGATCCCTACCCTTCTTTGCATGTAGTATCATTTAACCCTACTATGCAGACCTTCAACTCCAGAGCCGTAACTGGGTAGCTCTAAGGCAGTGTCAGATTCTTTCTCTGGGTATCTGAGTATATAAATCTCAGGGAATAACTCAGATTGGTCCTTCTTGAATCATGTTGCCACCAGGTAGGCCTAGCATTGTCACCAGAGGTTGGAGTGCTGTGATTGGTCAGGTCTGTCACATGTCCTCTTCTGGAACCATACAGAAGTGAGCTGTGACTAGAGCAAGAGGGACTAGAAATCTTAATGAGAAAACAAAACTCAAAAGTGGACACTAACTATATTACCATAAACTTTGTTTTCTCTGCTGTCCATTGGCATCCCATGAAAAAGCTGTAGAGTACATGAGTAAAGAAAGGAAAAAGGTGTGCTCCCCTCCAGTGGTTCCTAAAACCACAAGGCACAGGATCCCTGCCTGGAGCCAGCATCCTCAGTAGATTTTCCATGGAAAGCAAAATAGAAAAACCCTACCTGATAGCTTGGAGGAGCAAGGAAACTTGCCTTCTAGGTAGATAGAAAAAAGAAATTGATCCTGCAAGAAATCAAAACACCAAGCCTGGACTACAACCAAGGGGCCAAGTATATGCCACAAATTTACACTATCCATTTGGTGCTAGAATTCCAAGTTGAAAAATAAAAACTAGTTGAAAACCAGTGAAATCTCTGGGATGCTAGCTAGAACAAATTACTCAATATGGACCTTTCTGTGGCTCATAGTATATAGTATTCCCACAAGTAAAGCAACTCCTCAAGAAATGAGCTCTCAACAAATTTAAAAACCCATGAAGAATTTTTCTACCATCAGGGGGTCTGTAATGCAACATGGAGGATGGCCTCCCAATAACCAGACAAAACAGAACTATTTTAAAGAGACTATAAATAAAATACATTTAAATCATTGGGGTGAACAAGGAATAAAACCATAGTGAAACAGCGGACGTTGTGAACAAAGAATAAGTATGTTGGGAAAGTAACACATTGGCAAAGTGCTTGCTCACCATGCATGAGGCCCTGGGTTCCATTACTAGCATCACAAAAACAGATCAATTAATCAATCAATAAATTGGCAAGAAATCAAATCAAAATAGCCACTTCTGCAAGCTGTGTGCTCTTGTAAAAGAAATTAGCCTTCTAAAAAATTATTGTTACTGAAATAACTTGATAGACTAACTACAGACACAATTGAAGGGATGATTCCTAAAGTTAGAAGGCTGACCTGAAGGAATTACCCAGAATGTAACAAAAACAGAAAAAGGTAGAAAAATATGACAGGTAATGGATCAAGAAGATAGAATGAGAAGCCCCAACTTATTTTAAACAGACATTCCAGAAAGAGCAAAAACAGAATGAGAATTGAAGAGCTCTAAAAAGATAATATGTGAGCATTTTCCAGAGTGGAAAGATGTGACAGCTCAGACTGAAGTGACTTGAACAAAATTTCTCATTTTGTTTGTTCACCAAATACTCGTTGAATGCCAGGTCCTGTGCAAGATTTGCAAGATATAGTGGTTAAGACTGCTGACTGGGAGAAGGGCTGAAAGCTCTGGTTGGAAGCTGAAAACCAAAAGCCAGTGGGCTGCAGGAAGTGGAAATAGTCACTAGACCTCTTAAAATGCACACCCAGAAAAGGTCTGGCCAGGGGTCAGGATGGTCGGGGCCACCCATGTTGAAGTTCTCCTTACCTCCCATCTCCCTCTCTCTCTCTGTGCTTTGCCTTGCTGCAGGCTCCCGGGCAGAGAAGAAAGCAGAACCTCCACCTAGCAAGCCCACGGTGGCGAAGACAGGGCTGGCACTCATCAAGGATTGCTGCGGGGCCACCCAGTGCAACATCATGTAGCCCCCAAGTGGGGTGCCCCGAGGGCCATGGGGACCCCCACCCTCCCATCCTCTTGTCATCATAGCCCCTATTTCACTGGGGCTCAAGAACTCTCCAAGGCAAAAGGGGTTAAAGGCAAGCCTGTGACTGCCACCAGGGGCCATGGGCATGGCAGACAGCCCTGGCCACCCTGTACAGAGTGTAGCAATAGGGAGTCCCTCACTGTCGCATGGCCCTCCCCACAGCATGCCGAACCCAGGAGTCTGTCTCACTATTTACCCAACCACCAGGAAAGGTCCTCCCTCACAACAGTATATGTCCAATTCTATCTAGCTGTATCTAACCCACTGTGCCGAATGAACTGGGAGAGGGGCATGATCCCCAGGTGTGTATAGTTGTGACTTTTTAACAATCAAGCACCACGTTGGACACATCCCCCAGCCACCTTCCTAGTTCTGCCATCAGGCCTGGCCCAAAAGGGCCTAAGTCCCCTCCCCAGTCTGTCCTCTCCCAGAGACTGTGCTCTGGGCGGCTCCACATGGCCCACACATCTTTAGGCGCCATCAGTATCGCCTTCTTGGAGACCGATAACCTGCCTATAAAGAATGAGCTAGTGTGTGCTGTGGTGGTCATGTCGCCTGCTTCCTCCCATCCTATGTCTGGGCCTGATTCACACCAGGTGGAAGCATCTACTATCTCTTGGCTCTTCCTTTGCTTGCCACATCTGGCCTAGAGTATGGAACAGAGCGAGGACGGCAGGCCTGGCAGGAAGGAGTCCAGTGCTTGGGCAAGATAGCGGAGAGCAGGCAGCTCCTACACTGAGGCCAAGGAGAATGAGGAGGAGACCTGGAACAGATGCTGACCCAGGCATTCTTTACCCACCCGGGGCCACCGCAGGAGTCCAGCAGGATGCCACCCCACCAGCTCCACACAAGACCTCTGTAAAGAACAGCAACAGGCAGGAGAGGCAGCCTGACCCAAACGCGTCCCATCATTTGGTGGTGTATTTGAGCCAGCCTAACAATCCCACCTGTGTAGCTTGATGTACATTTGCTACAGCCAGCCCGGCACAGCCTGTGTGACTTCTCTGTACGTGTATGTGTGTCGTGACTGGCCTAAGTAGTTAGCGTAACTCAAGATTTGCTGATGCACAATCATCCATCAGAGAAAATAAAAATGGAAACCACGTACACGGCATTTTAAAGATTTTTACTTTTTTCTTGATTATGAAAGTAATTCGTGTACATAGTAAATAATTTTAAAAGTATACAAAGCATAGAGAAGTTGTTTGTTTTATTTTAAACACCCATGAGTTCTCCAATTAGAGACCTCTGACTTTTTTGCATGTTTCCTTTAATACTTTTTTAAGCATTTTGGTTTTCCTGATTGGCATCATGCTGTACCATTTTATAAGTCCCACCCCCCACTTAACATTATATCACTATGGTTTCCTCGCTTTATTAAAAGCTCTTTGTAAACATTAAACACTCTTCCTAAATGTTCAGTATGGCTGCTGAGTAATCCATCTTGTGATCACGCTGTCATCTGTCATCATTCTCTTACTGCAGGACTCACATTTAGTTTCTTGTTTTCAGCGTTATGACAATGTTATGATAAATGCCTTGAAGAGAGAAAACTTCCTATTTTTCCTTAAGATAAACTCCCCCCCCCCTTTTAGTGCTTGGGATTGAATTTAGATGTCAGGAAACTGCTCTACAACTGAGTTACATCCCCAGCCCAAGATAAACTCTTGTCTTGGGCCATCAATAAGTAGCATTTTCAAAATACTTCTAGATCACAAGTGAATGCACAGGTGTCTCCACACACAGCCGCTTTGGAGTTGATCTCAAGTATCTTGGACTGGAGGTCCCAGAGTCTTCAATTTGAGGCTCCTCCCAGGGGCAGCATGCCTCAGCCTCCACTCAGACTCCAAAGTGTTTCCGTTCGGTCCAAGCTTTGCCCCCACACTACCTCCTGCCATTCTGATGCTGAAGAGCCTTCCTAGGCCACTCAAGCAATGGATAGCCTGACCTCCTAGTGGACCTAGACCAAACATGGATCCAGGCCGAATGAGTGTCATAAGGCTGCAGTAACAAATTAGCTCAACCTGGGTGGCTCCACACAATGGAAATCCAGCCTCTCTCGGCTGTGGAGGCCAGAAGCAACAAGGTGTCTGCAGGCAGGGTCATGCTCTTTTCCAAGGCAGCAGGGAAGATGCTTTCTTTGCTTTTTCCAGCTCTTGGTGGCTCCTAGCAATCCTTGGCCTTCTTTGGCGTCACTGGTCCATCTGCCTCCATCTTCACGTGGCCTTCTCCCCCTGATGCATCTCTTTGCATTCCTTTTTCGTCTTAAAAGGACACAAGTCATTGAATTTAAGGCCTACTCTAATCCAGCATGATCTTATCTTGATCCTATTTACCTTAGGACCCTATTTCTGAGCAAGATCACATTCTGAGGTTTCAGGTAAACATGAAATTTTGAGTTGCTGTTAAAGCCACTACACAGCCTTCCCACTCTAACTCACTACAAATAACACTCAGGCTGTGAAGGGCCTGTTATTTACTCTTCCTGGTGGAAAATGTGAGTTGGAAGGGCCTGACCTCAGACCAATCACAGAGGAGTCACTCACCAGTGGGACAGACCATGGGGTAATTGGATCCTCATTTTAAAAAAAACTTCCACTAAGCCCTGAAACAGGGCCTGCCTTATGTTCCCACTATTCCACTGATGTTTTTTAAAAGCAAATATTTATTTAGACTTCCACAGAAGAGCAGAGGTAGTAATGCTTGATGCTCTTAGAGCACAAGGGCTGCCTGAAAACCTGGGAAACCTTAAGGCTGTGGGATCTTGCATGCCCAGACTCTTTTCTTTTGGAAAATATGGAGCAGACTTTAATAGGAGTCACATTTATTGTAGCTTATCACTGTGTACTGAGCAATGTACACACATCAGTGCGTTTGCTCCTCACATCAGCTCAGCAAGGCAGATTCAATTATTACTTCCTCTTTACAGCTGAGAAAGTGGCAGTAAATCCATCGCCCAAGGTCCCACAGGCAATTAGTGTACAGTCATCATTCATCCCTCTCTCCCGTTTCCTTGATAGTCCTGTCTTCTTTCCTCAAATGTTTATAAACACTTCCTCTTGTCCTCCTCCATCATGTAAAAAAACAAAATTACCACTTTTCATTCCAGCCCCCTTCTTTTTGTGGTACGGGGAATTAAACCAGGGCTTTCACATTGAACTACATCCCAGCCCTTTATTTTGTATTTTTTATTCTAAGGTAAGGTCTTGTTATGCTTCTATTTTCCTCGTAACCCTCCCTTTCACCACCTTCATAGCCTTATCTTTTATATCCTGGCTGTTTCCATTTTCCCCATCTCCAGATCCTTCCTGAAGCTACTTTAATCTGGTTTTTGTCACTTTCTGGCAACTAATTCCTCTCACCGGGAATGCAACCATGTGAGTGTGTCCAGCTGGGACATGTCAGCCCTCAAGCTTTCCCAGCTCTTTGTAGATGTGACATGGACACATGCTTCACTATTTTGATGCTCCACTGTCTGGGAGTGCTTCTCACTGCTCACAAGGGCTTTTCTCCAATCCCTTTTGTTATTTTTTGGTATTAGGAATCGAACTCAAGACCCCACACTTGCCAGGCAGATGCTATGCCACTGAGCCATATTCCCAGACCTCCAAACCCTTTTCCCTCCTTCTTCCTCAGAGTCTGAACCTGGTCATTCTGTTCTTTTCCCTCTCCTAACCTTTTCCATTCTTTCAACATCTTGGCTGGCCTTCTATGCTGACAGCTCCCCAGATTCCTTCTGTAGCCAAGGCCTCTCTCCTCTGCTCAGACTGCTGAGCTGCTTCTTGAGGATCTCTATTTGAATCTAGAATAGGCACGGGTAACACGCACTAAAACAAAGATTACTACTGCCTCTGGGCCGAATTTCACCTGTTTTCTGTTTTTATGAAGCTTTACTGGAACACAGCCATGCTTGTTTGTTCGCATAATGTCTGTAGCTGATTTCGTGCTCTAACAGTAGAGTTGAATAGTTGTGATAGAGCACACGGCCTGAAAATCCTACAGTATTCCCTCTCTGGATCTTTAACAAAATGTTGGTTGACCCTTGCCCTAAACTGTGCCCAGCTTCTGCTGTGTGGTTTTCGCCCACTAGAACCCTTGACTCGATCCCTCCTCACATCCATTCTCTTGCTGAGTCTTTGGCATCTCCTTCAGTTTCTCTAGACTCTGGCACTCCTAGGGAGTCACCATCACCTTTTGCTTGTTAAACTGCAATAGCTTCTTAATGGGCCTCCTCAGTGCTGGTCTCTCTCCTGTTAAATTCATTCTCCACATGCACCCGTGATTTCCTGAAAAACAGAGCTGAAGGGTTGTTCCTTTAACACCACTTCCCGTAGCTTTACGATGAAGTTTTTTTCATTTGACTCAAAGCCCCCTCTGATCTGGCCCTGCTATCCCCTGAGCCTCCTCTCCTGCATCCTTCCTGAAGGGACCACACAGCCTTCCTTGGATTCTTTGGCTCTCCTTGCTGTGCTGTTGGCACTTCTGGATTTTCAAACATCATTCTCTCTGCCAAGAACCTGATTCCCCACCATCCTTTCTTCCTCTCGCTCTCTCAAGTACAGCAGAATCTAGACTACCTGTGTACCAGTTAAAGGCCAAAATCATCAGCCATGTCCCCAGTTGAAACCTTCTTACATCTTCCCACTGGCCTAGTTTGAGGTCTTGGGCCAGTTTTCTAGCCTCTGACCACCCAATTGGTCTATCCTACTTCATTTCTCACCTTTGATCATGTCAGTGTTTAAGGGAACAAAGGTAAACCTAGTAGAAGCTGAGCACAGGTGAAAACCAAGTAAAGTGTCTGAGAGGTGTTTTCCAGGGTACAGCTTTACCCAGGGTGAGTCCTGATGGATTTTACCGCAGGATGTGGTTGGTGTGACGAGTTTTGGGAAAGTGTTGGTATAGATACCAGAGGTATCAGATGTATGAAAACTAACATAATTTATTAATACTTTAAGCCAGGGCCTTTATCCTGAGGCTACACTATGTAGTGAGTAACAACAACAAAAAGAAAGAAAAAAAAGGTCACAGAACTTAATGCCTTCACTAAACTCCCTGCCTGGTTAAAGGAAACAATGAAATAATCACACACATACACACAGCTATCCAGTAGCAAAGTATGATTATTTTTTACATACTAAGGAAGCAAAGTATATTCTTCGAACGGTATTGGACAGGCTAACACTAATGCCTGCCTAGGAAGGGAAACTGGGGCAGGGGTGTGGGTGTAACGCCAGGAGTAGCTCCTCTGAAAAAATGTCTGCACCAAGACCTGTGTGCTGAGACCACTAGCTGGGTAAAAACAGGGCAAGGGCAAATAGTAACTACAGGTGCAGCAGATATTTACACCACTGCCTGTGAGTCTTGCTTCACAGCACTCTGCCAGCAGTGGCTCACTGGTGAACCAAAGAATTCCGTGAAGGTGCTCATTTTCATCTGAAGGCAGGGAAGGAGGTACCAAACGGTTAAGTGGAGGCCCTTGACTTCAGAGGCTGTGTTTTTAGCCACTGCCTGACTCCTGAGCTCAGGGCTGCAAACCAGAGGCTCCAGGGCAGAGCACAGCTAAGAGGCTGAGAGAAGGCCACTGTGGCAGGTGGCAGGTAGCAGGCCAGGAGTGTGGGAGACACGGGACCTTTAGCAGGGGTCAGGCCCAGAGCCCAGGTGTAGAACCTCATTGGTCTCCCCATACACAATAGGAAGTCTCATTTCAGAACAAGGATTTCCTGTCTGAAATTTCTTTCCATCTGGTTCAGATGCAGACTCAGTGGCCTCCAGCACACGGAGAGCAGTGACACACATACAACCCTGGGTGAACCTGTGCTGTTGGGACATGATAATGAAAGCGGATAAAGGTTGAATGCTAAACTGGGAGTTCCTTGTGTCCAAGCTCAGCATGTGCAGTGGTTTCAGGCAGAAGTGGAAGGGCGAGAGGACGTCACGGGAGCTCAGGTGAAGAGAGAGCACCAAACAGGCCCAAGATGTTCCGAGCCCCCAACCCTATGGATCCTCCTAGCTGGTTCACTACCTTCTTCAAAACGAAAGGAATTTATCCCCAGACTTGACTTCAGCCACCCTGCAGGGGGTTCTGTTTGCCTTCTCTGTGCCCAAACATCCCTATTCCCAAATCCTTGCTTTTCAGTGAATTCTAGCCTTTGATCCTCTGCCTTGGGATTTTCCAACCTCCACATCTCAAACACCTGAAAAACAAGGGGTTCTCTTTGGTATCAGTTCTGTTATTTGCAAACCTGTTATGTGGATTTTGTCCTGAGGGCTGCCTGTCTCCTAGGGAGTCTGAAATTTTCCTGGGAAGGACATTCCTTTCTGTGAGTATTCAATGGAAGAGGCAAATCAAGTAAGTCTTCTGTAGGTATCCCTCCAGAGTGGCGAACCCCCCAAACAATCTCCTTATTCCACTCTAATGGGATACAATAATTCACAATAATTCAACTTCTCCTGAGAAACTTTAAAACTGTGAGAACTTTGAAAAAACTGCTAAAGGTCATTAGAAGCTTTTCATGTTGAATGTTTTTTACAAAGTCCTTTACTCGGGTGTTTTTTCCAGGGTCTTTCATATTCTCATGGGGTGGGGAGGTGGCGGTGTGTAAGCCGTCTTTTCCACACTGGCTTATTTAAAAGGCACACATAGAATGGATTTCCTTCTCAGGTAGGGAGGTCTTAAAAATGCTCCAGTTTTCTAACCAGTTTATAACCAATAGCACGGTTGCTGGATTTCCCCAGGACAATGAACTGGAACTAGCGGTGGAAAATGGGGTCTTGCCTAGGCCAACAGTCCAGCCCTTGCTTGGAGTGGGTGCCTTTAGGATGTCCCACCACTTTGTGCTCCATCTCACACTTAAGTTTTAAGAAGGATGACAAATGTTTGTGTATGTGTGTTTACAAAATGAACAGATGACAGAACTGGACTGGTTTATAATCCCTCCCCATAAAAAGACCGACAGAGAAAACTACGCAGTTGGAAAACTCAGATTTGATGCTTGCTTGTAAAGTTTATTGACAACTGTTTGGTCCCAACACACAAAACAGCACTTGAACCACAAAAAAGTGTTCAAACAAAGACAGTTAAGAAAAACATCTCTTCCCCCAAGCCCAATCCAAAAAAATAAAAATAAAAACAAAAACAGTGCAAGATGGGAAAGGGGGTTTTGGTGATAACTTTTGTCTTTTTTTAAACAGATAAATCTCAGCTGGTAATCTTTCCATCTAGAAATAAAGTACTTTATCATCATAATGTACATACATCATTCTTCATTTAATTAAGCCTCTGGATAAAAAAATAGATAGGAATTGAACTGGCCACTGTGGGAAACATCATGAACACAACGTGCTTCTGCTGTATTTTCACATTTTCAAAAGCAATTGTTAGTCACACATATGTCCCAGACTAACTGGCAGCTCCAGTAAATGCTATGAACACACACTCACATGACAGTGCAGGACACCTTTATCTGCTGCCCAAAGAACCTGTTCTTTGAGGCTGTTCCAAGTGACTTGTAATGATGCCTTGTATGTTTCTGAAGTCTACAATTTTCTGCATGCTAGCAAAACTGAAGTCCAAGCGTGCAAACTTAGCCTTATGAAGTCTCAGTAAAAGGCAACTGATGTTCTCAACACCAACTTTATCATGTTGTTTAAAAGCATCTTTTAAAAAATTGTACATTTACATTTTACTTCCTATTATACTATGTCTGTAGCGGAAATGCCTGCAGAAGGATTTGCAAAGTGCCATAATACTTTAGAAAGATTTTCCAGAGTTGTTCCATCTTGACTAGGGCATGCACTGAGAACTGGAAATCACTGGCTTCATTTAAAACATTCAAGGAACAAAAAACCTAAGTCATAAAAATCTTTCTGTAGCCCTTATTTTGTGGCATTTTATCAAAATGCTGGCTACAATTAGAGTCCATTTTTTTGGCTTTCTAGAAATTACAAAACATAAACATGTCCCCAAAAGAAACCATCTAACTAGTGGAAGACCTTATGCCAACAGGTTTTTCTGCTCTATGAATGAATCCACCTTTTTTGCCCAACAAATACAATCCATTGTAAATGTCAGGTTTCTCCAGCAGGGGTGAGAGGCCACCCATGGGCGGACGCCTCAGGCACCCAGAGAAGAAGGACATTCCACAGGGCAGTGCCCCCAAAGGCTGGCTTTTCCCAATACACACACATACACACACGCTTCCAACAGCAAGAAGTAGCAAGACTAAAAACAGATGCTATTAAAAGACACTGAGCTAACATAAGACACATGTATCTTTACACAAAAAGCTTCCCAGCTACCAAAACAGCTTTAAAATTACAAAATCAAGGTTCAGTTGAACAACCTTGGCCTTCGCATGTATAGATAGAATTCTTGTCTCTTCCCAGTGGAAATAGTATCACTTCTGCTCCTGTTAAAGTACTTTACCACTCAGCTCTGATTTATAATTTATGCATTTGATGCATATTTTAGAAAATCAGACTCTTTCCAATACTGCCTCTTGACACACAATGATGTGTGCTGTAATTCAAATGCTGACCTTAAATTCATGATATCAAGACCATCTCCTTTACCTTAACCTAATCCACATCAAACTGGAACTTAATGTAGAAGGGAAGCATAAAACATCCTCAACTTTCTAGAAGGCTCCTAAATGGAACTCCAAAATGGACATGTTTAAAAAGATTTGTGATGAAGCCACATTTGTCAACTACAGACATAGTTAAATAAAAAACAAGGCACACTTACAAGTCACAGGGAAGCCAGAACTTTCATACTCCAACCTGAACACAGCTCATTTCCTCACCCGCCCTTCATCTTCAATGTGTGAACGTCCAGGCCCACAGAGCAGGCTTCGCTTCAGAGACACATCACGCAACTGCTTAACACTGTCAGAACTCCAGTGAGCAAAGGTTTCAGGCTTTCAGGTTATGCTGTGCCGTTAAGTAGGGTTACACTACCCATGCGGCTCAGTGGAAGCCAAATCACTTCCTGCTATGAGTTGTCACTGCTTACTTCTTCCAGGCCACTGTGCTGCATTAAGAATTAAGAAGAATTTGGTAAAATATATTAAAGGTTCTTTGACAAATGTCAGAAGTTTTTTCAAACAACTGAAAAAAAAAGAGGAAAGAAGAAAAAACTTCAGCTAAAAGCTGTATTCAATGTAAAAGAAACAACATTATGGAATACATCTAAAGAAGTGGCTTTGGGTCGGGGTGGTTCAATGAATCAGAAAAGGACTTTTTTTTTAGCCCATTTTTGTGTGTAGAATCAGACAGTTTTTTTCCCCCATTCTAATTCTATGTTCAAAATGGAAGTTAAAGCTTGGTTATAGGTGCAAAGGAAAAGTTGGCTGCCAATTTTATCCTATTCTTGGGTTGCTTTTTGGCTGGGCTTTCCACAGGGTCCTTGCTGAGCAGCGACTCAGAGGTCTCTGAGGTGGGGCAGGGAGGCACTGGGGAAGCTGCCGGGACACAAGATGAGCTGGAATCAGAGGGCAGGTTTTCCTTCTTTACTGGTACAGAAATTTCAGTATTTTCTTCTTGGTTTAAAATCTTATTTTCTATAAACACAGAAAATCAAACATTCAGTTATAAGACTTAGAAAAAGTATTAGTTTTCATATAACCACTATGGAAATCAGTATGGAGAATCCTCAAAAAACTAAGAATACAAATTCCACTTCACCCAGCTATACCTCTCCCATGTATGTTCCCAACACAGTAAAGACATCATACTACAGTGATATATACATGTACAACAGCACAAGTCACATAGCTACACTCTGGAAATAGCCTAGATGCCCACCAACAGACAATGGACAAATGCAGTGTGATATATATACGCAATGGCATATTATTCAGGTACAAAGAATGAAATCATTTACAGAAAAATGGATGGAACTTAAGAATATTAAGTGAAGTCAGACACAGAAGGTTAAATATCACATGGTTTCTTTTATATGAGAAACAAAACATAAATAAGCAAAAGAGTAAAATAAAGGAGAGATGGCAGGAAACAAACAGATTTTTTGGAGACGGTGGAGAGGCTAGGGAATAAAGGGACTGAAAATGATCAAGATATGTCCTATGTGCATACCAGTTCCCCAAAATGAACATCACCACTATAAATTTCAAGTAGAGTAAAAATAGACTGATGAAAATGTTATTTTCCAAAAAAAAACTTTAAAAACAACCCACTACAGGGTTGTCTCATCTATGCCACAATCTACATATTAGCTGTGTGCCCAATTACTATGTGTCATAAAATTCAAATACTGATAAACTGCATCTCTCTTCTCCATTGGGTTATAAAGTTTTAGATACCTCACTTTTAGTAACAAATCAATAAGCTATGCTTTTCCATTTGGATTCTTTCTGTTGAGGTCTTAAGGACCCATAAACTTTCTGAACCGAGAGAGAAGGGGCCTTCAAGACAGCACTACTGGCCCATTCTATTTCTATTCACACAGATCCAACCACAGGTAACAAGCGGAGAGCGGTGCTAAGTCAAAACTACCGTAAAAAATTTACTAAGTCAAATATTGCCAGTTACCCTGCAGTGTTCAGACTGCCATTTCTCTGGCTGAGCCACAAATAACTCACCTGCTGTACACTCAAGGCCTTGTTACTTGAGAAGGATGTATTATTTATGCATTATACCTCAGATTGCACTGTGAGTAGTAAGAGGCACCCACTGCCAAAAGCACATACAAGACCGAGTGACAGAAAGGAGAGCAGAACCTACAGCTCCTGAGGATACTGTGGACAGACAGCCCATACCGTTCAAATGTTTTCCCTCCCGTGTCACCTGCAAATGGCTGAGCTTATGTATACTAAATGTATAAAAGCTACAACCTCACAGAAAAGTTACTACTGATCTACCATCAATGCCAGGTACACATTTCAGAGGAACACACTGTGAATCTCACCCCCCTCCCCCAATTTAAACAGCTGCAGCTTCTCGGGCCACTTTATGTTCCCCCACCTCTAATTTAAACCTCTAATTGGTCAACAGTACCAAATAGTGTTTAAGAAGACTAAGGATAGTAAGAGCCAGCACAGTAGCAATAGGTGCTCCCTAGAAACACAGGCTATCTTCAATACTCCCAGCAGATGAGGAGGAGCCAGCTTCCAAGGTATGGGAAAAAAAAGGGAAAGTTCTCTGCAGAGCAGGGGCCTCTTTGCAGGAGGGCAGGTGACACTGAAGGAAGGAACGAGCTGCTAGATTTAAATCCTGGGTCTGCCATGTCCTACCTGAACGACCTGTGGGCAGCTGGGTCTCTAGTTATGGTGCAAGCTGTGCCTTAGTTACTCCACTCCCTGTAGTGTCCAGTCAGTGTCACAGTGATCATGCCCTGTTAGGCTTGAGCATGGAGCTAGCAACTGGTGAGAGAGGCTAATGTGCCTTGTCCAATGCTGGCACTCAGCTGGGACTTGACAAGGACAGCTTCCTCTCTATTCTTAGTTCATTGGGCAATGTCCAGGGCTCAGGCCTCAGATGCCTTGCTCTATACATACTTTCGAAAACCCAGCATCCCTTCAGCCCCCACCACAGAGTGACTAGAGCAAGGCCTCAGAGCCCAGACAGAAAACTACATCAGCCCCCCCAGGCGGAACCTCTGAAAAGGGTGGGGGACCAGAGGTCCGGAGGAATTTCCCATCCTCCTTTTTGGACTCTTCCATAGCCCAGTGACATTATGTGACCCTTCAGACTACCTCTGTTCCCTTGTTTGATGCTCCTCAAGCAATCTTGGGTTGTAAATCCTATTTGGTGGGTACCCTGATGAGGAAAGAAAGCCCCCAATTCTCTTTATCTCCCCCCAACATTTAATACACTGGCATCATGGTTCTTACTTATTTTAATCCACAAAGAAAGCCCCCTCAAGCAGTGCAACCTACCAGATGGCTCTTGAGGGCGTTCCTCAAACTGAATTAGATCAGTGGACTGCAGGATAACAGGATCTGGTCTCAGCTGAGGGGACGGCAGGCATGAAGGGACAGGCGCACACAGCAGGTCAACAGGGGAACTGCTGGCCAGGCGGAGAAGCTCTTGATCCATTTCACTAGAACCTTTACAGAGAAAGTAGGTTGTGGTCTACCACAGAACACCAGTCTGTACCTGAGCTTTCCTCAGTCTTAACTAAACATGTCAGCAAGTACTGAAGGCTTAAAAAAAATTATCAGGAAGACACTAGGTTAACAAATGCCACAAGCCATTCATCTCCTGAATATCTGTGTTCCCAGCAACAATCCCTCAAGAGATCCCACCCAGCAAAAAGGGCTTTGCCATAGCTTCTACAGAGGGAAAAGGGAAAACCTTGAGAGGTGACAGAGTAGTTAAGTGAGCAAAAGCTCGAATTAGAGGACTTAGATCCTGGTTCTGTCATTTCTTAGCTGACGACTGACTCCTATCATTTCAATTCCTCAGCAGGTAGAATGGAGGAACTCCTGCTGAAGGTTATATGAATAGTGTTAAGAAATGACTTACAGTAGATGCTTTAGCACAGAAAAAACTGCACAACCAAGTTTTCCTCCAAACACAATGTAATGTTTCTACCAACTGCAGAAAACTTCGACAATAAGAATCTTACCCATAACAATAGGTTCAACATCCTTTGTAAAAACATAAATTCAAGGGTTCATTTCTATCTATGAGAGATGACTCTACACAGAATCTTGTGAGTCAATGTTATTTTGAGAAATACTACTGCACTGATATCAAGAGTTTTCTGGGAAAGTCCTCTGACAAAGACATTCCCTGACTAAACTCTGAGTTTCCTCAACTAGCCCTGCCCTTAATCTTCTGTCTTGTCGATCCCATCCTTGACAAGTTTAGTTCTAGTAAGAATACTGTGAATTGGTTTTGTAACTTCCCTACTTTGATATCTGACCAAACTCCTCATTCCCAACCTTTGATATATCTTAATCCTTGCCTGTCTTTAGCAGAATCCTGGTAGGCCAAATCAGCAAGATCCTGCAACCTCTGCTGTGTCCTTTAGTGATTTTTCTACCCACTGAACCCTTTACTCTGCTCCTTGGCACTAAATCCCCACTTGCCCTCACTGTATTTGGAACTGAGCATTCTTCTTTACTGCAAAAGTCTTGAGTTATCGTTTTAGCAAGTGTCAGATACTTTCAAACAACCTGAATTGGGATATTATCATTATAGGGGACTTAAACCAGTTAATTAAGCAACAGAATCAGATACAGTTCAGTTTCTTCTGTGTTATGCATTAAACACAAAACTGCTTTGGAAAAGCAATGACTGACTAACGAAATGGCTTGCTGTCATCACTTTCTCCATACAGTCCCCACTCTGATAATTTCATAAGTTTTGCTTCATTTGCCTTTCCTCTCATAACACTATTACCTGCTCCAAGCTGGGGTTCTGAGGCCATGTGCAATTCAGGCACCTCCAGGATTTGCTCACTGTCTGCAGGGTAGTTTTCACGACTGGTGGGGGAGAGACCGAGTGAACTCAGCCGGCCTAGAGGACAAGGAACACCCGTCAGAGAGAAGAGTCAGAAAGAACCGTGATTGTGCAAGGGGCAAGGGACAGGTGCTTACTTACTTTTCATGTCATTTTTTAACACTACAATTCTCTTATGACCATGTCCTTTTATCCAGACCACCTGCACACAAGACATACTACTGGTTAAGCAGTGGAAAAGGATGGGGAATCACCCTAGCATTTAGGAAGAGTGGGACCCACTGTACCTGCTTTAAATATGCTAGAATTTAGAAACCAAATGAATACCAAGAACAATTTTCATGTTCTCTTTCTTAAGCTTTTTGAAAAGCAGTAGAGGAAACTGACAGCAACATCTCCATTTGAAAAAGTCAACTAGTTGCAAATGATGAGACATAGCTTTGAAAGTGTGTCTCATGAATCTTCAAAAGATTTCTTTCAAACATCACTTTGGGTATATAAATTAGGAAAGTTCTCATTTGAGAACCCTTAATCTTTTTTTTTCCTCAGAAAATAAATATAAGATAAAAGATAAAGACTTCCCAGACCAAATCCCTTAAACTGAGCTACAGATCACTGTCTTAGAGTAAAGTCCCCAACCTCATGGCCCTTCCTCTACCTCCTCAGCAAGGCTGAGGGTGGAGGGTGGCCCTTAGCTGACAGGGTTCTCTCTATTCAATCTGTCACCAAGGCCCAGAACAGAGTTCCAAAGTATTCTTCACCTGTGTCCTTATTACTCTATTTCATTACACTTTGGGAATTCATTACTGAAACTCTTGGGACTAGAAATGTTTCAAACTTCTTAATTTTTTTAGATTTTGGAATATATGTATATATATAATGAGATGTCTGGGAACCAAACCCAAAAGTAAAGATAAAATCCATTTGTTTCACATATACTTTATATACAGAGCCCAAAGGTATGTGTGTGTGTGTGTGTGTGTGTGTGTGTATATATATATTTATATATATATCTTTAAAACAGTATTTTTAATTGCCGCCTCTTCACTGTAACCTGTCACATCAAGTCTGGTATGGAATTTTCTACTTGTTTCTTCATGGGGGCATTCAAAAAGCTTTGCATGTTGGACAGTACTCTGGGCATGCGACTTCAGGATTAGGGTTCCTCAATCTACATTTTCACTTGCTTTGACCCCTTCATCAACACCTCTGGCTCTTCAGTAAAGGCCAGGAACCTAGGCAAACTCCCCACGCTCCACTCTGCTTTCCTCACTTCTATTAAGGACAACAGCCACCATGCCTTCCAAATGCCACCTGGGCTCTTCCTGCTGTTTTCACGACACAGTTCAGCTCCTTACCTGGGTTTGCAGAGCCCTCAAAACTGGGCTCCTACTTCACAGGAAGGCCCCACCCAGATCAGGCAAATGCTCTATCCCATTGAACACCTTCAGCCACTCTATCAACGGTTTTAATGCTCTGACATCTCATGCAGCTTCTCAACTGCTGAACAGGCCCTCTCAGCTTCCCACTCCCAGAGGTGAACCATGCCAATGCACACACCGAACACGGGGCTCACAGCTATCACTGTGCGGGTCACACTGACTAATGACCACTCAAGCTGTCCTGACTTCCCTACTACCCAGCACTTTCCTGAGGGCTGGGTCTGAAATTTACTCACCTGGGATACAGGAACTTAAAAGGTTTACAGAGTCAGCGAGAAACACTAAAATCATGTGTCTTATGCAGTGTGTTCTTGAAGAACCAGTTCAAAATGCCAGCCATTTCATTATTTTGGCAGCTTATTTTCCATCTTACAGGAATTAGCCATGGCTCTTCAGGAGAACACAAGAAGCTGAGAAAAACACCCACCTGTGGGATCGCTCCCAAGAGCTCCTCCACACTATTGTAGCCGTATGTCTTGGGCTGCAGTGTTTCTCCAACATACTTGGTATAGGCCACGGGGAATTCATGGAGGAAAATCTGCTGGTAGTGGTAAGTATGAAGTAAAGACCGCACATTCTTTGCAAATAAATACAGACTTGTGAGCTTCACACACTCTTCTGTCTTATCATTAGTAAAAACCTGGTCCAAAAGAAAAAGTAGGATTAGATACCTCACGAATGGCTAACCCTGTTCTCTCTAGTGTAGGTTTCTGGCTGACAGGTGAAAGACCAAAGTCAGTCTGAATATGGGCATTAAAACTGAGGTGGAGGAGAAGGGGCAGAGAGGATGATCATTCCAGGTTCTCCTCCCAGAAAGTCAGGAGCTTTGAACAAACTTCAACTGTAAGTCCAATGTTGTAGGCTTTGGGAAGACAGTGAATAGGAAAGCTGTGGTCTTAAACCAAGAAGGCAGTGATGCAGAGAAGCTAACCTAGATGGAGTGGACTTCTCACACAGCAGGATTAAGGCCACTATACACCACCTGCCAAACTAGTTTGTTCACTTGTTCAGTTATTTTTGCAGTACGGACCACTGAACCCAGGATGTTCCAAATGAGCTACATCCCCAATCCTTTTTATTTTTAAGACAAGGTCTTGCTTTGTTGCCCAAATTGGACCTGCATTTGTGATCCTTCTGCCTCAACCTCCCAGAGTGCTGTGATTACAGGCTTGTTATTACTGAGCCCAGTTACCAAATTAGTTTTCCAAGAAACACTATGACACAGGAATACATTAGCATTGTGTGAAAACATAGACAAAACACCACACAAAACTTTTATGCCTTTGAGTTAAGGTGCATTTTTGGTTTTTTACCATAACCACTTTCAGTCTTTAATATGCCCTGGAATCTCTGAGAGGAGTTATTTCTTTATCTTTGCTGGTCATTTAAAGTTTAGTCCTACAACATCCATTAGCATTATCCACAACTAGAGTTCACAGAATGCAAAATTAATAGTTTAGAAAATGTTGGTCTTGTTATCTTAAAAGTGTCTATCACAGAATTACATACCAATGGTTTACTATTCTTTTATATTGCTAGACTTTATGTTAATATCTTAGTTTGCATCTTTTTGTTTTTTTTAAAAGAGACTAGATCAGGCTTATGGCACTAAAATTATTTTGGTACCATAAAGGTGCTGAACTTTTTTTTGGTGGCCTTAAGAAGCTGGAATCATCTACTCATTTAGGGTTAGCTGAAAATTCAAACATTAACCCATTTGTCCTGGTGCCTTATTTAGTGGTAGAAATTCAATGATCTTTATAAACTCTGTTGTGACAGTTGGTCTAGTTTTCAACTTTCTTGGGTAATCTTTGATAATTTATTCTTTAGGAACTCATTTTCTCTAGGTTATATTTTCTATCCCAGCAATGGATTTAGTATTCTATCACAACTCTTTCCACCTTTTAGTGCTATTCCTGAAAGGCAACAGAACAGCCAGGTGACACTGCTTTCTAACCCTTACCTCCTCTGCTAGACTTAGCTGAGGAGCTCCACTCACACCATCTAATTCAGATATGCCACACCAACAAAACCCAGCCTGATACAGGACAAAAGCACCTGAATCCAAGCATCAGGACATCAGAGTTTTCATCTTGCCTTTACTACCCATCCTGGAAGAGTTCCTTCATCTCACTAGGCCTCAGTTTGCTCATCCAGGAAATGACCCACCGGTCATGAAGATCTTTAGGGACCCTTACAGCTATACATGCTGGGCTAATCTACACAAACAGGTTATCCAAAAATACCCAGTTCAACAGCTTTTAACATGATACAATTAATTCACGGACCTCAACTAAGTAAGGCAGACTCTTCAGAAGTTCAGTCAAGGTCATGAATCCATATTCACAGGGGTTAAGAGGAGAACTATGGGTAGTTTCATAATGTCTCTTGAGTTCATCCACAGAAAGACAGGTGGTTCCTTCCCAAGACATCAGCAGTACCAGCAACTGGGCAGTGAGAGACCGCAGAGACTTTCGATTGATCAGCTGAATCTGTTTGCCAGATTCTATATCTGCAACCTGAGAAAAATCAAATTACAAACTTTTCAGAACTCAGATGAGAAAACCTAGATTTTACCTAAGTCAGTTAATTCATTTTGGTTAATGAGATCAATGGATAAACAAATACGAATTTTTTCTGTTGAACTGAAATAAAGTGAGTCTGTACTGAATTTCTCTGGGTTACCAAACCAACATTTTGCATGAGACAAGAGCAAAAATTGTTGGTCAATAACCAAAAACTTCCATCTACACCATCTCCTTTCTCAAGGCAATAATGGAGAAAAAACTGCTATTGTTCTCTTTATTTCTTTATTCATTCTTTTATTCTATTGCCTACTATAGGAAGGATACAGATTGGCTAGTGCTAACCACTGATCTAAACTCATGAATTAAGGATTGCTGGGCTCAAAGAAGGAATGGGATAGGGAAGCAATGATGGGGAGTGGTAGAGGGCTCACTCTGACCACAAGCCAGGTTGCATTTTATAGTTATTAGTTGTAATGAAAAAGCTGGTATTTTCACTTTTAACTCCTCCATTCTTTCCGATTTTCATATAGATACAAAGCTTAAGTGATTTAATGCACTGGAAGGGAAACTCTAAAGAAGATACTATCATCATTTAAGGATCAGTATCATAAACAGAACAAGCATTCAGAGACTGAGATCACCAGGCCTTAGGAAGAGGGGTACAGTCTGTGAATTGGATGTTTCCTGAAACTGATGTAGGCAGAACGTCAGCACACACGCCATTTAGGTAAGCCAAACCACTGTCTATTCTTACAGCTGGTTTTTCCTTTACTCGCCTTTCCTGCCACAAGCAAGTCTGAATGCCTAGAGACACGTGCTTGTCCTCTTTGGGGCGTTGAAGTCTTAGAAAGAATAAGATGAGCAGCACTTGGGGAGCCAAACTAGTATTGGTTCATCTTTGTTTAGTTCTGAGGTACACTCTGAGCCAAGGCAGGAGACTCCTTTCCAGATAACATAGTCATGGAATTATATATATGTTCTGCTCAGAGGCAGCTGAAACAACCAGCATAGGCAAATCCAGGAATGCATGTCATCTTGTTAAGATACCCACTGCACTTCAAGGTTAAAAAAACAAAATGATACAAAAGCCTGCTCTTTTGTTGCTATTTAGATCCACATCTTGATTCTCAGTGCTGACTCAACATTAAAATTACCTAGGGAGCTTTTAAAAAGGGTCAATGCTCAGAGCATATCCAGACTGACTACATAAGAATCTCAAAGCCAGCTCAGGAAGTTTGGGCTATAGTTATTTCCCAGGAGCTGCCCAGGAGTTCCTGCGGGCGGCCTGGCTTGCACTGGGACCTTTCTCACCTTTACTCATCTTTCCTACACACACCACACTTCCCAGTCATTCAACTTCACTCATGGCTTAGAGCCTTTTTTTTCACCTGATCTCACCACTCCCATCGCCCTGGTGATTAAACACTCAAGACACTTGTCCCACACCAAAGCCTTTTCAGCCCCTCAACCCTTTCATCTCCAGTGGCATCCTTTGGTCAGATTCACTGCCGACACACATCCCCAAGGTCACTATGGATCTTGTCCTTAGCCACTTCCAAAATAACTCATTCAAACCTGCCAAGTATCCCGCATGCAAGGATGTGAGGAAACAACATTAGGATAGGAGACCAGAGGAGGTTCACCTGCTCAACATTCCCCAGCCTCACCCAATGATGCTTTCTATCTCCTCCCAAGTCACAGGACATCCCCATCTTTTCTTTCCTTACCTATCCTGGCACTATGGCCATTTATGCACTGCTGTTCTTGCCAGTACTTTTAAGTTCTTTGTTCCTATGCCTTTTTTTGCTGCACTCATCTGGCTTCCCTGGGCATATACGGATATAGTTGCACCCTGACTCATGTGTCCATCAGCCTCCAAGCACCAACAGTCAGTGAGTTTACAGTACTCTGCACCGTGACCTAAAGCCATGCTCCCACTCACCATGCAACTTCACACCTTCGCCCACAATTTCGCGACCTGAGTTCGGTCCTCTCTCTAAGTAATGCAACTATCTCACTCACTGGGAATATAACATCCTTTCCCTTATGACAAACATCATCCTTACTTATATAATCACCCCACTTGTCACCTTTCCCTCATCAAAATGTATCCCTCCTTCTGCTCTACCCTCCTGCCTCCTCAGGTTGGCACCCCATGAGCCTTTCTTCTCAAGTGGATCCTTCTCAAGGGCTTTCAAACATACTCAAGTCTCCCCAATTCAAGAGCAAAACAAAACCCAAAACCTCCAACAGCCCAAAAGCTTACTTGCTCACTCCATTCCGTGTCTCCAGCTACTGCCTTCCCATTTCTCTCCTTTACAGCTAACTGCAGAAAACATGTGGAGAAGACTTGTTGCTATTTTCTCACCTCGCCTCACTCCTTCCCTCCGTCCACTCCAGTGTGGTTTCTGCCCCCACCCCTCCCTGACACCACTGTTTTCACCTGCTTAATCCAAAGGTGAGGTCAGTCCCTATCTGATTTGCCCCCTAGTATCATGGAATGCTACTGGTCACTTCTGTTCCTGCTGGCTCTGAATGTCCATCCTCCAAGGTGCTTCCTACTTTCCAGCTGTTCCCTCCTTGTCTCCTGTGAGAGCTTGATCTCACAGATTCTTTCAGACCTGTGAGAGGGATGCCACCACTTCCTGATTCCCTCTTTCTTTTCCTGGCCCTGTATTCTAGATGGCCTCAAATGTCCATCTGCAATAGTGGCTAGGGGTCTAAGGGACACTGCAAGTGTACAATGGCCGAGGGTCGCAAGAGTAGCTGAACAGACGCACTATGGCTAAGCAGCTGAATAAATGATGCTTAACATAGCTCCCAGTTGTGTCTCTTCTTCACGCTGCTTTTTAATCTCAAGTCAATCTCCCTACTCTGAACTAGTGACAAGTCACTGCTATATCTGGGAACACACATCCTGTGATGAAAAGTAACGATATCAGTTTCAATATGCACTACTTTGGCAAAGTCATTAATAAAACACAAAAAAGGAATACCAAAAATTTAAAGTGCCAAACCAAATCATTCCCTGTTACCTAAAAAGGCATTAGTGATACATAAAATGTGAGGTGAATGACTATCAACAAGAAATTAAATATAGTAATAACAAATGCTGGCGAGGTTACAGGGAAAAAGGAACCCTTTTACATTGTCAGTGAGAATGTGAACTACTACAACCACTATGGCAATCAGTTATGGAGATTCTTTAAAAAGCTAAAATAGAAATTCCATTTGACCCAGCTAGACATCTTCTCAAAAGAGCTGAAATCATTACAGTGATACATGCATTTACATGGACTATTTTTAATAGCCAGGCCTTGGAAGTGTCCTATCTATTCATCAATGGATTAATAAACAAAAGGTGGTCTTTATACATAATATAGTATTACTGTGCCATAAAGAACAATAAACCTTTGGCATTCCTAGATAAATGGATGCACCTTGAGACTGTAATATAAAGTGAAACAAATCAGACACAAAAGCTTAAATATCACATCATTTCTCTTGTGTGAGAAACCCAAAATATAAATAGAGCACAAAATAAAAGATAATATGAAGTAGGGAGATCTTTTTCAAATGGGAAGTAAACAAGAGATGGAGGGAAGGTGAAATGAGGGAAAGAAAAGGGGATGGAAAAAAACACCAAGGAAAAAAAAAACCAAAATAGAGCTTTTGCAAACGGGGAAAGGACCAAAAGGCAGGAGACGAGAGGGACAAGACAGGCAGCAACCAAAAAAATTAACAAGTGTTATATACATGTACCAACTCTCCACAATAAATGTAATAATTACACACTGCAAATATATACTAGTCAAAAAATTTTTTATATCATGTAAACACAGAAATGCTAATGCATACATAAACATCTCAATTAGGATTGTGCTCACAAGGTTTGTCCATGAAAAAGAAAGTTTACCTTTACAACATGGCAGAGTTTCTGTGTCAGAGCTGAAACTGAACTGACATCATAGTCCTGGAGACGAAACGTGTAACCAAAAGTTCTAGCATATTCTGTAAGCAAATCTGCCATCATAAGGCAGTTATCTTTTTGGGATCGAAGAAGTTTAACAAACTGAGCAGCTAGAGCTTTGAATCGTTCAACCTCTGTCAAAGTAAGAATTTTTTCTTCTCCACATTCTAATACCTTGGAAAACACACAAAGAGGAGGAAAAAGAAACGAACTTAACAAACTGTTCATGAAAGTAAAAGTCACAAAAGTCATTAAAATGTATACAAGAGGTAACTCAAACTCACTCTTGTGTTGTTTAATGGGTATAGCTTGGCAAGATGTGAAACTTCTGCAGTTTGGTTGCACAATAACATGAATGTATTTACTGTTAAAACGTATACTGAGAAAGGGTAAATCTTGCTATGTGTATTTTGTAAGAATAAACAAACTTACAAACTTTTTTTTTTTGTCTTTTTCCTTCTTATCGGTATCGGGGATCAAACTCACGACCAGGCCACCTACTTGCAAGGCAGGTTCTTATGCCGCTGAGCTAAATCCCCAGCCCCAAACTTACAAACTTTTTAAGAGTCTCTGGTTTTACTTAGCAACAGCTTAGCAATTTACCACTGATACTTCCTCATATAATGACTCCCATCTCCAACACAAAGGATTTGAAAAGTATGGAGCTAATAAAAGAATATCCAACTTAAAAAAACTGAATTATGCTGGGCGTGATGGTGCACACCTGTAATCCCAACACTCAGGAGGCTGAGGCTGGAGGATCCTTCCAAGTATGAGACAAGCCTGGGCTACAAAATGAGCACATGATCAGCCTGAACTGCATAAAGAGACCCTGTCTCAAAAAGACGGGGGGGGAGGGGGGGGGAGAATTGAACTAATTAATTCTTGTCTCAATAACTGCTCTAAGGCAAGTTTGAAGACTATTTTTTAAAAACTCTCCCACATTTAGCTAAAAATATTAATAAATCAACAACATAACTTTTCTAATAGAACTATTCTTTTGTAACTTGCTACTTCCCAGGAAAACTGGCCCTGAAATGATTTTAAAAAATTTTCCCTTAATACTGTTTAGAAAACTACTTTAAGAATTAGAATTCTTTACTCACTTGTAAAATATCAGGTATGGCTTCAAAAAGTTCAAGTAGTTTGGTAAACCCATAGTATGCAAGTTTGCACTGCCGGCCAAAGTGGTGATGGTAAGATGGAATAAATTTATTAAAGGGCATCCGGAAGTGGGGTTGGTGACGTAACAAATCAACAACATCCTTGGAGAACTGTTTTGTTCTTTCTATTTCATCCTGAGTACGTTCTTTAGAAATGAAACAAACCAAAATATCAGTCTTTTCCTACTCATTTATCTTTAACATCCATACTGTACTAAGTCCAATTCAGAGTCTACAAACGATCATCTTTGCTTTTCAGACATGTACAACCAAAACAAACACATGCTGTCTTGTCAGCAAGTGGCTCTTACAGGCAGTTAAGGGCAAAACACTGGGAAATCATACTATTATAGCACGCTAGGAAGTAAGTAATCTTTCAAGCTAGCAACAAGTCTTTTCTGACCATCATCCCCAAACCCTGTACATACGAACATGACACACACAGACCTATGCATTTAAATAATAATCTGAGCTGGGCCTGGTAGCACAAGCCTGTAACTCTAGCACTTGGAGAGGCTGAAGAAGAATGTCAAGTTCAAGGTCAGCCTGGGCAACACACCAACTGAGTTAGACTGTCCCAAAAAATAAAAATGGGAGAGTTGTAACTCAGTGCAAAGGCACTGGGTTAAATCTCTAGTACTGAAAAATAAACCTAATGTACAACTGGAGACCCATATGGGAAATGTACTGTGTTTCCCCCAAAATAAGACTTACGTGGAAAACAAGCTCTAGCTTCACTTTAGAAGACACATTCCCTGAAAATGAGCCTTATTTCTAGGGGGCATTCTAAAAAGGCTAAATATACCTTTTCCCATTTTGAATGAATTCTAAAAAAACTAGGCAGGCCCAATGGCACACACTTACAATCCTAGCTACTCAGGAGACTGAGGCAGGAGAATCTCAAGCCTGAGGCCAGCTTGGGCAACTGGGCAAGATTTTATGCATCCCTTAAAATATTACAATTTAAAATAATAACCATTGAGCTCAGAGTGATGCCATGTGTCCACAGTCCCAGCTCTTGGAAGATGAGATAGAAGGATTACTTGACCTCAGGAACTTGACACCAGCCTGTGCAACACAGTAAGACCCCATCTCAAATAACCCCTGAGAAAGACATTCTCTCAGGGACTATAAGCAGTGTACCTCTTTTGGGGATACAAATCACCATGTCCTTATCTTGTTGGGACAAGCAGATGGTTGTGTCTGGAATCTCTGATAAGATATCAATCAATTCGCAAACACCGTACTCAGTGACATCCCAGTCCTTTGAGAAACACCTAGGTTTTCACATCAGAAATGGATAAAGAGTGAGAAAAATCATTGCTAACATAACTACAAGTTTTCTGGAAGAGTGCTTAATAGAAAATGAGAGAACTGTTTAAAATTTGGGGGAAAAATGTTTTAAAATAGCTTACACTTTCAGTTGTCAACTCACCAATGATAAGCCTGTGAGAATTCTCTCACAATGACTTGTTTGCTAGCCTGGGATTTGAGAAGTTTCAGTAAATCCTGAGTAAAGCGCTTCACCTGGGCTCTGTGAGTGAGGGTCAGCAGACGTTTGGAGCCCATTCCAAGAATCTGTGAAACAAACACATTGATTTACTCCCAAGACCTTAGGGCACACTGACTTTCTTGTGCCCTCATGTACACATGCTTATTTTCTCTCCCACACCATCCCACTCCTGTCACCACTCACAGAATAATTGTTAAAGAGCAATCAAGCAGAACAACTGTCTACCAGGTGTGGTGGTGCACATCTGTAATCTCAATCTCAAAACTATAAAAATAAAAAGTGTATTATCACTCTGGACAACTAAGTTTGACACAAAAAGCTAACGTTTTTCATTTCATTTAAGTGAGAAATTATTACAACACTGTAAGTTACGCAAAGGCTTCAAAGTCTTCATTACATCCAACGCTACACTCCTACTTAGTAGTCTCTAACTCACTTACAAAAAAGGTTAAGCCCCTGACTCTCCCCCAAGCCACCAATAGGTAGGCACAGTAACGTTCACAGCAGCTCCCCTGTAATGACGGACAATTCTGGAGAATTGTGTAGGGTTAACAATACTTTTAATAAGGTAATTAATTGTGTATTTTGTCTTATTAAGTTGTTAAAAATCAAATGTGCATTTGATATAAACTTGTTTAGGGAGAAATAGCTCCTATTACTAGTATTAACATTATTTCTTCTATATAAGTATAGATTAATCCAGTTAAACGGGTTTTTATGGGTCTATTGAAATTGGGACTTTGGCTTTCTTTTGAGCTTGAATGCTTTCTTAATTGATGGCTGCTTTTAGGCCAACTATGGTGATTTTGTTTATCCATTGCTTCCTTATTTTAAAGAGCTGTCCCTCTTTAAATTAGGTTTTAAGTTTTCATTTTAGAAAAACTTAAAGCTGAACTAAAATTCTTATTTGGATAGCCAGCTATCACCAAACTCGGTTGGCTTTTCACCTCTATTTCTAAACCTATTTTGCCACACTGAAGAGTTTGCTCTGTTAGCTGTTTGGAAGTAGCTCTTTTGGTTTTGGGGTGACTGACTGCAGTTCTCTTTATCAAGTTTAGTCTAGTTAATCTATTACACAAAAGGTAGTAGGGATAATCTATGCTGTTTTTCACTGTTTATTAAATAATTTTCTTTCATCTTTCCCTTGCAGTACTACCTCTTATAGCACAAAAAAAAAAAAGTTCTATCTCCTATACTTTTTCAGATAAATGTTTTATTCTGTAAATTTAATCAACAGGTTCCAAGTGGTCAAGTGGTGAGTGAAATCTTCCAGGTTTAAGCTATACTTTGTTTTTCAAGCACACATTCCAGTATGCTTACCTTGTTAGTTGTCTCCTCTCACAGTGTATTGATTTTAGAGCTTAAAAATTTAAATATTTGAGGAGGGTGATGAGCAGTGTGTACGTGCTTCATGGCCTGGTTCAATTAAGCTCTCCTTAGTCTACTACTAAATCCTCCTTGGATCTTTAATTTCATAAAGATTTACATTGAATTATTCTTTTGATAAGAAAATGTAGCCCATTTTTTCCCACTTCATGGCTACACCTTGTCCTAACATTTTTATGTGATATACTTGTGCTTATTTTAACTCCATAAAGGGGTTTGCTGAAGATGGCAGTATATAGGCTGAATTAGCAAGAAGTGGTGAGGTGAATTGGGGTTTATCAATTGTAGAACAGACTCCTCTATGTGGATATAAAGAGCTGCCAAGACCTATGAGTTTTAAGTTGCTGCTAGCAGTTCTCAGGTAAAAATTTTTGTTGTAAAATTTTTATGTTTATGGCTAAGCACAGTGAGGTATCTAATCCCAGTTTGAACCTTAGCTTTTGTGTGTTCAGATATCTAAGATTATTTTCATTTTTGCTATTTTATCAGAAGCTTTTTACAACCTAAAATTTAATCTCATTTTTTAATTCTCTAAAACATTCTTTATACTAGAATTTATTAATTTGGGTTAATTATATGACTGTGGTGGCTGGCATGAAATTCACCAACCCTAACATTTGTTGCATGACTTAAGTCAAACTTTCATTTGTTGCCTAATTTTTATTACTGCTGTTTCCTATGGGGGTGTAGCAAGGTGTTTTGAGCTACTGTACAATGTTCTTGATATCTACTTCTTTTAATCTTTTTGATTTAGAGGGTATTCTCACTGGTGTGATGACTCTTGCATATATAATTCTGCTAATAACTAATAAATGAGCCAGGACCAAACCTATTGTTTATGGAGTTATAAAACTCATCTAGACATTTTCAGTGCCTTGCTTTATGTATAAGCTACATTAACTTTGGATAAGTAAATAAAAATTCATAGAGTGTGAAGCACTCAACTGAGACAAGCAGGAAAATACTCTGCAGTACTCAAAGAAGTGCCTTTAAATTGGAAATTTGTAGTTTCTTGGAAAACTGAGATGTTGCCTTGTGCACATCTCTTATACTTTGGGAGAGCATTTATAGGGTGTTTTGCTCAGAACTGGTTTCTCAGGAATTACGTTATTATCTGATATACAGTATCTTTGTCTGGCACAAAGTACTGGAGAAACACTGCTGACTTTAAACAATTCCTTATCACTTTTTACCTGCAACACATGAGGCACCGCTTCTAATAATTCAATCAGCTTGGAATATCCATAGTCTGAAACTCGGCACTGCTTTGCAAAATGATGGTGATAAGCTGGGATGAAATTACTAATTGGTATGACACAAGATGGTTGGTTCTTCAGTAAGTCAATCACTTCTCTACTGAACTGGATCAGCTGGGGGTTACCTACAGGACTTTTAGAGCGAAGTAGCCAAGAGTCTAGAGAAAGAAAGGATATGTATAAGACACAAACATGATCTGATCAATTGAAAGGAGTAATGAACTTTGTGGTTTCCAGCTATGAAGTTCAATAATGAACATGCAGGGAACAAAACTGCTGCTTTAATTTTAGCTTCTACACTAAAGTCTCAAATAATCAATGACTACTCCAACTTATCTACAGCCTGGCAAATCTCTCCACTATACTCAACATTAAGGCAAAGTAAAGCATAGTTTGTTGTAGTGCAATTTTTATAGTGAAAATACAGAGGAATTTTCCTGTCCTCTGTGGTTATACTTCAAAGATCCATTTGCAACTTGGTCATGTGGAACATATTTTGCCATAGGGACAAAATTATACATAGCCATTGGTTAGGAGGTCCAAAAGGAGGTTAATTCAGTGGAGTTGAGCACGTTACCCAGAAAATAAAGGAGACCAGTAATATTATAAAACTGCGATAACTAAAATTAAATAAGACAGGCATTGTATTGTCTCAATGCTCACACCTAAAAAGTATTTTACTTTTTTAAAAAGTAATCAAATGAAAACCTTTATAAAAAGATGAAAGAGGCATGTGAACGCATGGGTCAGAGCAGAGAAAGGAAAGGTAAGATAATCCATGAGTCCCCTAAGACTGAGGGAAAAGAAAGGAGAGGTTCAGCTGCAAACTTTTGAACAAACATTTTTCCTCTAAGCACCCTGACTTGGCAGAACATCCTGATTATCCTTATCTTTTTTGCCATAGCAGGGGAATGTGGAAGGAAAAAGGACTGGGTGTCAAAAAGAAGGAAATATATATGTACATATGTATTTATGTTTTTATGTATGAAGGACACAATTGTTTTTTGTCTTTTTCCTTTTTATCGGTACTGGGGATCGAACTCACGACTGCCTGCTTTCAAGGCAGGCGCTTATGCTGCTGAGCTAAACCCCCAGCCCGAAGGCCACAATTTAAAGTGCTGTTCACAGGTAGCAGTGTCAGACATTAGCAACTCAGGGCACATCCATCACTGGCAAATAGCACAGCTCCTATTAGTCTTGCAGAAGCTCAAGACTAAATCCCCAACACCTACCTGTGTTGGGAGGTGGGGGCTTGTCATGGATCCACTTCACTACTTTGACACCATTCTGAGCAATGGCAACGTTCACATCTGGAACACAGGTGATGAAGTGTTCCAAGGGGACACCCCCTTGATTTTCCTGTACTAATTCTAGGTCACCAAACTCTGCAGCATAGCAATCAGGAAAGCTAAAGTGTAGAGAAATGTAAGTTAAAATAATGGAAAATATAAGCACCCACTGAACAGAAGGCTTTAATTCACTGAATCTGTTAATAAATGCCTTCTATTTAAATGCCCACAATCTGGATTTCAATGTTAAAACTGAGGTCCTGAGGAGTCAACTGCTGTGGCATTGCCCCAGCATCTTTGATGCATTCTGATGGTACTACAAATTCCTGGGCAGTTTTCAGAAAATTTAAATAGAAAGCATCAGAGTTCCAGGTCAGTAATTCACCTGGCTTAATGTATGGGGCATTGAACCCACTTTGTCCTGTGTTGGTTTTTATATTAAGTCTACCCTGGAGAGTATAAACAGATTCCTTTTTTCTTTTTTTTTGGTACTAGAAATTGAACTCAGGACCTTGCACTTGCCAAGCAGACACTTGTGTCGCTGGGCTAAATCCCCAGCCCAATTAAAGGGGTTTCTGAAGAGTCTTAAAATGTGCAAGCCATTGAAGCTCTGTACATTTCCCAGGACCTATGAGATTTCTATTACAGTGCCTACAATGTATCCCTTTCTTGTGGAGAAGAAACTGTTCTGTTCTTGTTGATGTTTGTAAAATTTAACACAAACACAATTTTCTTGATAAAATACTGAGTGAATTGATCTGACCGCAGACCCTCTTTCAATTTCAAGGCTTCATTAGAATGAAGCACTCCACAAAACCTGGAATAGTGAGAGAGGGCAGACTTTGTGGATGAAGAACTAGGGCATTACACTCAGAAAGCCCCTGACATGGTTCACCTTAGTAAAGGCACAGTGCCCTCATGGGTCTGGAGAAGAGTGTGAACCTGGGATGCAAATGTCTTCAAACAAAGAATCACAAAAGGAATCTTGTAAGAGTCTGGATCAAATTCATGTTCACTGCAAGAAAAAAAAGAATACAACCGAGGATATTCCTGATAGCAGGGAATAGTAGGGTTTAAAATGTTCATAGTATAATTAATTTCAACAGATAATTCCACAATCTTATTCCATAATAAGATTATTAAGGAAAACAGTAACACACCTGAAATCCTTATGAGAACAATGCTGTCTGCAAACAGGCTCATGATACTCTAACTCTTCAAATATAATTGGGCTGCAGTTCGTGGATGAGCCATCATGTGACTGAGAAGACCCCAGGGGGCTCTGGCGGGCCTGACTGCTGGGTAACAGACACACCAGCCGCCCATTTCCTTGTTCACGGATTGTGACTGTGTCTGTTAATTTATATAAATCTGACACATTCAACTTGTGTCCAAACCTATAAAAAAGAGGAAAAAAAAAAAAGAGATGTGACTTACACAGAACACTTTGTTTTGATATACAAAAACATCTATCCTGTTTAAAGATTTCAGTCAAACTCCAGAATGGTTCCTCCAGCTCTGCCAAAGCAACACTAGACTGTTCTGTGAATTCATTCACTACCGAGCCAGGGACTCCCAGTACTCCTTGAAGTCATCCTTGGCCCAGTGTCCAGTACGGCGACCACATCATTTAGTAGCATCTCCCCTACACCTAGGTTCTGTAAAATGATTTTCTGAGATGAAAATCAATCTGACATGATCACTTGTGTCTTGGCTCCCCATCATTCCACATCCCTCTGTGTTACCTCTCACCATCCTGCTCTCTGCCCTCAGAAATATGCTCCTTTACAGGGGTCTCTTGCTTTCCATGCATCAGCTGCATGACATGTCCTCTGAGACTGACCAAGTGAATTACCCCTGACTTGGATCTTTCATACTTGGAGATTAAAGGCCCAGGCTCCGAAGGCAGAGAGTCGAATTCATATCCTGATTCAACTTCAACCTGTGTAACCTTAGTCAAGACACAAAATCAAATCTGCACCTCAGTTTTTTTCATCTGTAAGATGGAGAGATAACATGTATCTCACAGGGTTGCTATGAGAATTAAAGTGACTTAATGGACAGGGCTTGGTTTATGGTATGTACCTAGTGAACATTAACTGCTCTTCTTCTTGCCTGTTCCAGGACTCTCTCCACACTCAAATTTTCTCAGATACCTGTTTTCTCCCCACCAGGGAAACACGCATTCCCTCGTGCTTTTATGCTCTTGAGTGAAAATACTCACGTCTCTCTGGAGATGCTTTTGTTTCACCCCTCAGCTCTGCCGTCACCAGTGGCCTCCACCTCATTCCTAAACCTTACAGTGTGTCCTTGAATCCCACTACCCTGTAATCCCCACATGGCGGACATGTTCTGTTCCACACATCCCTCTTACAAATTCCTCCCTTCTAGGATCTCCGCTGCCTCTCTGGCCCTGGAGCTCTCCCATTGAGTTCTGCCCTTCTCCATTTCTCCTCCCAAATTGTTTGGTCTAATGTGATCACCTTTAGGGGAAACTGCTGCCTCCAAATGAATGGAAGAGTTGTAGAACTCTACCAAGTTACTCCAACAGATTCCTGGAATTGTATGTCCAAAACCAAGAATACTCATTGTATTCTTTTTACCCCCATTTCCAGTCTAACTACCCCAACATCATCCCATTCATCATCCATGGAGGAGAAGAAGCAAAAAACACTCCTGCTTTTCACACTGTTCTTAACACTGGAGGTTCCCACTCTCGCTTCCTGACATCTTAAGTTTCACTGGCTTCCAGTCTCTTCTGTTCCCACAGCTTCTGCTCAGAGCTGGGCCTGGGTAGTGCTGCCCCTTTTCTCTCTCCTTCCCTCTGTTTATTCCACCTCAGATAATACTGCCACCAGGAGGGTCTTCCTGAAGCATGGTTCTTACCATCATACCTGCCCGCTTCCCTCTCTCATTTCAGTGGCTCCCCATTATCCAAGAAGTAATAGTCAAGGCACTTGTTTTTTCCCTCCTGTACTACACAATTTTGTGCATGGAAACCACTAATAAGATCAATGAAACAAACAAACAAAAAAATCTAACTTACTTTTTTTCATAGATATCTGTAAATTTAAAAAGAGGCAAACAACAGGCAGGAGCATCTTGAAGAATAGACATTGTTTCTGCACTGTAAGACAAATTTTTAAATTAGAAAACAGACTATTCCTCTACACTAATTTTTAAACAACTCATAAAATTACCTCAAAAGTTTCTGCAAAGTAAATCTTACAGTTTCTGATATGTCAGAATTTACTTTCTAGGAAAATTTAAAAGAGCTTTAAAGAACAAACCACTGAAAGATTAAGTCACACACTAAGATTTTTATCAGACTCAATCATAGGGCTTTCTACCCATGTAGGGCATAAAGATACTGACGATGCACAGTAGGACAAACACTTAAAATGTGAAAGCAGAGCAAAAGACACAAAGAAGGGCTTAAAATACCTCCTGCCACGGTGCAGTTTAAATGTGACACACATGGACTGGAATTTCCTTTAAGTGACTGGATGTCCGAATATAACTTCAACTAATATTACACTGAACTATAACGTAATTAATTTCAACTGTTATTTTAAAAGTCAAAAGGTAAGAAAAAAAATGTTTAACGGGAAAAAACCCTCAAAAAGCAAAAACAAAATGCCCACATTGCTAAGTGTGATTGGCTTTAGGCCACAAAATTATGGATGACTTTTTTCATTGTTTCTTTTATTTCTGAACTTTTCAAATTTCCTTTAGTGAGAATTATTTTTACACTAAAGGGGGCAAGTGATTAAAATAGTGGTGAAATATGCACTAAACTAAATTCAGAATGGATCAAAAATCTAAATATTCCAACAGAAACAATAAATCTGCTGGAAGACAGAGTAGATAAAACTCTTGAGCACATTAGTATAGGCAAAGACTTTACAAACAAAAACGTGATTGCACAGAACTATCGCAAAAATCAACAAAGGGGATCTCATCTTATTAAAAAGCTTATTCACAGCAAGAGAAACCACCAACAGAGTGAAGAGACAACCCACAAGTAGGAGAAAATGTTTGCCGCTGTTCCTCAGACAAAAGATTACTATCAACAACAGATGAAGAACTCAAAAAAATCAGTTATCCCAAATTTAAAGGCCCAATCCAAAAATGGGCAACTGAGATGAATACACAGGTCTCAGATGAAGAAATATGAACAGCAAATAAATATATGAAAAATGGTCACTGAAGAGATGGAAATTAAAACAATATTAAGATTTCACCTCACTCCAAGAAAGAATAGCTATTATTAAGAAACCAACCAATAACAAATGCTGGAGGGGCTGTGGGGAAAAAGGAACCCTTCTCCACTGTTGGTGGGAGTGCAGACTGGTGTTACCATTCTGGAAATCAATGTGGAGATTCCTCAAAACACTAGGACTGGAGGTCCCATTTAACCCAGCTATTTTGTATCTTCCCAGAACTAAAAACACCATACTACAGTAATATACGTACACCTATGTTTATAGCAGCACAATTTGTAACAGCTTGCTCTTGGAAACAACCTAGATGCCCAATGGTGGAAGAATGGATAAAAAAGATGTGACATTTTTATTCAATGGAGTACTACTCAGCCATAAAGGATTAGTTTGAGACCTTTATAGGTCAATGGGTGCAACTTGAGACCATACTCGTTAGTAAAATAAATCAGACACATGTGTAAACATCGTTATCGTCTTACTGTGAGAAACTAAAAAAAACTACACACAAAAGATAGTTGAGATATATATGACTGATTTCTCTGAGCTCACTGAAGAGAAAGGTTTGTGTTAGTATTGTTTGGATGATTAAAGGCAGATATAATTTGAAGATAATGTGCAATGGATTTATGATTGTTATTCCCTAATTATTGTTTTAAAATTGTTTTTTTCTTTAAAATAAGAAAAAATAGTGAAGTACAAAATTTACAGAAAGATTCTTAATTGTTCAAGCAGACATTCAGGACTGAATCCTGTTCTAGTAGTTACCCTCAAAACATGGGAAGCCAAAGAGGAATCAAATACTATGAATAAAATCACAAGATTCCCAAGATTGATATAATCATGATGTAGACTTATGGAGCTTGGGGTAAGGATATAACTGCAAATTAAGAATCTGGAGCTTTACAGATGTAGTCTTAATAGACAAATCCACCACTACCATGATTCACATTTAGATTTCTTAGGTATGTAAGCTTTTCACATAGAGATATACTATTTTTAGAACTTGTATTTTATTCCCAACAGCTAATCACATTTAAGCTGTATTTCATCTATAGTGAATAACCTGAACAAGAATCAAATGCTCATTTCTAATCCTATCAAATGAAAATAAGCATTACTATATATGTTATTGGGAGAACCAGAAATGTGATACAATCTACTTTTATTATTTCTAAAGCTATTTCTGGGTCAAATATTATCTTCTGAAATAAACAGCTGGGTGTTTTGTTTTACCTCAGTAAAGAGAGTGATTTATTAGCAGCTCCTGTGGCAAGTGAGACCAGGATCTTCTTGTTTCCAATTTTGTATCTGTGGAGGCTATTCACTGCACCAATTGCTTCTTGTAAGTTTTCCATCTGAACAATGGCTTTGAGCTGATAATCTGTATGGGGACTGAGCTCAACACTCTTCACCTATAACAAGAAAAAAAGAAAAAGAAAAACAGAATGCTCCATCTATTCATAACCATCATCTTAAAACTGAAGGTGAATCATTAAGGGATGCATATTTGTGCACTTCAGCTTACATGCAAGGGAACCCATTTGAAATGCTAATACTTCTGCCAGACAAAATGTATGTGACTGGCATGAGATGACTTTTGGAGACATGACCCAGGCTGGTCCACCTGTATTCTCTGGCTTACATGGCTCTGAAGCAGTCTCACAGGCTAATGCACACAAGGAGTCTTCAAGTTCTTCTCTACACCCTGTGAAACTCTGGGTTGTAAAAGGCCAACTTATAGCAAATTGTACTTAAAATATTAAGACAGATGCAACAGGAAATAAAGAAAAACAATCAATGTTATTTTAGAATCTTATTTCTTTATTTAGCAAGTGGAACTAATTAAAGCCCACCAATGTTTCATTTCCCAAAAGGCCAGTTAAACCCCTGAGAATAACAAATCCTTCTCACTGCTGAGTTTCTTGCTCTCTGGGCCTGTACCCTACAAATTGGTGACACAGTACTACCCCAAGAAGACATGAAGAACACAAGAGTCAATCCTGTCTGATCATATTTATATACTGCTTATGATTATATGTGTCAAGTTAATTTCTTCTGACTTCAAGTTCTACCAATGGGTAAAAAACCAATAAAAACACAAGCGAGAGGGTTACCTTGCCATGCCTGGAAAATGCCTCCTGGATCAGCTGCTGCAGCTCCTTGCGGGACAGTCTGTAGTCTACATTGCTGACCTGGATGTCAGCACCATTTGCAAAGGGGTCCGGGTGGCTAGCTCCACTGCTGGAACTGGCAAGGTTGAAAGCAAGTGGAGATGCTCTATTTGAAAGGTTTGGAGACAAACTCCTGCTGAAAACACAAGTGTTGTGGTCTTTCTTAAAACTATTCTGGCTTTGTCTGAAGTTACATACAGAAAACACTTTCCTGTTTGGTTTTCTTTTCTAAGACAGAGTCTCATTATGTCAACCAGGTTGGACTTGAACTTGTGGGGATTCTCCAGTCTCTACTTCCCAAGTGTTGGGATTACAGGTGTGCACCATGCCTGGCCACTGTTTGGTTTTCAGATGTACTTTCACCTTAAATATACACTCATCAAGCATTATTTAAAGTACTGGTGACCTCTGTTAAATGACCAATAATGTTTTCAATACCAAATATTCTTTCTCTGACTTATTTAATGTTAAAGGCAGAAATCATAGGCATTTTTTTTGAAATTTCTATGTAGGAAACATGTTATCAACTTTTTGCCACTGCACCTCCTCTGTGGCTCTAAAAACATAGATCTTTTGGCCCACTTGCTCCATCCATCTGTACAGAAGAACACTTCTATGTGAATTTTTAGATGTCATTAAGCAACTCCATAGTCACTCTCTATTGTGATGCTTCACCAACTCCGCAAAACAAATGTAATGGGAACCAAGGGAACATAAGATGCTTTTATAGCTCCCCACTCCCCAAGTCTCAAGAATTACCTGGTGTGAGTTTAGAAAGCACAGATTAGAGTCAGATCCTTACAGTGGTCTATGGAGACCCTTACTTTGAAATCACCTTCCTGAAAGGGATACCCTTTAGTGGCATAAGTGCCTGCCTGGCAAGCACCAGGTCCTCAATTCAATTTCCGGTACCAAAAAGAAAACAGCTTTCTATAAAGTGCCAAAGAATAAGCAATGCATGCTTAGTTGTGGCTTTTTCTACAACAGGTTACATGTAAAGTCATCTTAACATGCCTCCTCTCATTAGCCAGAGACCCTAAGACAAGTGTATCTTGGACCTCTGCTTACCAGGATTTCTATGTGAAGGAGGTAGAAAATGGTGAGAAATACTACACGTAAATGTCAACTATGATCACCAGAGGACGAGGATTGGGAGACGGGAGGAAGGCTTATCTTTTACTTTGTGAATTTCTGTACTGTTTGAAGTCTTTTTAGTAAACACAGTATTTAAGCTCTCCTATTACATGTAACCACTCCAACAGGTCAAGAATCTGGGCTTACAGGAGGCATCACAATCCCTGACTTGAAGTTATACTACAAAGCAACAGTAGTAAAATCAACATGGTACTGGAATCAAAACAGAACCGAAAATCAATGAAATAGATTAGAAGATACAACCACAACTACAAACACACTCAACCACCTTATCTTTGATAAAGGAGCCAAGCAGGTTCACTGGAAGAACGACAGTCTCTTTAATAAATGGTGCTAGAAAAACTGGCTCTCTATTTGCCGAAAACTAAAGCTAGACCCATGTCTATCACCATGTACTAAATTAAAATCTAAATGGGTCAAAGATCTGAATATTAAAACAGAAACACTAAATCTATTGGAAGACAAATTAGATAGAAACCTTGGAGACATAGGAGTAGGTAAAGAATTCATGAACACGACTCAAACCGCACGGGAAATACTTCCCAGAATCAGTAACTGGGACCACTTCTTATTAAAAAGTTTCTGCATGTCAAAAGAAATCTCCAGCATAGTGAAAAGAAAACCCACAAACTGGGAAAAGATTTTAGTGAACTCTCTCTCAGACAAGGGCCTCTTGTCTAAAACATATAAAGGATTAAAGAAACTCAGACCTCCAAAATTCAAAGATCCAATCCAAAAATGGGCATCTGAGATGAATACGCACTTCTCAGATGAAGAAATGCAAATGGCAAATAAATACATGAAAAAATGCTCATCATCATTGGTCATTAGAGAAATGCAAATTAAAACCATCTCACTCCTGAAAGAATGGCCAGGATCAAGAAAACCAACAACAAATGCTGGAGAGGCTGTGGGGAAAAAGGAACTCTCCTGCACTGCTGGTGGGAGTGTAGACTGGTACAGCCTTTGTGGAGATCTGTCTGGAGATTTCTCAAAAAGTTGGGATTGGAAATCCCATTTATTCCAGCTATTCCACTTCTAGGCATATTCCCAGAAGAACTGAAAGCATCATACCACAGTGATATATGTGCACCTATGTTTATAGCAGCACAATTTGTAATCGCCAGATCTTGGAAACAACCCAAGTGTCCATCAACTGAGGAATGGATAAAAAAGTTGTGGTATTTCTATACAATGGAGTATTATTCAGCTATAAAGAAGGATCACATTGAGATATTTATCAATAAGTGGGCGCAGCTTGAGACCATACTCATAAGTGAAATAAATCAATCTCACATGTGTGAATACCGAATAGTTTCCCTAATGTAAGTAATGATTCAAATATATAAAAATATGTGGTAATCATGATTCCCCATTAGGTGGCCTTGAAGCCTTATAAAGTTTTCACTCATTAATTAGAAAGGCTTTATTCTGGGCTTCTTGATATGGAAATATTTGAAGCTAGAGTATATGAAGTTTTATCCAAATATTTCAAGGAAAAAGACAGACACTATGGTAACTACTATTAAGTCGGGTTATATGGTGGTGAAGTACTAGGTTGCTGAAACAGTCATGCTTTGACCTCTATTGTTATATTGTTATGTCCTGTTTTATCTCAATCTCCCCCTTATTCTTTTAAAAAAATTATTTAGTCATTTCTTATGTTTGTCTTAATTAAAGAAAAAATTTAAAAAATTAGGATATATAAATAGTAACTCTTTTTGATTTCCTATTAACTTGTTTTGAAGTCCTGTAATACTCCCACGATCTTGTTTTGACTGATTAGACTCTGTTCCATTCTGTATGATAGTATCAAGTTTGAAGATATAGGCAACTACTTTGAAGGCAATAAGATTCACTAAGATACCCATTCCGGTTTGACTATTGTCTTCTTTGGAAGTCCTGTAATGTTTACAATGCCTAAGTTTTATTGGTCTTGTTCTCTACTGTTTTGTCCAACTTTATAATATCTAATGAGATAGACAATTCTTTTTAAGGAAACAAGAGACAATGTTGATAACCATTGTTGATAACCTTGTACTCTGTTCTACACCATGTGCTATGTCTATCCTTGGTTTTGACTGACAGCTTTGTTTTGCCATATTTGACTGTATTCTCTCCCCCCCAAAAAAGTAATAAGCACTAAGGAGTAATAAAATCCAAAATGTGTAAATTTTGTTGTAAAAAAGAGAGGGAAAAAAAAAGAAAAAGAGCTCTAACGGATATAACAGCAAGTGTGTTTAGGGGTGTTAAATAGCTGACTATATCAATGTTTTTGGATCATTGAACACAGCTGTTTGCAGTCTCCCTGTTTGAATGTCCACCTTGTATTCTTTGATACTGTGATTTGAGCAACTATTTTCAAGATGATAATATGTAATCTATTAACAGGTGATTTCTTACTGTTATGTATTTTTTTTTTGTAGTTCTGTATTACATGTACCCCTACACCGCTTTGTTTTGTTTTGTGTTTTTCTCTTTTTCCTCTTAAATAAAAAAAAAAAAAAAAAAGAATCTGGGCTTACCTAGGAGACCAAGACTGAGATGTGAGCAGAGGACTGACTTGCCTTGATGCAATCAACTTGCTAAAAGCAGATGGGTAACTCACTTGGAAGACAGTCTCTTCTTTATCTTTTTTCTCTATAGGTGAACTGGTAATACTTCGGGAACTGAGGGTCTCTTTTCTAACAGAAGGAAAAAAATGGAGAGAAAAGGTCACATCTTCATCCATAGCAATTAAAGCAGCAACTAGGAGACAGTAATATTTAACATACTTCTGGTTGCTTTTGTAAAGCAATTCTGCCATCCCCGAGTTTTTTGGTGTTGGCCCAGCAGTGCTTGGGTTACTGTGTGGAGGTGGTGCCAGCCTCATGTTACCGTGATGGTGCTCACTGTTACGATGACCAGCCTTTGACTCCATGTGGCACAGCTCCTTAAAAGACACAAATGCAGTGAGTTTCAAATTTAAGTACCCACCATGTGTTAGATCCTGTAGAGAAAATAAATGACTTTCACTATAGTATTACTAAAAACTGAAATAAAAAGTACACACCAAAAGCCATGTAGCATGGAAACAAAAGTGAATCTATCAAACTTTAGAAAAGAAAATTACCTGTAAACTTTTAACATTTGTGTTTTTTGTAGCAGATCCAGAATTTGCCTGTGACCCTTTTCCAGGCATGGGTTTGGCACTGGAGGATTGTTCACCTGCATCTTTGATGAGGCACAATTTTGTATTCTTAAGTTTTTTGGGAGACTTCACCTTATCAGCAATTGTATTTGAACTCTTCGCTTCGCAGAGTTCTCTATTTTTTGGAGTAAATGACACGATGATCCTATTACCAAAGACATCTTCATTTTCCATTCGCTTCTGAGCCCGTTCTGCACTATCTTGGTTTATGAAGCGGAGAATTGCACTGCAGCCCGTGATACTCAGCACTTTTCCACCACAATTATCAGATAGGCGCCTGAGCCTGTTGCTGATGCTCTTGCCATCTTTATTTGCTGGTAGGTTATAAACATAGAGCAGAGTGTGGCACTGCTGATACAAATGAAACAAGTGTTACATTAGGTAACTCAAGGGCATACAACTTCAAAATGCAGGAGGGGACTGTGAGTTGGGAGAAGATAAACTTAAGTGTTAAGAAGGTAACTAAATGTTGTATATATGTTGGGCACAGAATGCTATCTATTGCATGATGCCATTTCTATAATATCCAGGAAAGGCAAATTTGCAGGTACAGATTAGTAGCTGCCTGGAGGTGGGAATGGAGATTAACTACAGGCTAGCACAAGAGGTCCTAGTGAAATGATTAAAATATTCTAAAACTGGCTGTAAAATCAAATAAACGTATTAAAAATAACAATTATATATTTAAAAGAGGTAGCTTTTGTGTAATGTAGCTCATAACTCAATAGTTTTTACAGGCCTATTTATTTATTTAGCAGGGCTTTAGGATATACTGTATACAGTTCAAGTCTAATTACAACACTAGGTAACCTGCAGTAAGCCTGGAAATTATATGAGGAACTGAGTGGCCATAACTCTTCCAGATAAATTCAAATTTGGATAATGAGAAACAGGATCATTAATGTGCCAGAAGAAAACTTAAAATAATCATGGAAAAGGTTAAATCCAGAAGCCACAAAAGGAATCACTAACAATGGACTAAAGACATGAACAACTTACAAGAGAAGTATCAAGAGACAACAGTTAACAATATTAAAAGGATAGCTTGCACCTTGCTAATGATTAGTAAAAAAGGCCAATGGCAGCCAGATAGTATTTTGTAACTACCAGACTTGTAAATATTTTAAACAAACACTAGGAATCACTGTTAAGACTGTAAATCAGTGTCACCATCCTGGAGAACTTGGAGTTGCCAGTAACATTCTGGCCCTGAACTGCTATATGCTACAACCTACCCCAAAGACAACATGAATGAGCTTGCTGGAAATGGTAAAAACCTGGGCACACACATAATGTTCAGGAATGGGTAGACTGGTTAAATAACTTAAAGACTAGCCATACAAGTATGGCTGTAAATCCATACTATGGTTTTCTTTTTTCCTTTGTATAGTACTGAGGACTGAATTCAGAACCTTCTTACTTATTGTGAGACAAGGTCTTGCCAAGTCACTAAGTTACTCAGGCTGACTTGAAGTTGCAATCCTTCTCCTCAGCTTCCCAATGCTGGGGGCACAGGCATGCATCTCTGTCTGGTTTAACGTTCTGGTGGGTTTTTTTTTTTTATTCTGGATTTTTTAATGTGCTATATTTATGCAAGTATATATCCTTACATGAAAACAAAAGCAAGTTTTGATATTGTTAGGTTTTTTAAAAAGCCACAATACTACATATATGTAAAATTATATTTTCTTTAATTTACATTATAAAATTCAGACAATATCACACTGGTAACAGTGATTGCCTCTGCAAGATAAGATTGTGGAGTTTTCACTTTTCGCACTTTCATGTTTAGTTTTTCAAATAAACAATATTTTTCTAATCAGAGGCTTTCCTCTGTATATGAAGGATATTGACCATCAAAATCTATACTCTTCCTATAACACCTCACATTCAAGACTCAGGCAGAATATATATTTAATTTATTAAAAATAAAAAATGAAAAACAAGAAAAAAATGTGTTAAGTTACTCCTCTAGTGAATAAGAAAAAAATCTGGTAAAAATATTTTTTTTTTGGCTGATGAAACTGTTGCGTTTGTTTTAAATACATTTTTTGAAGACCATTAAGTCAAATGTAAGTACATATCAGAAGCAAAAAGGAGTAAGTGTAAGTCTAGCCACAACACTAAAAACAATGAGCAATGACAAAGATGTTTTATGAAAGAGGCTCAATAGAGCTGTACATGTTACTCATTTGGTAAGGATCTGGTAGCCCAGCTGAGCTGTCTGTAGCATGAGATTCCTCCTGGCCAGACCCTGAGCGTGCTGGGCAGTGGGACTAGCAGAGCACATGACTGAACTGGAAGACCTGGGGCATAGTCTCTGCTCTGCTGTACCCATCAACAACCTGCTTATTTTTTCTAGGCATGGACTTCTTCATTAAATGAGGCTGTTAGATAATTTCTAAGGTACATCTGTAAGATTGAAGTTATCTGATTATTAAAACTGTACTCAATACAGAGTACTGCCTGCTTTTTCAGATCCTCCACACTACAGTGCCTTTCCTTCATTATCACTAAACTTTAATAGCTACGCACACATTTTCCAAATAGCTCAGCATTGCAATAAACATGTCATAAATCAAGCCTAACTAAGGGTTCCTACCTCATGGAAGTATGCTCATACTCTACTAGGACACAGCGTAATTCCTGAGTTGCCCTTTAGGAAAGCACAGACTCAGAGGCCTTTTGGAGCCTCAGGATTAAATGCTTCCAAGACAATTATCCTTTTTACATGATGCCAAACATAAGTGTATGTGAATATACCATATTCTCTACCAATAATACTCCGAAGCCAAATGAGTAATGACTCCTTTCCACTATTTTTATTCATTTGATATAAAATACTGATTGACAGCTTTGAAGACAACAGCAAGGGATTATGATAAGGTAAACTACATTTCAATTCCCTATGGTATTTTTAAAAATAAAAAGGAAAATTTGTAAGAATTAATTCTTCATTTGTAGAAGAAACACTGAACATTTCCAGGTCTAATTTCAAAATCCAATCAGCCTCCTATGAAGAACAGTTCTATCTGGATGTCAATTCCATTAAGGGTTTTCAGCCTTTATAATCTAACACTAGAAAATAGCAAAAATAATGTAAATCTACTTACTGGCATTTTTATTGGTAACCTGGGGGGCAAATCTGAAATGAACTCTTCAAATCTGATCAGTTCATTAGCATGATGTAGCAGTGCTTCTGAGGCCTGGTTTTTATGGACCAAAATTATGTGGAAACCATGTCTGTGTCTCAGGTCACTAAGTTCCAATGCAAAATTGACATCAGCTGAAAGAAAATGCAAATCAAACCTTTGCTAAACATTAGAAACACCTGACAGTCCTAAGGGCACACCTACCCACCACTGCAGGAATAAATGGCTGGCTTGTCTTCAAAATTGCTTTACTCTCTGTATGTGAACAGAAATATACTCCCTATCAGAATTTACAAGGTAAGAAAATTTTACTATATACTCGTGTGGAATTACAAGACATACCGTACTTCTAGTACTAATGGGGATCAAATATACACAAATACATATACATATATATATATATGAGTCTTAAATTTGAAACTTACTCATATTATTTTTTGTTTGTGTGTTTGTCTTTTTGAGCCAGGGTCTAGCCATGCAGTTCAGGCTGGCCTTGGGCTTACTTTATAGCCCAGGCTGGTCTCGAACTCCTGCCTCAGCCTCCTGTGTGCTGGGATTACTGGAATATGTCACCATGCCTGTCTTTGTCATGGTTGGTTTTTAAAATTAAGCAATACTAAGTGGAGCTGGGATGAAAAATCCACAAATCACATTGCCTTTAATTTAAAATTACATTTTCTTTAATAAGAACTCAGGTCCCATGAAGACAATACAAAAACTCATATAAGCTCAATTATTTTCCTAAATAATTCTCACCAAATAAGCATCAGTGCATCTCACGTATGCAGCTTCTTTAAGGATACACTTTGCTTTCACATTGTTTCTGACTTTACGGTAACTTCTACACAGTAAAGTTAGCTGAAATCAGCACATGTCACTTACTTGACACAAGAACCACAGTGGCTGGAGCAGCATGGGTATTTGCAAACCTTCGTAGACTCTGTCGGAGTTTATCATCAGCAGCATTCTTTGCAGTAGCATTGATGTGAGCAACGGTTACCTGCATTAATTTATAGTAAGAGTAATGAGGGCCAGGGATTTAGCTCAGTGGTACAAGCACCTGCCTGGCAAGTGCAAGATCATGAGTTTGATTCCTGGTATCAAAAAAAAAAAAAAAAAAAAAAAAAAGAATGAATAAGCAAAAGCTGATGGTAGAGCTGGGGATTTAGCTCAGTGGCATAAGTGCCTGCCTTGCAAGCGCGTTGTCATGAGTTCGATCCCCGGTACCAATAAAAAAAGAGCCATGCGTGATGGCTCATGTCTTTAATCCCAGCACTCGGGAGGCTGAGGTGGGAGGATCATTGTGAGCTCGAGGCCAGCCTGGACTGCACAGCGAAACCCCGTCTCAAAAAAGACCAAAAAAAAAAAGCCAATGTTAGAAAACTGCTCTGTTTTCCACATTGTAGTAATTCTTGATAAAGGACTGTAATAATTATTAGAAATGCTGAACAAAGTACAACTAAATCACAATGTTTTCAAACTCATTTCTCCATATGAATCAACTGGGCATTACTACTCTGCTCATGAGCTTCTTTTACCCTCATTTCAGAAAAGTAAAGCCAGGTGTGGCGGTGCACACCTGTAAACCCAGAACTCAGAGGGCTGAGGCAAGAGGACTGTAAATTTAAGGCCAAACTAAACTACAGCATAAGTTCAATGCCAGCCTGGAGAGACACTGTCTTTAAAAAAAAAAAAAAAAAAGAGAAAAACAAAATTTAACATCATTGAATTTTCCCTAATAGCTTTTGCCAACAATCTGGAGATGCTGGAAATCAGCTGTATGGCTAAGGTATAACTTGTGGTTGTACATTACATCATTTGTCTTTGCAACCCACTGTCTATGACTCCTAGAATCTAGGGCAGTGGTGGCAAATCTATATGTCATGGCAGCTTGTTTTTGATCACTGAAAGTTCTAAAAGGTTCACTATCACTGAGTTAGGGTTAAGTGGTCAATAGAAGAGGGAGGAAACTCCAAAGGGAGCCAAAACACTTGATTCCTGTTAAAACTTCAGTCTCACATATGTAACAGCCTCTGATGCAAAGAAGTACCTCAACTACATATAATACACAACAGAATTTTTTGAAGCATTTAAGTGTACAATTTGAGACAACAATATAAAATGTTAACAGAATTACTTGTCTAAGAATCAAAGGACCTAGATTCTAGCTTCAGAGCATGGACTTTAAGGTCAGATTATCTGGGTTTAAATCCCAAACCTTTCATCTACTGGGTATATCTTAAAAATGTTGGTTCCCCTCTCAGAGTCTTCAATTACAATTTCATTGTAAATTGCAAATAATAATCCCTATCTACCTGGCTCACAGAGGAATTATGACCAAAGGAAGACAACACATGTCACCATTATGACAGCACAGTATGAAAGTATAAGTAATGTTATTGAAATATAAAACATTAAATGATTTCTAGTGTTTTTTTTTTGTTTGTTTTCTTTTTTATCTGTACCGGGGATCGAACTCAGGACTGCCTGCTTGCAAGGCAGGCACTTATGCCGCTGAGCTAAATCCCCAGCCCCAATTTCTAGTGCTTTAGGAATAATCTTTTGTCAATTTCCTTTACTTAAAAACTAAGCACTAGTGCAATGAAATCATTAAATTTGGACCTGGAATTTTTTTTTTTTTGTACTGGAGATTGAACTCATGACCTTCTGCTTGTCAGGGAGGTGCTTACAACACTGAGCTAAATTCTTGGCCCTCTGGAACTGGAATTCTTTTTAAAAAGCAAACAAACAAACGAATCACATGTGCTTATGCTACCATAGATTACAATTCTTAAAAAAAAAAATTAACCTGGCAATTATTCAGCTCTTGAATCACTTCTTTGTTTTCTTTACTGATGTCACACACACAGATGAACTCTGCTTCTCTGTGGCCTTTAAAAAACTTTTCACGGATTCTTTGTACAACAGTAGTGGCTGACCGACCAGAAGGAACTGAGCAGTTTTCAATATCCCAAAAAACTCCAATGGGGGGTAGATTTTCTAGCACCTGTCCGGCTAGTGCAACTTCTGGTGATCCTTAAGAAATGTTAAAAAAAAAAAAAAAAAAAAAAAAAAAGAAAGGAATTAAATGCAATGAAAAAGATGGCAAATTAAAACAATAACAGATAGGTAAGTACCACTACTGGTGGGAGAAAAACTAAATTACTGATGTTAAGGATACTTACTAATTTATCTAATATGCAACCAAATTGCCAAAATATCATTCTAAGAGACTTTCCTGTTTTTCAGAAGAGAGCAAATCTACAGGTCAAGTGACTTCATGCCCAGCATAAATGTATTCACAGCACAAGTCATTCTCATGTTGACCTGTGATGCTTCTAACATATAACAAATCAGATGTTGCTACTCCAGGACCTGATTTTCATGTTCAACTCATGATGTGTTTTTACTCAGTAGAAAAGAATACTGAAGAGATGGACAAGATGCTGTAACTGTTGATAACTTTATTTTTAACACCTCATTAATATCTGATTAAACATTTAAAAATGTTTTCACAAGATAACTAATCACATTAAAAAATTTGGAGTAATTTTGAGAACACTCAGATTTCCAAATACTATCTAGAACCAGTTATTACCAACTTGTTCTAAATAATAACTGTTTGTAGGGAAGATACACCAAGTGTGTTGTGAACCTACGTTAAGCCCTAGTGTCTCCGACACTTGATTCTGGTTTATATTAAAAAGATTTTTACTAAGAGAAAAAGGGGAGACACACATCTATCTTAGATTTCACATACAGCATTAGAACCACAAGAATCTTTTAAAGGCAATTAAATGCAATGTTAGTATTGGCTACTGAAAACTACTTAAAAATGCACATTTTATGCAATATAGTCTTTTACCAAATTTCGAAGCAGCTTTGCCTAGACTGGCTGCCAGTAACAACGTAGTCTCCTTTCCTGTTCCTTTGGTTCCACAGCCATTACACAGAGGGATAGCAAGAGGTGCAGGTTGAGTATTTGGAGGTGGTATATTTGGCCAGACTTTAGCAGCATCAGTTATACTATTTCTTGCCGGCTGTTTTAAGAAATTTTTTAAAAGGTTTCAGACACATCATTCCAGAATCTGGAGTTATGTACAACACTGAAAACACACACTAAGTGTTTCACCTTCCACAGACAAACCTCTAATAAAGGATTTTTAAAATAATCTTCCAAGAACCATTAGCTATCAATTCATAACTTTAAGAAAGGCCTTTAAAGGATAGGGCAGATACTCACATGACTGGAACTTTACATCTTGGAGCATGTGCCTGGTGCTATGGAGACTTTACACACTTTACATAAAGGATGGTAAAATTTTGACTCAAACATGGGTATGACTGAGGTCAAATTTCAAGTTCTCCATATTACAGGAAGATAGTACAATAAACATATCTCATGAAATACACAACTGTTAAATCAGTTGTGCCTTTGTCTCTAAAGAGAAGACAAAATCTAGGCTTTGCCAAACTAAATTCACACACATATAGGAAAAATATTCATTATAACCAGAAGCTCTAAAAATGTAAGTTATATAATTACTATAGACTCCCTTGAATGGTTTCTACCCTTTGCTTCTTTCAGGATCAGCAGGAGTTATACAGATGAGGTAAGATTTACACCACAGAAGAACACTCAATCCATGCTTATTTCAAGACAAATCGACTTAAAGCCATTCCTCACACCTCAGCTGCACCCAACATAAAAAAATAAAATGATACACACCTTGTTTAGACAGTCTTCGCAGTAAAGTGAGCCCTTTAAACAAACCGGAGGTACCACATTTAGGTGCAAAGAGTTGGTGCACAAGTGAGGCGTTAGCTCCGACTGTGAAATGTGCTCTTCCAAATGCCCTGGAGCCCCACTTGTGAAATCAGAACAGGGGAAATAGCCAGTGGAGGTGCAGCCCTGGAGAGTTGGAAACTGATGCAGCTTGTGCACATTACTGTGACATGACTGGAAATGGAGTTTTCCACAACAGGGCAGGTGTTTGCAAGAAGATATATTACTCTCTAGACACATGCTGGGGAAGTCACTTGCAATGCCTGCCAAACTGTTTCTAGCTGATGCATTCTGGAACGAAGACGCAGACTGGAAAGCAAACCCTGACCCTACCTGACATGTGACTGTCCTGGTGCTTTGTGAGTCTAAGCGTGCGCCTGGATGTATCAAGCTACCAGTACCTCCACCACTGCCACCACCACCACCACCAAAATGCAATGGTGAAGTGGAGGGTTCATTAGGGCAATGAGCACAGCAGCTTACTTTGGGGGCAGTTGAAAGCTGTATTTTAGGTTGCTGAAGAGAATGAATATCAGGCAGTGGGACTGCTGGAAAAAGTTTAGAGCCAGCATGAAGGGGAGATGGTACATCCTTTAATTCCACACCAACTTTCTTGTTCTCCATGTACTCTTTCTGAGAAAAGAAAAATCAGAACACAAGTCAACTTTAAGAGGGCAGGGGTTTTTGCTGTCCCAAGCACTACATTAAAGAAATTTGATTCAATTTACATCATTCCCAAAACAGTAACAGCTAGTTAAAAATCAGGGGAATTCTTCAGAGTAATCCATAGGAAGTGGACAGAAATGCACAACTGAAGTTAAGACTACGTTCTGGGACGGGGATATAGCTCAGCAGCACAACGCCCACCTGGCAACCATGGGGTCATAAGTTCAATTCCTGGTACCAAGAAAACAAAACAAAAAAGACTATGTTCTTCTTGAATCTTAAAAGAATGGGGTAGAGGGTCTGCAACTTTAGTAAACCAGGTTAATAATCTGTGTCTCAGTGAACTCCCCTTCATAATATCCCCTTGGCTCACAGGATTTCTTAATAACAAAATGGACAGTATAAACCAGGCATGGTGCTACACTTTTGTAATCCCAGCACTCTGGTAAGCTGAGGCAGGAAGATCACAAGTTCTAGTTCAGCCTAGGCAACTCAGTAAGACCCTGTCTTTAAAAGAAAGAAAAGAAAAGGAAAACAGAAAAAGAAAAAGGGGTAGGGATATAGCTCAGGCCCTGGGTTAAAGCCTTAATATTACCAAAAAAAAAAAAAAGGTAGTATGAAAACACGGTCACAAACAGCATTAAGATGGTTTTAGATAAAACAGTTTACTTTTACTTAATAGTTCCTGCAGTCAGCACATAAGGGGTTTTAAGAAGGCCTCCTAAATAAAATTCCAAACATTATGCACATGGCACAGGCATGATGCTGATGCATCTTAGGAAATGCTAAGATATCATGACCTAAAATCATAATGACAACAATTACACTTTCAGCCAGTGCAAAGAATTAGAGTAATTACAAAACTACCTGCAAAAGAGATATAAGACATGTTTGCTACATGACTATACCACAGGCATAGGAGGCCACTAGATTACAAAATTTAAAATAAGGCATTTGTATTTGAATCTGATACTTCATAACTGTATGACATTGGGAAGTTACTCAGCCTCTCTGAGCTTCAGTTTTCTCAGCCAAAAAATTGAGAATGATAAAATGCACTCCCTGCAGTTTAACAGATAAAATGAGATCGAGCTTATAAACCACTTAGGATAGTACCTGGCCCCTAAAAGGAAATCTCCCCTAATCAATATCCTTTATAGGCTGACTATAAAATCTTTAAGACAAAGAGGAGTTCTCATATGGTGACTGAGACACATTCATCCCACAAAGCGTAACAGTTTATTCCATTTGACTGTTATAATTTCATGCCTTTTGCTGTAACTGCACAGTCTGAACAAGTCTGGATTTTTGGTTAAGATTTTTTTTTAAAGGGGAAGTATTAGCAATGGCTGGCTAGGCAATGAGTAGTACATTTTACCCTATGGTCATTATACATTAGACTGAAAATTCACATGGTAGCATTCTGATTTACTCAGACCAGGCTCTTATGAGCAACTTTACTGTAAGCTGGTCATCTGATTCTACTCCATTATGTTTCAAGATCTACAAAGTTGAGAGAGCCTAATTTTGAACTCAGCAACTCCATGAGGACCAAATTCACCATTCCATCCAAGGAAACCCTGCCTAAGATGCCAAACTTCCTTGCAATCTGTCCTTAAAGTAAAACTCTCCTGAATTCACCCAAATTATGTGATTCTTTGCAACAAAGACAAAAAACCCACACGGTAAAAATCCTAGCGAAAACAAAGTTAAATTTATTTTTTGAAGTCTCATCTGGATCTCAGGTACAATGGAGAAAATAAGTGATAACCTGAGTACATGAAGCAGAAAATGTCAAATCAAGTGTGGTAGCACTCCCTGTGATCCCAAGCACTTGGGAGGCTGAGGCAAAGGGACTATAAATTCAAGGTCAGCCTGGCAACTTAAGACTTTCATAATAAAATTTAAAAAGGATTGGGAATGTAGCTCAGTGTCAGAATGGTTGCCTACTTATGCCAAGGCCTTAGGTTCCACTCTAAATATCAAATGTTTAAAAAAAAATTGAAAAAATGTCTTAATTACTATGAAAAAATAAAGACAGCAAGGAACTGGGTATACAGCTCAGTGGAACAACATGCATTTAGCAAGTGCAATCCTTGAGTTTGATCCCCAGCATCACATACACATATACACAAAAACACAAGAAATAAGACACATTAAAACACTCAGAAAAACCTTAAATAAGATTATCAACAATGTCTTGCCAATCTTTTCTAGTTTACAAAACACAAAACTAAAAAAGCTACAGCAAAATAAACTTTCACATTTTGCTAATTTTACTACATAAGCTTTGGAATTTGGGACCTAAATAGGAAACAAATATTAATTTCCTAAAGTTTTAACATAAAATGTTTAAAACACGAACTGTAACTCACAGCAGAAAATAATAAGAGTTAAAAAATTATGCTCTCATTGAGTCCAGAAGCATAATAATGCATTACAAGGTGTAATACAACCAGGATATATACAGGTAAACCTGGCAGAGACTCCAGAAAGAGACTCTTTGGTGTCCCACAGCAAATGAACTTCACATCTATTCACAGAAGGTGTTTGCTATGTCTTTACCGTTTGGGGGCTAAGTGGCAATGTCTGTTCAGGACGAGAAAAGCAATTAGAGAATTTCCAAAGCCATGGCTTAGCATCGTTATCTTGTTGAAGCCATCCAAGTGTTCTACTGCAGGGGTTCTCAGTTCCGTTTCCTTCCATCATACAGCCATACAAAGTGGTTCAACATTCTTTCATCCTCCTTTTCTTTCATTCTTCCACCCTGTTAAGGAGTGAGATTTTCATGTTATTTCTTTGCATAACATTGCAAGTTTCATATGTTAAAATTTGAAACTACAAGTGTATGTATAGAACAATGGCATCCTACAATTCAAATCTTAAGAAAACAAAAGAAAAAATGGATACAAGAGCATATTACAGGTTACTAAAATTTGATAAACATGGATGATTCTGTTTATGTTCAAAATATCTAACATTAATCTGAGTCTTAATAAGAACACTATTACTTGCCATTTCTTGGATTCCATAGCTCTTCAAAAAGCAATGAATTCTGGATAAATTTAATTTCTTTTTGTATATATCCATGCCTGAAAGAAATAGCCAATTTGGGGAGCCTGCATATTTCTGAGTGACCCTTCTTTTCATTTTGCTAGTGTCAACTTTCTCTGGCCTTAAACAGGCTTCTTTTTATTGTTTTCCCCTTAATTCTTCTCAGCAATCTCTCTCAAAAGATTCTGATTAGGAGAGTCAAAAAGATAACAGAATGGGGCCAGAAGTATAGCTCAGCAACACAGCACCTGCCTGGCAAGCACAAGGTTGTGAGCTTGATTCCCCAGTACCCCTCACAAAAGTTAACGGAAGAGAGGATCTCATCTTAGTAAAAGAAACACCACCATATCAACCTCTCCCACTGCATCTAATATGAATATGGAAAGTTCATAAATAAATAATGTCTGTGGACTTTGAATTCTACCCTGCCAGAGAACAAACCAAACTAGTATCTTACTTACAATGACAGTGCAATCTAGTATACCACCAAAAATCCAGTAATTAGAAAAATCCCAAATGTGTTGTACCTATTCCAAAGTAACAATGTGTCTTGCAAGTCTTAAGGAGTACAATAAAAGCAGATCAAGTCAACCCACATCCATTGGGATCAAAGCAGCTGGCCAATGGTGAAGACCACCTCATTTTCAAGCCCTCACCACAATATTCCAACACTATCTTACTTGTACCCTCACTTTCAAGCAATTAACTTCATTATCAAAAATTTTATCTGAGCATACAGAAGATAACTTTCTTTTAGGTTCTTTTCTGATGAATATGATGCTCTTCTCAAGATATTTTAGTATCTGCATGGTGGGGGTGCTGATTACCATCTCTCTAAGGTATAGGAGAACTGATCACATAAGGCAGAAGCAAACTATAGCTCACTAGCCCACTGCCTATCTTTAAATGGTCTACAAACTGAGGATGTATTTTACATCTTTTAATTCCTAAAAAAAAATTTAAAAAAAAAATCAATGAAATTTAAATTTTAGTGACTGTAAAGTTTTATGGGGACACGGCCACCCTCATTCATTTAAACACTGTCTCTGGCCACTTTGGCACAATTGCAGAAGTGACTCTTTGCAACAGCCTAGCCAAAAACCCTAAAATATTTACTAGGTGGCACCAATATTTACTAAGTACACCATTTACTCAGACACACAGTTGGGAGAGATTAATTCTGAAACAGATGGAAACAACTGCCACCCCTAATATTCAATTATGGTACTTGTTTTTACACATCTTCTGTGGTTCAATAAGCTTCTCTCTACATTACAAGAATTTGTGATAGTCACAATATACACAACCTCCACATACTTTCCCAAACCTCTCAAAGTCGAAGCTTGAAAGTGAGATAACCCTTATAATAGTTAACAGAGCATTTTCATGTACTCTTTATTTCCTCATCCAGCAAATATTTATTTAGTATCTTAGCAAACCTATCCTTAGAACTCTCTCTCTCTCTCTCATGCAGAAAGAGGAAGAGTCAGAAGATGCAAAGCGAAAGTAAAGTTTATTTGCAGAAGGAAGCAATAAAAAGTTACTCCAAAAAGTAGGGGAGCGCCAGAGTTAACTGCAGAAACTGGGGCCGTGGTCCTGTTTTATGAGTTACAGGTCCAGGGACCCCTCCCTCTGAGGGTGACTGCCCTTGACTGGGTGGTTAGCTTGTTGCTAGGGATTTGGGTTCTGTGGGCTAATAAGGAAACAGGCAGGTAGGGAAGCCTGTACCAGGAGGAAATACGGTGGACAGAGGTGCTGCCACACATGCAGAAGCAGAACCACAGACAGCCTACCTTAGGGTAAAACCACAAAACTGCCTGCTGTTCAGTCTCAGACTGTCACAGAGGCTGCTTTCTCCTATCTAGGAGTTTCATCTTTCCCTACAATAACAGCAACAATATCAACAATAGGGCTGGAGATGTATTCCCATGCAAACGCAGAACTATACAAGTTCGATCCCCAGTACCACAAAAAAAAAGTGGAGGCAATAAAATTCACTTATATAACTTTTTTCCAATTCTGTAAGGTGGAAATAAATTAGTTACAGGTTAGAGAATGGGAAAAAGAAACTTAAGTTTTGTAGCTAGTTCAAGATTGAACAAGAAAAGTGGCAAAACTAGGCTCCTTCACCTCTCTGCCGCCTTACACTAACTAAAGCATCTCCAAACAAATAAACAAATAAAATGAAAATAAAACAAAAATAAGAACTTAACTGCCAGCACTCTAAAATTTTCCCAAGTATTCCTGAAAATGCTACTAAGCATCTCAGACAGCCAAAGCAAGTTCTATTAGAGTGGGAGTCTCCTTTCTGCCAATATCTCTGTCTGATTAATTCAGATAGTGGTTAAGAGCACAGACTATTATATTACATTACCTGCATTTTATTTTCCATGGCTACCCCTTCCTATCTTTGCAGCTTTGGGCAACTAACAACCTCTCTGAACCTCAGATTCTCTTATATAGGCCTGCTAATAAGGGGAAGTCCACTGGAGGACGGTTTGCGTACTTTGCGATATCCAATTAGCAAAAGGACTAGAGTGAGCAAAAGACCTTTCCTTAGCATTCAATCTAGTCCAAAACTCCCACTCCACTTCTCCCCATTACCAGTTTCCCCATTCTCACAGGTATTCCATCTAAAATAATCTTATTTATTTGCTACCTTCCTATTTCTCTTCTATTAAAACATAAATTCCAGGGGCTGGGGATTTAGCTCAGCGGCATAAGCGCCTGCCTTGCAAGCAGGCAGTCTTGAGTTCGATCCTCGGTACCGATAAAAACGAAAAAGACAAAACAAAACAAAACATAAATTCCACGACAGCAGAAACTGTTTTCTTACTTATTATTGTAGTATTTCCTGCACCTAGCACAGTGCCTGGTATGCCGAATAAAACGACCAATAAATGTCAAAGACGACTGTTTATACAATTTCCCTGTATGCTAAACAGAAAAATCTCATTCAGATATGCTAGAAGGCCAAAAGACACAAAGGTAACCGGAAAGCTCTTAATAATATCAGAAAGGTGCTTGGAAAACTCTGTAGGGTGTATCACAAGGTTACAATCAGTAGGGGGAGTGTCTGAAGCCCCAACGCTACACCCTAGGGACTGCTGAAGAACCCAGTAAAACACAAAACACCCAGCAAGGCTGCAAAAACATCTGCTCCGCGCGTTTTCACTTTCCTACTTTGCACCCTCTTCGGAGAAGGCTGATACACCTGCAGGGCCCAAAAGGGAGCAGTGAGACAGGTGCGGGCGGGAAGCCAAATATCCAAAGGGGAACAGCCGCACAACAGTTAACAGCGGTGAAGACTCCAAAGAGAGACAGGCTGACTCTGAGGCGGGGTTCTGCAGGTCCCAGTCCACTTCCTCGCACTAGCCAACCCCCTCCCACCAGAAAAGAGGTGGGGGAAGGGGGGGTACTGTCCCCCTCACAGCTCCGGTGGCTCCAGAGCAGTAGGTCCGTGAGGGTCTAGTCCCAGCGCTAACAGCAAACTCACCTCAGCCGCCTGTTCCACTTAGGCTCACATTCCGGCCCCGCTGCCTTCCCCCCGCCCCCCCAGGCCCTTTGTTTTGATTCCCGACTCCGCAGCTCCCGCCGCCGCCGCCAAGCGCACCCTCCACTTCCGCTTCCGCACCGCACCGCCCCTGTCGCAAAACCGACGCCCTTCTCTTCCTCTCGCCCCGCCCCTTCCCCCCTCCCTTCACCCACCGCCGTGTCCTCACCGCGCGAGGCATGCTGGGCACCGGGGAGAGGGTGGGGTCTCGGGGCAACCTCGTCAGGCTCAGTCCCCTCCTGATAAATTCCTAAATAGGTTCCTTTGCGGGGGAATTCCCTTTTTGATCGAAACCCCGAGTTTGAGGAGGCCTCCTCTCAGGCTTAACTTTGTGAAGTCAAAAGGAGCCACAAAGTAGAGAATTAGCGGACGTGTAAAGTGCAAAAACTTGCCAAATAGGATTTAATACAGTTCAGCTCTTCTTGGTCTTTTGCGGAAAAGCGATTTACGGAATTCCAGTTAAAAACAAAACAAACAAACAAAAAAAAAAACTATTGCTTCAACCGGCCCCCCCCCCGCCCGTCTCATCACGTGATAATCCCACTTTTATTTTTAAAAATTAAATGGCGCATATTCCCCCAGCATCCTTCATGTAGGGCAACCTAGCAGCAAATGGAGAAAATGTAATTTAATTGCCTAGGGGCTTCCTGCAAGGTCCTTCGCGTAATCGCAGTTTCTGCCCAGCTGGCATAAATTAAGCGTGTGCAAAGAGGAAGCTGGATATTGTCACCAACAGTGAAGGGGTGCTTGGTGTCCTTAGTAAGAAAACGTCATTTTTAAAAGCCCAGGCTTAGAGCCCGTCATAAATAAGTGCAGCTTTTCCAATGACAAGTTGAGTGAGCAAAAAAGGGAAACTTAGAATTATGTTTCATGAAACTTGTAACACTATGTTTCAGGTGGATAATCATGCAATAAGTATGTTTGCTTTTAAAATAGCATTTCATAATCTTCATTTTTACCTGACATCTAATTTTTTTAAAGTCAGGCAAAAATCGTGATTTCTGCAACTGCCAGCTGCTCACTATTTCCTGTTGTAAATTAGAGAAAAACAAAGCACATATTATCTCAATCTAGATACAATTTAGGCAAGCATGTGCTAACTGAATATTGCTTAAAAAGTTTAAAGTTTGTCAAGGAAAAAATTCACTTTGCTAGAGGACTTGTAAGTAGAAAATGCCAGATGAGAACATTTTTCTTCCTGAGTTTCCAACTTGAGATGATTTCAGTAGGCAATCTGCACTTGGTGGGGATTCATAGTTCCCTGTAGACATCTTCATAGCCCTGTGCTGAGGAAGGCAGGCTCACACACGCAGCTGAAGGATCCTTTGTGCCAGTGTTTAATTTTCCAGAAGGCACTAGGCAAGCATGCATTATCTGCCTTCTTAGGTATTTATTACTGCTGCGTAAGGTCCTCATTGTGTCTGTGTAGAGGTAGTATTTTTCAGCTGGGAATTATAACAGATGAAAAACAACCCTTTCAACGTTTTGGTCTTTTCAAAATACCAAACAAATAGGCTACGCTCTACAGGTTGTCTTTCTTTTTTCATTTTTGGTGGCATATTTCTGAATAGACAATATTAACCAAAAATATAAAAAAGAAAACAAATTGTAGATTTGTAATTGCTTTTTGAAAAAGGTTTGAGCTACAAAATATAAGAGGCAGAAACATTGTTTGATTTTGCTGGTCATTATTTGAAGTCCAGAATCGTCTAGACTCAACAGGTAAATGTAGTGAATAGAAGCAAACTGGTAAGTAAAAGAATAAGTCTGACTACAAATACCTTAAACAGACACTATGTTATTGCTTCTGTAGCAAACTAAGCAGAGATAATAATTGAAATACAATATGATATTTATGAAAACAAAATGCTTTAAATTTTCTAAGCTATAACTTAATTATAGCCTGCTAATTTTTATTCCTACTTAATGAAAGTTTGAGTTTTTTCCTTGTCCAAATAAGAATCTTCATATTTGCGAAATAAGGATGATGATTTGTTTTTGTGCTACTTATGTGGTTATCTTGCATTTGATTATGCTAAGTTATCCAGTCCAAGACTAAAACATTTTCTCTCTTGCAACTTCTCTGTTAGTTAGGTTTGGTCTTCTGGACTGAAAAACTAGGATGAAAGGATCTGTAGAAGAGAAACTGAGCTGCCTGCTCAGTCATATCTCAACGCTACAAAGAAAAACTCTGAAACAGCTCATGTCCCAGATTTGGCAGAAAAGGAGCTGAAATAAAGCAGACATACTAATTTGATGTGTATTAAAAATCATAAAATGAAGGGAGCCATGGTGACATAGTGACCTATGCCTATAATTCCAGCACTTTGGAGTCTGAGGGAGGAAGTTCAAGGCCAGGCTGCATTACATAGTGAGACCCTGTTTTTAAAAATAAAATAAAATTGAGAGAAAGTTTAAAAGTACACCAGATTTTCTTTTCATTTTTAAGATTTTACCCAGTGACAGATTTCCTCAAGAATTTGCTCCTGAATAATGAGAATCATTTCGATGGCCTTCTCCTTTTCTTTATTGAAAATTTAGGAAATTAAGAAGCAAGTCATTTAAATGACTTGATGGATGTCATTTAGTCAATACCAATACCTTACCAATTTGTGCTTCAGCTCCTCTATAAACTGGAGTGACTACTCCCTTCCTAAAAACCTTAAGGGTGGTGACAGTCAAATAAAATTCTAAAGCTGAAAGTATTAGACTAAGTGCCAAGGGGCTGGGGGTTAGCTCAGTGGCATAAGCACCTGCCTTGCAAGCAGGTGGTCGTGAGTTCGATCCCCGGTACCAATAAAAATGAAAAAGACCAAAAAAAAAAAAAATAGACTAAGTGCCAAGCAGAATGCAAATTAAATGTTAGTGTTTGGGACTAGACTGGAAGTATCCTGAAAAACATTTTGGTACTTTCCTTAACTCCCTGTGGTATAGGTGGTGGTTCCCTTTTGTGTCTGGGCTTTTTATTAAAAGAAACTAGCAAGGCGTTAAAGTAGAATTAAAGAAAGGTCATTTTAACCATAGTAGGGAATGAAAAGGGACTCTTCATTTAACATGTGAGGAAGAACAAGAATATAGGTCAAAGTGTGAAACCTGACTCCTTAGTTACTAAATGTAAGCCTCATGCGTTCGTTTAATTTCACATACTTGTTTTCTCATCCTTAAAATGAGTACCAAAGAAGTGTTTTACTAGCTGGGAATGGTGGTACATGCCTTAACCCTAGGATTCAGGGAGGGTAAGACAGGAGGATCACAAATTTGAGTCCCACCTGGGCAATGTAATGAGAACCTGTCTCAATTTTTTAAAAATGGGGGGGGGGGGCTGGGGATATAACCCAGTGGTAGAGTGGTAGAGTCACCCTGGGTTCAAGCCTCAGCCCTCTCCCCACAAAAAAGTGGTTTTTCCCTGTGATTCTCATTATCTGGAGCTCTTCATTGTCATCTCCTGAGAGCGACTTTCCCTGACTATTCTATGCAAAGTGTCCCCTCCCTTTTTTTTTTTAAATCATGAATTTGCTTCATACATGAAGCTTAGTAACATCTGGAGTTTATTTTACCTTCTTCCTAGTTTAGTATCTTTCTCTCTGTAAACTATAAGCCCTTTGAGAATAGATTCCTTGTATATAAGAGTTCTCAATACTTTGTTAGTGAACAATTAGGGTTGCTGTAAAAATTAAATGGAGGAAAAACATATCAAGAAGTAAGCATTGTCCCTGAGTCACAAAATCATTAACAAAATCACTGGGCATAGGGGCTGGGGATTTAGCTCAGCGGCATAAGCGCCTGCCTTGCAAGCAGGCAGTTGTGAGTTCGATCCCTGGTACCAATAAAAAGACAAAGACAAAAAAAAAAAAAACAAAATCACTGGGCATAGTGGTGCCCGACAGTAACCTCAGCATTCAGGAGGCTGAGGCAGAAGGATTGCCACAAATTGAAGATCAGCTTGGAATACATAGTGCGTTTAAATCCAGACTGAAATACATAAGGAAATCTTGCCCAAAACAAACCCACAATTATTTAACAAACACATACATATATATGGTTATTGTCTACCCTAAACATATGCAAGTATTTACTTAATTTCCTGCGTACCCTCATTTATACATAATTGAGTCGCAAGCAGTTAAATAACCTGCCCAAGTTCACACAACTAGAAAAGTTACAGAACTAGGACTCAAAGCCAAATTTGTTTCGGTGCTAGCGAATAAACCCAGTGACTTCGCAAAATTGACCAAACTGGCCCCAAACTTCTTGTCCTGCCTGTACCTCCCAGAGTGCTGTGATGAGACAAATGTGCCACTTCTCCCAGCTAAAGGCAAATTCACAATACTCTAGGGTGCGAAGGTGTAGAAAGGGACTGGGGTAGCCTCGGAGAACCTGGATCTTGGTCCTGCCTTATTTGGGGAAGACACACGGATGCAGCAGTCGGTGTTAGACAGTGGCCAGCACATTGTCTTTAAATGGTGACTCACAAATCTAAGCCCAACCCCGGCGTCAGGGAGAGACCAGCCTGCGGTACCCCGGGGCCAGCCAGCGCCTCCCCCACCTCCTGGCGCCCTGGGCGGCCGCTGAGTGGCCAGACCGCGCCTAGGCTGCGAAAAAAAGTTTCCAAACCTCGCTGCTCTGCGCTGATTGGTTGATCCGTACGCGGACCCAGTGCGCGGTAGCCAATAGGCGGCGCTAGCCGCGAGCAGGGGGCGGGCCCCGGAGTGCCGGGGCAGCTCAGCCCTGGGCGCCGAGGTAGCCGTCTTCTCCGCCCGAGCCGGGTAAGTGGGAGTCCTCGCTGGCTGGGACTGTGGCCGCTCGGGTTTCCGTCGCGAACTCTTCCGCCCCGCCCGCCCCACCACTGCCTAGCAGGGATCCTGCGGGCCCTTGCCGCGCGTCGCTGCTTGGCTGCCCGGACTTCTCTGGTTCCCGAAAGACCGCTTCCTTGGAGCCTCCCTGCAAACTTTCTACTCTACCGCCCTGCGTCCTTCGCGCCCGGCTCTCGCTTTTGTCAATTTGGTTTCTCTTTCTGCGCAAATTTCTTCAGTCCCGCTACCCTTATCCTTTGAACCTGTCGGTCGTTCGGCCTTCGGGTCCCAAAGGGGTTGCCGGGCTCAGTCGTTCTCCCCTACCTCCCCGAATTCCTCTGCTACGTGCCCCTCGCCTTTTTTCTGCCCCTCCATTCCACCACTGCCAGCCTCTCACTCCTCCCCACCCCCCTCATTTTTTAGTTTCCAACTATGCCCCCGCCCTCACACCGACTTTTCTACCCCAGTGCAGGCCTCTTTCCAAAACTTGTCTCTCTTTTGTGTCCCCTCCCTTTGGGGACACGTTTGGAGCCGTCATCTTTGCCTCTGCTTTTCTCAGCGCTGCTGCGGAGCTGTTCAGATTTCCCCGAGCAGCAGTTTGGGGCAGGATTGGATAAAGGAGAAAAGGCTTGATACACTGCGGGTGTCCTGAGGTTTACCTGCCTCTCCGAGGTCGTGGGAAAGCCCACCATCAGCTGGATGCCGCCTTTGAAGAAGCTCATTTATCCTCTCCAAATCATCTCAGGTTCTCAATCCTCTGAGACCTGGAGAGCATCTCGAGATGGCTTTGTCCAGGGTCTGTACCGGGTCGTGCCTCGTCTTGCTACTTTTAGCCACAGGACCCTTTAAACTTCCTTTCTAAAGGAAAGAGCCTCCATGGCACGTGCTGGATTTATCATTGTCCAAGAGAATTTTGTTTCAGCGTATTCTGGGATAGGATGGCATTTTAGGCCATGGGTAGGGTGCTTTGAAGAGTAATTGGACACCTGCTAATTCAGAGCCTCTGGTTATCTGACCGCTCCCCTCCTCCCCGTATTGAACCGGTTTGGAAAGGTAATTCTTTTCCCCTTAGTGTGTCTTTGGTGTAGGGTTAGATGCTGATTTATGCCCTTGAAGTCTCTGAGCCTCAGATTTGTATATTTTATCCCATTTTGGATAATACTTTCCTAACTTGGTTTACACTGTGAGAATATTATTTTTGTTTTCAGAGTGTGTTCTGTTGTCTGAGAACTTGTGAGCTCATAGAGATTACACAGCCTTTCCTTGCAAGGTGATTTCCTAACCCAGCCTGTGCAGACATGGAGTTGGCGTCTGCAGCTGGTACTGTGTCTGTGCCAAGCGAGGCCTGGGGGTGTAGGCGATGTGCACCTGCCTCTTCCAGTAGTGCCTGTCACTTAGGAGGTGTCCAAGAAATAATTGAAAAGGAATGGGGTGGGGACCACAGAAGAAAAATTTCCCTGGCATCTTGGTTCCACAGAATAAAATTGTTTTGGATCTGTAGCTATTCTGTTTTTTCTAGGTGCAAGCTTTTCTAAAAATTTTTGATAGAAAAAAATCCTTAGGATAAAAAATATTGTAAAGTCTGTTGTGAAAAATACACATCTCGGTCTGGGGATTTAGCTCAGTGGCTTAAGTGCTCGCCTGGTAAGTGCAAGATCATGAGTTTGATCTCTTTGTTAAAACAAAACAAAACAAAACCAAAAACACATGTCAGTGCTTGCTCTGCTAGCATTATGGCACCTCCTGCCTGACCAACCCCCCTCCACTTTTTTTTTTATCAATATTGCAGGGAAGGGGAGAGAAACCAAAAAATGGCACTTGATGTACATGGACTTCACCTTACTGTGTGCCATTTTTCTTAAACACTGCATACTTTTCCTGTTAGTCCTCTGCTGGCCCTTGGGTTTCTGCAGTTTTCTAACCGGTCCTTGAGCACAAGTCCTTGCCTGCCTCCTTGCTTTTCTGTAGGTGCAGTAGATTGTTGTAAGTTTTGAAAGCACAAAGACAAGCCAGGCTTGCTAACTCTTGACTCACTTTGCCCCCATGATGTCACTTTTGCAAAGTGTGTGGCTAGCATCCTAACACAGATGCTGTCAGAGCTTGCTGACACTAGGAAGCCTCTTTTTCTGCCCTCCTTTCCCTGTGGGGCTTCCATGCGCTTTGATTGGGAAGGATGTGTGGTTAGGATAGAGAGGGTGTACAGTCCTGACAGTGGGCGTGCACGCATGTTACTCCTGACTGCTGGCTTTCTTCACTTGGTTTACTTGGGAAAGTTGAAAGAGATCACTTTGTTTTTTCTAGTGTTTTGAAATCAGAAGTGTGAATCCCACGTGTGTGTTTGGACTTTTCTGTTAATCATTCAAAACATGGGGAGGGATGCTAAAGGAAATTTTTATAGAAATTATATAATCAAGTTGTGTTAATTAGATAATTTTGGACCATTAGACCAGAGTTTATTCTTCTTGCCTGGATATGGTAATGTGTATATGTGAGGCTCCCACCAGATTTGCCCCTTTGCACTGGGGCAGGATGAGATGATGACTTATTAACAATCCAAGCTAGCAAGCTACACGAAGGTGAAATACACTAACCTAACATCCATTTTTAAAGCAGTAGGTACAAAGCCATGTGTGTTGTGACCAGGCAGAAATATATCCTTTCTGTTTCAGTGATCCTTTTGGGAAGACCACAGCCCCAAGCAACACAAGGGATCTTCCTCCAGTCAGTCTGTCTGACCTAGGAGGGCTTGAGCTTTAATTCACAGGCACCTTGCACTTGGGCTGGGTGATCCTGCCACTCCTCTGTGCCTATGCTGATGCCTTTAGACAGACTGAGTTCCTGCTCCAGTGTCTGCTTCGAAGAAACAGTTACTGCTGTGTTTACCTCTCCGGGTAGAACAGCTTAAAGTGGCTGATGTTGTTCAAAAAGAATTTATTAAATATTGCGCCCACAGCAAATACTGTCGAAGGTGTTGTTAAAATTCCGTAAATACTCTACAGGGAGGAATCCTTTGCAAGTTAGCTTGTCTGCTTTCTGTGGCAGAGTAGTGCAAAAGCGTTTTCTGAAACATTTCCAAATGGCAAAGAAAAACATTTATATTTTTAAGACTGCTCTTTCATAACCAAGTAGAGTACAGCTGTTACCTCTTCCCTCTGCGTCTTTAGCATATTTCTTGCTCTTCCCTCGGTTTTGCTTTTAAAATGCATGCGTTTTTGTTGAAATGACATTTTTATGTACTTTTTGCCTGTTAGTTGGTATGAAAGATTGTGCAGGCTATGGCATAAGTCCAGGTGTCAGTAGTTTCTCCTCGGTCTCTGAAGTTCAAAACCAGACCCCTCCTATTAGCTTGTCTGTGATTAGAGCCTCCCCCCCCCCCAAAGAAGCACCCCTTAAACATTTCAGGCCATTGTTTTCCTAAGGATTAAGTTCTGAGCCTCAGGGGTCAAGATCGAGAAGCCCTTTTCTAAAACTCACCTGGCCTAACTTCCCAGAAGGAGGGCTTCCACTCCCCAGGGGCTGCAGCAGATGCTGCTTGTCATGTAAACCTGAGTGGACCACAGGCACAGGGAGACCTTGACCCCTTCCCCTTAGCATCACTGGGGTGTGTGGGGATGGTGAGTTTTCCCCATTAGTTCTCTGCTGCGCTGCTTGGGGATTTACAGATGGAAAGAAGCCTTGAGAGGGTCTCATCTCTTCATTCTGCCCTTGCTTCCTGCCTTTCATTGACCTCATGGCCCCTTCCAGGTAGTGGTCAGTCTCCAGCTTTTCTCCTTTCACTTGTTGGATGCCTTTTATACCCCAAGCACTGTTCTAGATAGGCTTCCGGGATAAAAAAGGAAGAAGGAAAAGGTCTTTGTACTCAAAAACTGACATTTCGGTAGGGAAGATAAACAAATACTAAACTCAGAAAGTGATGAAATAAGATAAAGCAAGGATTAGTAGCATAGAAAAAGCTGGAAGGGCTGTTAGGTGCGATACTTAAATATGGTCCTGGGGAAGGACACTTGAGATCTCATTGACAAGAAAGAAACCTGCCAGGCAGAGATCTGAGGTAAAAACATTGAGGCCATGAGAACAGCAAGTACAAAGGGCCTGGGGTGAGAGCAAGCTCTGTGTTCAAGGAAGAGAAGACAGTGGCTGGACATAAATGAGTAGGAAGTATTTAGAGAAGTGGTCATGAGACATATTACACTGGACCTTGCATACGATCTTCCTTTAACCTGCAAGGAAGTTTACATTGTTCTTCATTATGTCATCTTGTTCACACACTTGGTTCTATACCACACAGTTGCGAGGGTTCAGTAGGATTACCAGTAGTATCATAATGGCCCCATTGCTCATTCGTAGATGTATGGCTCTGGGCTCTCGACACTGTGGAATCAGTTTGGTGATGGCGTGTCAGGTGACATCTGGACTTTTTCAGCACTTTAACCTGGAGTTCCCCCCTGCTCCTTACCATGTCAGTCATTGCCAACCCATGCCCAGCCAACTGTTTCTCATCTCCTTCACACTGATTAATGCTCTGCCCTTTGCTTTTGGCAAATAAGATCATTCTCTCAATGCATTAATTAGCTCTCACCTGTACCAGAAACCAACCCTAAGTGGCTTAACCAAGAGAGAAAACTGATCACCTTTTATCGCCTTAAATCTGGTATGAAGGATCCAGCCATAGAAAAGATGTTGTCAGGACCATCTCCCCATCCCTTGGCAACGCTTTACTCTCTTGGCTTCATTCCTGGCGGGCATTGGCCTTGTGAGACACAGCAAGATGACCGCTGAGGGCTCCTGGCTTGCATCCTGCCACCTTACCACTGCTAGCAGAAAGGGTTTCCTTCTGGATTGCATCACAGATGGCCTGGGTCTACACACCCACAGACTCGACGGGGTTCAGGCCCAGCCCTGCACCATTACTGATGCTAGAGCCACAAGTAGGCCTGTGCTTTCTCCCAGGGGTAGCAACGGATGTTGTATCTAAGTCCTGTGCAGTGAGAGTAGGATTGGGTCCCTCAAGGGCATATCGGGGTGCTGTCACAGAAAGATGGAAGAATGAGCAACTAACAAGCCCTGCAAACCAGCCACTTTCCATCTGGCTTCTCTGCTTCCATCAAGTTTTCAGACAAAATGTTCCCTAGGGGTGGGGGAGCAGAGGTGAGTAAGTGGGGTATTTCCTCTGTATTAGGGACAGAAGAAAATTAGGAGAGAAGAGCATAATGATTTCTTCATTCTTTAGTCCCAAGGAAACGGAAGAGCCTGTGAACTTCCTCTAGGGAAGGAAGGGACCTCGGTGACATTTTATTTGGATCCCTAGTGACTTTTTTTTCCAGCATGCTATTGGAGGTTAAACCATCGAGGTCCGCTGCAATGAGCTATATCTATGTACAGCTCTTTTAAAATTTCCTTTATTGTTTCTTTTTGAGATAGGGTCTTAGTAAGTTGTGAAGTTGCCCAGGCTGGACTCGAATTTGGAGTCCCCCTGCCTCAGCCTTCCAGAGTGCTGGGATTATAGGCATATGCCACCATATCCAGCTGCTAGTGAATTTCGGCAGGGTTGGGAGGTGCTGGAGATGAACCCAGGTCCTTCACCCTGAGCTAAATCCCTGCTCCCCGCTTTAATTATTTGAGACAGGGCTGATAAGTCATCCTGGGCTGGGCTTGAATTTGTGATCCTCCTCCCTTAGCTCCCAGACTGCTGTGATTATAGGACTGGGTGACCGTGCCTGGCTTCCAGTGAGTTTTCAGCAAGTTGAAGGCCTCAACGTCAGATGATGAGCTAGGGCATCAGAGTCTGTCTTAGCAGGGAGTATATAACTACTCTTCCAACTATACCTAGAAATTTGCTTTCCTAACAACCTCAAGTCGTCCTGGCCAAGGTCCCAACACACCCTCCGGCTCCTTGCTGTCTGTCTCCTTCTCTTCTCAGCTCAGTTCTCAAAAACTCCATTCCTTTCCTCCTCTCTACCAGTGTCACGCTTGTCCCTCCTGCCCTGGCGGAAGTTGCTTGCTCACACTGCTCTCCTTCTGTGACTTCTTCCATTGTACTTTCTTCCTCAGCCTGCTTTATGATATCTGCTGTCCCTTGGGGTCCGTACGCAGTCTTCCTTAGAGTCCCTAATTGTTCTGGAGAAGAACCAACTGCAGACGCGTGACTTGAGTTAGACTGTTGGCTCAGATTTCAGCCCTGAGTTTCAGATCCACTATTGCATCTAAATGTGTCATGGGCTTGTCAAACTAAAAATATCCCAAACTAGGCTTGTTATCTCTCCGCTCACCCACTGGAGAGTTTTCCCCCTGGTATTTTTCATCTCTGGTGATGGGGATGTAACCTGGAGATACCCAGTTACTTAAAGTCCCAAAAGATGTTGCCACCTTTTTCTTTGTTTTTTTTTTTAATCTCCCACCCTCAATAAATTGCCAAGTGCTAGTAACTTTTAATTTTTTTGAGTCAGGGTATTGCTGTGTTACCCAAGTTGGTCTCAGACATCTGGGCTCAAATGATCCTCCTGCTTCAGCTTCCTAAGTAGCTAGGACTGCAGGTTGCTCCACACGCTTGGCTGATTTTGCCTTTTAAATATTTTTGGGAATCCATTCCTTCTGCGTCCACCTTCACTCCCACTTCTGATTCAGGCTGCCTTCCTTCCTTTGCTACAGTAGCTCCACAGTTGAGACCTTGACCCTGCCCAGCCTGTCCTGTTCTGCGGACCATCCCACCGCACTTCACTCTCTCCCTCTAAACCCTCCAACCGCTCCTGTGACCACTAAGGTTTTTAACCTATCAGAAAAGCTCTCGGTGATAGTTCCCCAATTTTAACCTGCCCAGCCCCGCCCCCCCTTCATCCTCACAGCTTTCTCAGCTCCCCCTCCAAGCCTGGCTGTTCCTCCCCTTCCCCTCTGTGTAGTGACCTCCTGCTCCCCTTCCGTCCACCTTCCTGCTCTTGGTGTTCCTCCACGTACTGCCATCACCCCTCCCCGGAAGTCCTCTGTGACTTGGCGGAGTTGGGACTTCCTCAGTGCCCGGGGCCCTGCAGAAATGCTTATTGCCTTGACTCTGGTGACAATTGCTGGAGTACATACATACATCAGAACCCACCAAATGTGCACCCTACATATGGGTAACTTACTATACGTAGATATCCTATTCCTATTTCTGTCACTGCACTCGCAGTATGGTTTATCATATAGTTGACATCTCGCCCCATAAGGGAAAGCAGTGATCTTGGAGATATCTTATTCGGATCTCTGGGTTTTATTGTAGGCGCTCAATAAACCTAAGTCCTGATAATAAGCCATGGAGTGTAACAGGTGGGGGTGGGCTGTCTTTGGTTTGGGTTTAGTTTCAGGTTGGGGGCAGTATTTTGTCATTTAATGAAGCATTAAGTGGAGGGGTTTGTTTTCCATTACAGATTAACTGTGTACCCAGACACGAGTAGTAATTTTAAAACTGTCTCTCTTAGAGACCATGCCGCAAGAGGAGTGAGTTCTCCCCATTTTCACAATGGAGGACTCGGGAAAGACTTTCAGCTCTGAGGAAGAAGAAGCAAACTATTGGAAAGATCTAGCGATGACCTACAAGCAGAGGTGAGCCCTGCAGAACCAGTAGGAGAAACTAATTATCATCGAAGGAAAATAACTTAGCCAGGGTGGCAGCCAGTGGGAGCAGAGCAGGGACCATAAGGATCCAGCTGCCGCTCTGCCATTCCGGAAGGGTTTTGGTCAGCTCTAAGCTGCCACAGCTGGTTGGTTCCTCTGAATGGGGAAAAGAACTTCCCTCTGTGTCTAGAAAAATAGTGGATTTTAAAATTTGGAACCAATGTTTTAGTGCCCATCTTTCGTGTGTGTGTGTGTGTGTTTCTATAGAGTATTGGAGTTTTGTTTTTGTTTGGTTTTTTGGTTTGTTGTTTTACTCTTCTTGGAGTCCTCACATGGGGTCTCATTCCAATGTTTTTAGTTTGCCCTTGACTTGGCAGTTTACCTGAGCATCATTCGGGCACCACGTTTGTTTACCTGCAAACCATCCCAAGGCATCCTTTCAACCAGTTGATTCTCATATTGATACGTTTGATATAATTGTTTTTATATTTCCTGTTATCTTATATAAATAAATGAAAAAAGATGTAATTTTTAGCCATCCTCTATTTAAATAATTAAACTGGTAAGTGGTTAAAGATAATCCAGAGAATTAGGGTGTATCACAGGGGGCACTTGCCCAGCATGGGTCAGGGTCCTGGTTTGATTTTTACCAACACTACACCCCCCTAAAAAAACTGTGTGTGTGTATCAATGACAGGAAAAACAATAGAAATAGTTTAGGCTTAACTTACAAAAAAAGTCTCTTTAATTTTGAGGATTATGGAGCAAGGCATGGTGGTACATGCCTGTAATCTCAGCACTTGAGAGGCTGAGGCAGGAAGGTTACTGTGAGTTCAAGGCCAGCTTAAACTACATGGTGAGACCGTGTTTCAAAAACAAAAAACAAACAAAAAATTGAGAACTGTTAAATCAGACTGACTGGATTCCACTAGCATTTGGAATGGACTAGGAACAGATTATAGTGATATGATAAATTGACATCTATTTCATGTTTAGTGTCTAAAGAGATATTTACTGAATAAATTCACAGGAGATGCAGAATCCAAAGTTATTTTCTAGATGTTGGGCTGAAAAATATATGTGGAGTGAATAGTGAATTGATTAAGAAGAGGTTTTATAGTCAGGCATACTCAAGTTAGATCCAAGTTCGTCTTACGACTTGCCTGTGACTGTTATGTAAGTTACCTTTTTTTCCTGCCAGGTCCTGAGACTTGAATTAGGGTCTCACACATCATAAGTAAGTGCTATAGAACTGATCTATATCCTTCAACATTTTTAATCACATTCACTTACGTTGCCCAGGCTGACCTCCAATTTATGATCCTCCTGCCTCAGCCTCCCAAGTAGCTAGAACTATAGGTATGTAACAATACTCCCAATTTGACAAGTCTTTCATCTTTTCTAAGTTGTATCCTCTTGTCCATAAAATGGGAATAATGATAGTTGAATAAAGAGATTCACATACTGCACTAAATGGCACAATGCCCAGAACACAGTAAGTGGCCGATAAATTATTACTTGACCTTTTGGAATTCTGCTGCAGGGCAGAGAATACACAGGAGGAACTCCGCGAATTCCAGGAGGGTAGCCGAGAATATGAAGCTGAATTAGAGACACAGCTGCAACAAATTGAAACTAGAAACCGAGACCTCTTGTCGGAGAATAACCGCCTTCGCATGGAGCTGGAAACTGTCAAGGTGAGAGGCTGAGGGCAGTGGATGGGCTCGCAGCCCTGAGGATTAGGTCCTTCCTACTTGCAGGTCTTGGCATTGGGCATGGCTATTGACCTGTACACCTCTCCCATGTGGAACTCTGTGACAGGCAAATCACACATGCATCTCTGTGGCCTTCCTTGGTGATCTTTACTGATTTCATAGGGCACATGACAGGGAGACCTCTTTAAGAGTTTGGAGTATCACACTGGAATTGCTGATTGTTATGTTACAAGGTCTAGAGCTGTTTAGTGTGGTAGCATCTAGCTACATGTGGCATTGAAGTGTAAGTTAATAAAAAAAAAATTTAAAAAACGTTAATTCACGCTAGCCTTATTTCTGGGCCTGGTAGCCAGCCACATGTGGCTCATGTGTAACAACACACAAAAGGGCTGTAGAGCAGTTCTGTCATGACAGAATGTTGCCCTGGGGAATGCCAATCTAGAGCAGGTTTCTCTTCTTGTACCTGTAGCAGTCTGCAGATGGTTTCACTTTCCATAGTTTTTGTTACCTGTAGTCAACTGAAATCTGAAACTATTATATGGAAAATTCCAGGAATAAAGAATTCATTAGCTTTTAATAATTTATTATATGATTTGTTTAAATTATCCTATTTTATTGTGGCTCATTTCTTAAAGTTTATAAATTAAATGGTATCATAGGTATGTAAGCTCAGGAAAAAACAATAGTATGTATACAGTTTATTGCCTCAAATTTTGGGCATAGCAAAACGTATCAAAATGTGTCCCCCTTGCCAGGGATTTAGCTCAGTGGCTCAAGGGCTTGCCTGGTAAATGCGAGGTCATGGGTTCGATCCCTGGTACCAAAACAAACAAAATGTGTCCCCCATGGGTAAGGGGTAAGGTTTCTTTGAGATTTGAGGCTTTGCAGTTCTCTGGTGTGAGGGGTGAGTTTTACACTGTAGAATGTTCACTAGCCTCCCTGGACTCTGATAGAACTGTGGGGACCAGTGGCGGCTGAAAAGATAAGAAGTATGAAATATAAATGACCTTTATTTTAAGAATGTGAGGAGAGGACCCATCCCCACCCCCACCCTGGGGTCTGGGATCCCTGTGGAGCACATGGAGTGGAGGCAATATAAGTAGCCTAGGTTTGGGATGGAGCCTGAGGGGGCATTAGGGATGCACAGGTATCTCACTGGGACTAGTTTGGCTCCAGGGACAAATTCCTAGGGGTGGGGAAGATGGAGCGCCTTGGTTCTGCCCGAGGCTTTATCAGCTACGGTGTCCTGTCTGGGCCAAAACTCTTTCAGACTCCATCTACTGGATTCCACTAGCAGACTCCCCCATCCTCCCAAGGTTGTGAAAGCCAAAAATATCCTTAGTTACGTCCAGGTTTAAGCAATACCTTGGCCTCCTTGGATCATGGCTGCAGAGGTTTCTGAGTGCCTAAATGGCTAAATATTGTGAACCTAATCCCTAGAACAAGTTCCCTAGTTGGGCAGGATGCCCGGAGGCTTTCTTCTCAAAGCAAAGTTTTTCACTTTTGCATTTTTGAGCCTTTGAAAAGTTGGGTCTGTCACTGTCCCAAGATGCCCTCAAGCTATCTTTCCTGTTATTCAAGTGGAAAGTGCTTGACTTTTTTTTTTTTTTGTCTTCTTTTGAATGCTAATCTTTTCAGCAGCCATGTTCTTTGTTCCAATTTTGCAAGCACTTCCTTTTGACTAAACTGAAAATTTTAAACGAGCTTTTCATTCCTGTTTTTCTTATAAAACTGCTGAAAGCCACCAGCAGTAACCATGTAGAAGACTGAACATTGGACTGCCTTGAAATTTCCTCTGTCAGATTATAAATTTATCATCCTTAACCTCACACTCCCCAAAGGACTCGGGATGTAAGCAAAATGAAGACTACTTTTCTGTGAGCCAGTAACACACATGGTCTTGAGTTTGACTGCCAGTTGAGTGCTTATTTCCAGCTGAAACATCCTGAGCCTTGTCTTTTACTGTCTGCATTTTTATTAGCATTCTGGTCATGTGAGTGGTAACTAGAATTTCCCATCAAGCCTGTCTCAGGCCATCTATGGTTTCTCTCACCAGCATCTTCAAATCTTTCCAAACTCTCCCCATAAACTAGTTCCAGAGCTTCTAAGTCACATGATCAGGTATCATCTTGGCCAGAGCCCCATTCCTGGCACCAAATTCCATCTTAGTCACTTTCTGGTTGTTGAGACAAACTACCCAACACTCACAGCTTAAAGGAGAAGAAATTTATTTGACTCACAGCTATAAAACTTTTAGTCCATGCCTGGCTGAAACAGCATATTTGAAGCATATTAGAATAGCACATTGGAAGGGCCTGGGCAAAGGATAGCTGTTCATACCTTGACACAGGAAGCAGAGTGCAAAGGAAAATACACACTCCTTCCCTGGTGGCCCACCGCTTCTGAACAGGCCCAACCCACTAATAGCGTGGTTTATTTTGGTTTTTTTGTCTTTTTCATTTTTATTGGTACCAGGGATCAAACTCATGACCGCACACTTGCAAGGCAGGCGCTTATGCCGCTGAGCTGAATCCCCAGCCCCGTCTAATAGCATGTTACTCCATTTATGAGTATAGCATCCCCATGATCCAGGCACCTGCTAGAAACCCCATTTCCGAACATGTGAGACTTTTGGAGGATAATCTAGGTCTAAACTGTAACAGACATGAAGATAAGAATGAGCGTCAAGTAGGAAGCCTGGCCTTACGTGCATGTGGAAAAAAGTGAGACGAGCAAGTGCATTGGTGATTCCAACAGAGAGAAAGGTCTCCAAGATCTTGGAACCTGAGTAATGAAGTTCATGTTATGTATTGTAGACCAGAGAGTCCAGCCTTACCATCCACAGATTCGTCTGTAGATGTTTGCTTGTTTTTCAGTATTCCAAGTGTACCATGAAGCACACAGTTTGAAAGAGTTTTCCAGTGAATATCTGTATATATACCCCCTAGGTTCTACCATGGCAATGACCATTCTTGCTTTTTATTTATAATGTTCTTGTCCATCTGTCCTGCTCTTTCTGGTGCATTTCAAAATTGCAGGAGTCTATACACTTTCCCCAAATACTTCAACCTGCTTGTCATTAATTAGTGCTCAGCATTTGTTTATGGGTTCTGTTTTCAATAGCAGTTAGTATCTTTAGTGTTTTCTTTTCATATTATAATGTCAGTATCTAAGATTTATAAAACTTTGCAGAATAATCTGGATTTCTGACTTCCCTTGAGAAGTGGACCTGGTCATTTCAGTAGAAAGCTGAGTCCAATCTGTCTTGGTCTCTGTACCCCTGACGCTGAAGTTTAAGTGCTGGTTGCTGCTTGTCCTGCATGTGGCCCACGTGTCTCATTGTTAGCAGCCTGACCCCTACAAGAATGCACACCATAATCCTGCCATAGGCAATAAAGAATTGCCCTTGTTCTTAAATTAAAGGGAACTCGGAATGGTTAGAGGGATTTGTGGTGTGATCTATGGCTTGGAGAGTAAGAGGCCTCCACAGATGCTAAGTAAATATCACTCCATTACTGAGTAATTATCTACTTCAAGATTGAGCCTTATTGAGTCAAGTGGCATACATACATGATCCCAGCTACTTGGGAGACTGAGGCAGGAGGATCCCAAGTTCAAGTATCCTGGGCAATTTAACTATATCTAAAAATGTAATAAACTATATCTAAAAATATAATAAAAAAGACTGGGAACTGGGAACTTGCACTGATGTGCTTGCATAGCGTGTGTAAGACCCGAAGTTCAATTCCTAGTACTGCAAAAAGCAAAACACTGAGCCCTCAAACCTGCAGAAGATGTCTTTATGACAACCTCATGACAGACTTGGAGCAGAGCAGGGGTAGAGATACAAACACTTTGGAGAAAGAGTACACAATCACTAGTAAATATTTGTCAGTCACCTAAGAGAGATGTGTTCAGCTGACGAGTTCTTGACAACTGGCTCATTCATCACACGCTGAATACAAAAGCCTGTAAAGGATCAAACAGAGCATCCATTGATGCTTCATCAGCTGACACCTTTTTATAATCAGCCCCAAATGAAAGCCCAACATTCCAGCAACAGCTTTTCAAGTCACAAGTTCAAAGGGGAGACTGTCTGCATGTGTATGTGGGTGGAGGAGTCTGTTCCCCACATCCTCCTTGAACCCACCTTAGAATTGATACTAATGGCCCGGGATTGTGTTTTATATGAAGATGTCACGAAATAAAGGGTCCCCTACACCTGGGACCAATCTGTGTGTAGGGCTAGGCTGCCTCTTCCTGAGTTGAGATACCCACTCTCTACTCTCAGCCAGGAAATAGGAGCATCAGAGGGGTCCCTGCCGCTGGAGGACATGGAGTGCCCTCCCTGTCATTACCCTGTGAATAATCTGCTGTTCTTTGGCCATTCTTTCCCAGGGCCTTTTGCCATGCCCCTCTGGCTCAGCACTATTACATCACCTCCTGGCGCATATGGATTGTTTGTAGCAACAACTTTGTTGACTGGATCTAGTCATGAAGCAGAGCTTGCCTTTGTTTTTAACTTTTGAACTCGACCTTGAGCCTTTCTTGTGGGATGTGTTTTGTTTTATGTTGTGTTTGTGGAAGGGTGTTTGATGAAGGGAAGGATTCTGAAAGCTGAATGTGGAGAAGGCATGTGTCCATCCCAGCAGTCTAGGAGACCTAGGCAGGTGACTGCAAGTTCAAACCCAGCCTGAGCAACAAGTGAGACTGTGTCTTAAAATACTGATTATTGGCTGGGGATAATACTCAGGTGGAAGGCCTTGGGTTCAATCCCAAGTAACACACACACACACACACACACACACAGAATCTTGAAAAGAGAGGGAGAAAGAAAATCATCTGTACCTTGAAGATCTGGATTGAAGTGGTTTAGGGCCATTGAGCATCCATCACTGTCTCAGGAGCCCCAGCTCAGATGGCTTGGGCTTCATCTTGCTCCTGTCATTTGATACCAGTTAGCTTTGAGCGAGATAAGTAACTGACCCTGAGTGCCTGCATCTCTGATGTTGGATAAGTGAGACAGTGTATGTAGATAAGTGTACGAGGCTGAAGGTTGGTGCAGCACAAGTATGTGATAAGTTATCTGCTCCAAATGAGCAACAACTTGTCATAGAGTGGTCTCTCCCCTGCTTTGGAAAGCCCTGGCCAATTGCACTAGGCTTTCTTCCATAATTAATAACAATTTTCTTTCTCTTCCATTTCCTCTCCCCTCCCCATCCAGAAATTTGTCATAACTTTTCCCATGCTACAGGATCAAAAAGTTAGTACAGTTGTCATACTCAGTACCTGATGTGCTTTTCCTACTGGGAGGCACACAAGCAACCAAAATTGCTCCTAATAATCTCCTCGTAATATGGTGTGTGAAGCAGATCCACATTGCCCTGGTCATGGGGCTTTCTTCAGCTGTGGACACCTTAAGTGATTTATTGGAAGATTGTTGGTTTTTAGGTGCTGACTATAGGGACCGGGTTTGGGAGTGGGCATGGTACCAGGGTACTCATGGGACCAGAAGGCAGGAAGCCTTCAGGATGTTGTTGGAATACCATAGTTGCTTAGGATCTGCTCACTTTGAATGATTGCTACCTGTTCTTAACAGCTTTGGTCACTCGCTCAACATTCCAGGCCTCTAGAGAGAAGATTCTGTTGCCTGAATTTAGGCAGGAGCCTGGGAAAGGATGGCTGGAGCTAACTCCGCAAGGATGATAGGAGGAGGAGTCCCATTTAAAATCTGGGGAAGAGAAACCCTCGAGAGGAGGCAGGGTGCTGGAAGGACTTAGGGAAGGGGAGGAATAGATGAATGGCTGTATTTGTAGGAGATGACAGAGAAGAGACATACATATAGCTTCTCAAAGTCTTAAATCATTCACTTATTGTGGATTTTGCCCTTCAGGAAAAATTTGAAATGCAGCATTCTGAAGGCTACCGGCAGATCTCAGCTTTGGAAGATGACCTGGCACAGACGAAAGCCATTAAAGATCAACTACAGAAATACATTAGGGAGCTGGAGCAAGCAAATGATGACTTGGAAAGAGCCAAACGGTATGTTGGGAAGGAGGAAGCAGGTTGGGAGCTTTGGTCTCTTTCCCCAGCACCTCGGTAGGAGGCAATGAGTGGAATATAGAGAACTCAGCAGTGAGTAAAATAAAATCAGCCAGTGCCTTTCTGGATCTTCATCTCCAGAAGAAGATAGACAATAAGTAAATAAGAGCAGCTGAATTATAGGAAGAAATACTGAAATCCATTGTGCGATGGGGCCTGTGACAGGAAGTATTCACTTGGCCACTGATGGGAGAGTGTCGGGCAAGCCTTCTTAGAAGAAATGCTAGACCAGAGGGATGAATAGCCAATGTCCAAAGAAGAGTTATAAGAACATTCCAGGCAGGAGGAGAGCATGTCTGAAGGCCCTAATGTAAGAAGGAAAGGAATGTGCTCCAACAACAGTATTTCTTACACTACTATTCTGTAGTTCAGCGGAATAACTAACATGGGTTGATTATTGTGACCTTAGGTGCTTTTGGGAGAAATAAAACTCTTGCTTTTTAAGAATATATATATTCTGTACCCTATACATTTATTTTTTTATTTATTTTTTTTTTTGGTACTGGGGTTGGAACCCTGGGCTGTTCTGTTGAACTACATCCCCAGCCATGATTTGTTGTTTTCTCTAGGTTGCTAGATTGCCCAGGCTGGGCCAGAACTTGCGGTACTCATGCCTCAGCCTCCCAGAGTGCCAGGATTACAGGCCATGCCACATTATTAGTTTTTTGTAGTCTATTCAGTATTATATTACTTCCTTCGCAATGTGACATCACTGCAGTCTTACAGTTTCAAAATTATGGTCCTTGCATTTTATGCTATAGTCATAAAATTTATTACATCAACAAATACTGTGACATGCATACTACATTGTTACACTTTTTGCTGTTAGAAGCCAAGTGTGTTGTAAAGACATTGAAAATAGAAAAATAGCCCCTTTATGGTTTTGCATATGTGTCTCCCTATTGGAACATTATCACAGATATTTTTATTGTATACATTTTAGTAAACAGTGTAGTAATAATAAAATTCCTACTCTCAGAATATGAGAAGATAATAAAGGCACAAATATGAAATGAACATAAGACCAAGTACATGTTCTTTACATCACATTTCATACAGTTTTTTACTCTTCACTTATTTGAAACTATAGGGTTGATAGAGGTTGTGTGTTATTCAAGTATTAGTTCAGACCTTATAAAACAAATTTATTGGTGGTATTTATGTTTGGAGACAAGAAAATTATTTACTGTATGTAATCATGTCTTGGTGGACATGATTTAACAGTGAGGTTTTTATATGATGCAAAAGAAAACAAGTATGAACATTGGTTGTTTTAGAAATACTACCTAAAGGGGCTGGGGATTTAGCTCAGCGGCATAAGCATCTGCCTTGCAAGCAGGCAGTCGTGAGTTCGATCCCTGGTACCGATAAAAAAACGAAAAAGGCAAAAAAAAAAAAAAAATTAGAAATACTACCTAAAGTAGAATGACATTGAATATGTATTCCTCCCCAAATTCTTTTATAATATAGCTTATAAACTATCAATGGGGTTATGAAAGTCAAAATTTTAACATAGGCAAGCTGTAAAGCAGAACAAACAAAAGAAACAAGCTCAAATTTAAAGTTTTGAATAGACACTAAATTTGACCATTTTTTTCTGTACAGTTCAAGAAATACCTCTGTTAGAAATGGGGCGTTCAGGTGACCATCCTTTGCAAATTCATTTGCAAACAAGAGTTAGAGGTGAAGACCACAGATGCAGACTCATCATCACAGAGACAGTGAGGAACCTTACCATCAAAGAGACAAGCCTTGTATGTCTTAATACTTAAGAGAGTAGTGCTATACATTGCAACTTTTGACTTACTTGGTTTGGTATCTGGGATTGAACCCAAGAGCCCAGACATTGCGCTTTATTTCCTGACCCAGTTTGGATTTTCTTGGACACAGGGTTTCACTATGTAGCTCAGACGGGCCTTGAACTTACAGTCTTTCTTCTGTCTCAGTGTGTTCTACCGTACATGGCTCTAAGCCCTAAAATTTGACTTTCACAAGGCCAAAAAGCATTGTCAATACTTTGTTTAAAGGCAGGGAAGTGCATAATAACTTTTTGAAACATGCCCATGTAATAGTTATATAAATTTTATCTGGAACACTTCATTTTCTGATGACACATCATTACTGTATTTATTTTTAATAAACAAGGTAACATGAAAACAAACCTATTTATATTTAAGGAACATGGGGCTGGGTGATTTAGTTCAGCCGCATAAGCACCTGCCTGGCAAGCGCAAGGTTGTGAGTTTAATCCCTGGTACCACAAAAAAAAAAATCTAAAATATATTTAAGGTACACTATAAATACACAAATAAAATTTCCTTATCTTAAAGACAAACTCAGTCTGTTGAGATTAAGTTTGAGATTAACTCAGATTGTTGAGATTAATTAGCTTTCTGTATATAACTGGGCACCTCCACCTGTAGCCTGAATGTTAGTACAGGATCTCAGTTCTGTGACGGTACTTGGCCAACTTGAGGTCCAAGGGAAATACGAAGCCACACAAACAAAAGCCCCAGTGGGTAATGAAAACCCTCATTCCTCTTTGGAACTTTATTTTTCTTCTGTTGTCTGAGTGGCACAGTGTTCTTTTAGGCCACATACAAAAGTGTCAATTTCACCTCCCAACCCTGGTAACTGTTCCAATGAGGATGCACAAGAATAGTCTTTTAACGTGTCTGGCAATTTAAAAGTCTTCCCTAGAAGACATTGAAAACCCACTGGTGTTAGAAACTTTAGCTCTTTAAATACAGAATTTGTTTAGTCAAGTCACATCTTCTTTTTTATACTTTGCAGGTATGGCATAGTAGATATATTTACTTATGCAACTGTTTTCTGTATCAGGGGTTTAACATTGTTGGTTGAATTATTTTTTTTTTGTCTTGCTGTTTTTTATAATCTTGAAGTACCCCATTTCTATGTTTGTTCTCTGTTTCTAGTTTTCCTGGCTCTAGATTTGTACCTGTACCTTCAATGTTGATTTCCTGGCTTTGTACGTTGGTTGTGTAAGCATCTCCAGTGTTTTCACTACAATTAACTTTTTCTGCCTCTTCATTGTTAAAATATTTATAGTTGTGTGTCTCGTGTCTTCAATACATCAGGTTCCTGGCAGAATGGCTTTCCCATAGATTGAGATAATATTTTCAATAGGACTTGTGATTGGCTCCATATGTACAAGACATATCCAATATTTAGTACGTGTTTTAGCACCTGGAGTGTTTCTATTCAGGTCATTCAGTGTGGCTAGTATTTTTTCTTTTAGGCATCCCTTATTAATCAGGTTCAGGCATTAAGAAATTGTGTTGTTTAGTTTTTCAGTAAATAATCCTTGTTCATTTTCTTCTGCTATAGAAGTCCAAGAGGATTCAACTGGGTATCATTTTGTGTTTCCGGCTCGCGCAGGGTAACAACTATAGTTAGGAGGCCTTTTCCGTGTTCTTGCCTGCCAGCTTTCCGTGCATTCAGATGAGCTTTTCTCCTGCGGTTTCTTTGGGCTCAGCTGATCTATGAACTGTTGCTTTTGTTATAGTATGTCTTTGTTGGTCAGTGCTTTTTGACTTTTTTGTCAGTTTGATACTGGAAAATGAAAAGGCCTGGCTATAGATTCCGATGTCATGTTTATAGTAGTTGTTTCCTTCTTTTTATATCCTGAGAACTGATTTTGACACTAGATGGAACTTTTTGGTTGACACTAGATAGAACTGTTTTTAATTGTAACAGTGGCAGAGGTTCTGCTGCTGCCTTGTTTGAAGGATATTATTGTGGTGACTTTAGCAGCAGGAGGCCATATAAATCGTATGTTCTGAGATGTAGTGTTCACAGATTTAGTGGGAACCATCATTTTTGAGGCTTTGCCACTTCTTATTGCTCAAGTGCTGCTGTTTGTAGCTTTAGAAATAGCAGTTAAAAGTTTCTGCATTACAGAACTCTCCTCTGATGTGTTGAGGTTTTCTGAATGAGTTACTCTTCGACTGAACAACTTGGCTGTAATAAGATCCAAGTACGGGTTTCTTGGGCATGTTAACATCTTGCTCTGGTTTTTCTATAGTCATTTGTTTCTTTTCACATTATTTTTAAGGGGAAATGCCTGAATTAATGTCATTTTAATTTGGGGATTTTGGGGTTTTTTTGGTACTGGAGATTGAACTTGCAACCTCTCGCTTGCCAGGCAGGCACTTATGCTTATGCCACTGAGCTCTAAATCCCCAACCCTGGGGGATCATTTTTAATTGGTAAGAACTACAGTTTGATTATCTTCAAAATTATGTGTTTCAATTGCTGCAGTTGAATTGGCTAATTCATTAGAATATAGCAGTGAAACCTTCTTTCCTGTCAATTTGTAAGAGTTTTTGTATATTTTTGCTTCTAATCTTATGTCCTATATTGATAAAAACAAATACTACACTTGATTTTAGCCAAAAGGCTGAGAATCGATATGTCCTATATTGAAAATATTTTTTCCAAAGTAATCTTTCGTTTGTTGACTTTGTGTATCAGTTTCCATACAAAAAATTAGCATTTTTAGGTTATTAATTATGTCTCCTTTTATTCTGTTATGACTTCATTAGGGGAGTATGCTCAGCTCTTTGATTATATGTGTTGACTCTCTACCACCCTTGTTTTCAAGATTGTTTCATTTTCTTACTGCCTTAATTCATGTAGGTATTTTTTTGTTTTTGTTTTGTTTTGTTTTGTTTTGTTTTGTATGTAGAGTAAGATAAAGATTTCTTTCTACAATCACAGCCTTTTTTAATTTTGAGATAGGGTCTTGCTTGCTAAGTTGCCCAGGCTGACCTTGAATTTGAGACCGTTCTGTTTCAGCCTTCTAAGTAACTCAACTTATTTTAAGTGGATAGCTAATTTTCATAGCACTTTTTGCCACTGAATTGAAGTCAACTCTGTTGTTATTTTCTTACAGATCTTGGGATTCAATTCTGGCTTCTTTATTTGGTCGAGGATATAATTTCTGGATTGCTGTATCAATTATCATGTTAACTTGAGTAGTATGGATTTATATGAGTATTATGCCTGTATGTACGTACGCATATATGTGCTTGTTATATGTAAAGCCGCATTCTGATTGCTGGCAAGCAGCTCCATACTATCATTTCCACCCATGTATCATTGAGCACAGCAAGTCACATGACCACATTGAGTCAAAGGGTGGGAAAATGTCTTCCACTCATAGTGAAGCCGCAGCAAGGGTGTGGATACAGGGAGGGATGAATAATACAGTTTCCCACAGAATGCTGTATAGTCATACGGCTCAAAGATAATATACAGGAGAGTGGAGTTTTGTTTTTTTATGCTGGTTCTTCCACAAAAAAGAAAAAAATTTTTGGCCATAGCGTTGTACATCTAGCCCTTTCACATAACAGTAAATCTTGGAGAGCATTCTGTTTTAGGGCACAGCATTCCTTGGTCCTTTTTCTTCCCTAAATACCTATGTAATAGTCTGTGGGATGATTGGTATTGTGTTGTATGACAGACACCATAATTATGCACCTACTCAGTCTGCAGTATATGGTTATCTGTAGCATATCCACTCCTCAACAGTAAGCATTGTTGGAATGAATAACTAAGCAGAGATGCATATCTGTAGAATATATTTCCTGAAGTGAAACTGTTGGGTATGAGGATATATACATAGGTGATTTTGATGGACTTCTGTATGTATGCTCAGTTGTTTTCTCTATATATGGTTGCACCAATCTGCAGTCCCAATAGCTATGAATGTGAATTCCTGTTCTTCAAAGAGCTTCACCAACAATGGTTTTCAAGCATAGGATTTCTGCTAATCACATACGTGAGAAATGGGTGCCTTTCTGAATTCTGAGTGATCCTGTGCTCCTTTTTATATGCTTAAGAGGTATTTTGCTTCCTTCTCTATGAACTTTATTTTTTGCCTGGTTTTTGTTGTTCATTTTTGTTTTTGTGTTGCCAGGAATCAAACTCAGAGCTTTGCATATGTTAGGCAAGTATTATTTTTAAATTGGATGGTTGATTGGTTTCCTCTTATGTGTTTGTGATATGAATTGAGTCCTTGGAGTTTGGTATTTTTCTCTGGCTTTGTTATGTGCTTTATTGTGTTCAGTTTATTTGATTTCTGTGTAGTCAAGTTTGTGAGTAATGGAATGACCTGCACTTGAGTGTTTATAAAGCACTTAGCCTATATTTTCTTCTAGCATTTTTATGTTTTCTTCCTTCCCTCTATCTCTCAAGGTGCATTGGATTCACACTTTGGCCAAATGTTGAATAGTTGAGTGTTACAATCAAATGAGGTAGAGGCCCAGATCATGGTTATAGGATGAATAAACTTCTAGAACACCAAAATTTTATTTTGAGAAAACTTTAATAAAATATTAAGATTTTATTATAAAACATTAGTAGTTCTTTTTGGTAAATTAGACAGTCTATTGCAAGAAGGGTAACTTCTCAGCAGCATCAGTTGGTTGGTTGCTTTTATCATCCTTACATGGTAGCCTATAAGTTCCCTTTGTTGGGGAGGGTGGGCCTTGTGTAAGGAGAGATCTAGGACAGTATTGGAAGTAACTAAAAATCAAGTGCATCCTTTAAAGGTTATTTTGTTTCATATACAGGACTAAAACACTGTAAAATCCTACAGAGGTTACACTGACTTAATCCGATTCTATTTCCATGTGTTTTTATCTAACATAAGTATCTTTTAATATTCATATTTACCAAACTGCTTCCTATTGAACCATTTTAAATTCTCCATAACTGGCTGAGATTAACAGCTTTCAGTCATTGTTTCAGAATTTTATTGCAATAAATAATGCTGTTATACATGAGTTGACTGATAAAATTTCAAAATATAAAAAATGATTATAAAGGGAAGGAAAGTGCTCTAAAGGCTATAACTACATGTATGTTTTAAGTGGGTAAGATAGATAATCATATTACCAAGTTTTTGTTGGATCATTGAACAGAAGTTTTCTTTAAATAAAAAAAGTACAATAGAAGAGAATGATTATATGTAAATAATACGTAATATATACATACAGAATATAAATGCATGCAACACATAAAAATTATTTTATTTAGGTTGCACAAGAATGCTGACTTTTCTTTGACAGCAAATATTCTGTTAGTAGCTTATGTCCCAGTGACACGCCCTGCCCATATTATGATGCTGTTATGCTGGTCAGGTACAGTGAGGAGACAGTGATTCATGCTGGGTCAGAAATGACATACGCACTGCTGATATTATTCTTCAGTTCTGTGGTTTTTCAGAAGGCAAATAGTATGTTTTGAGCAAATATCAATTTTGTTTAAATTCCTGATCCCTTCGAGGTTTGATGCTACATGACTGCCCAGAGGTCCTCAGGCCTACACTTGGACTTTCGCCGTCTTTCATCAGACATTCAGTTAATGCATGTTTTTGCATTTATTTCGGGACTTTTGGCTCCCAGATCTAAACCTGTTCTAACTGGTAGCACACTTTTGATAGTTGCTAGGTCTCTACACTAATTGTGTGTGCCTTATACCTGCTGGGACTAGTTTCCTGAGGTCTTTTCCAGAGTGCTCAGCACCATTCTTGTTTCATTATGATATGGTTTTCACACCAGTCCCTCTGTCTTCCTTCCCCTAGTAAATATTCATTAGTACTTTTATCAAGGTGGTGACAAATTTTTCATTAATTCAGAACTGATTTCTTCATGATGGTGAGTCTTCTGCTTCATAAACGCAGCATGTCTGCATTTCTGTATTTCTACTTTGTGTATTCATTATTACATGATTATGTATTTTATATATTTTATCCTTTTTTTTCAATTTGGCATCGCAACCTCAGGGTCATTTGAACTGATTCTGGTATTAGACTCCTAAATGTTACCACTTTGTTGTTTTTAATCTGGCACTTTTGGTAACTTTAAACCATTGACTTGTTGTAAAGATATTTTGAGGTTAGGTATTAACCTTATTCAATCAAGATATGATAGAATATGTTGAATAAGTGAATGAATCAAACCTTACCTTATAACTAAAGAAACAAGGACACCCATTTAGTCTGCATGTAGAAACTGGGTTTTAACTCTTAGGTTCTAATCTAAACATATGCTTCAAGCCAACATGAAATAGAATTACAATGCAAAATATTATTGGCTTGCTAGAGGAAAACACGGGTCAATAATAAAAATTGCTGGTGTTTTCTGAGCTCTTATATATGGAATATCTGTTATGTGCTTTTGTCCTAATTTGCCCAGCCTACCTCTAGTATGGAGGAACCTTTATGAACCGTGATTTACATATATGAGTAAATTGAGGTACAGAGAAAGTAGCTGGCCCAGAGTTAAACAGATTTCTCCATTACAGCACTTCTCAGTGCCTTTACAACACTATATTCTAACGAAATGTCTGCACTGTTTGTAAGAATTGGGTGTTGATAGGTCAACTGGATCAGGGCTAGACATTTGGAACTTATTAAACTTTAGCTGACAGGTGGAAGCTGTTCCCTTCTACCTTTTTAAATGCATGTCACTAAATTGCATATGCACTTTATTAGATTACTCTGAATACTAGCCTGCACTGTGAGCTTCTAAGAGAAAGTGGAGCATGTTGCTCTTAGCATCTGTGTGGATATTGCTTTAATGCACCCCCAACACAACCTGAGTTCTCACATTCCCATTCTGCAGCTAATGAGCCTGAACCCCTGAAGATTACTTGTCCCCACCTGTGGCATCTAGGACGACCAGTGCTGGGACTTGTGCCCAGGTATATCTGACCCTCATATCTTTTGGGTGTGTAGGTACCAGATAAATGCTGCCATTTCCCATTTTGGATAACCTTGCTCTTCTCTCACCTAGAGCCACGATCATGTCTTTGGAAGACTTTGAGCAGCGATTGAATCAAGCCATTGAAAGAAATGCCTTCCTGGAAAGTGAACTTGATGAAAAGGAGAATCTCCTAGAATCTGTTCAGCGACTGAAGGATGAAGCTAGAGGTCAGAGGTCTTAGCCTTGTTCTTTGTCTTTACTAGCGTAGTTTCCTCTCCATCTCTGATGCCATGCTGCACTGTGGCCTTATTCATCACTGCCTTTGCTGGAAATCTGCACACCTTCCAGCACGTGGGTTGTCCAGTCAGATCCTGTGGGGCTTCCTTGGTACCTGCCCAGTGCTCAGAATTCTCAGCCCTCAAATCTGATAGATATGTACAGAAATAGCTTTGAAGTTCACAGTTTAAGCCTTTGTTTGGGGTTTTGGCTCTGGACAGTGGAATTCATTGGGAGAGAGCCTTCTTGGTCTGAAACTGACATACCGCCTTGATGCCCTATGGTGTGAGTTTTGTGGGGAGGCGAGCCCTGTTGGTAGAATTACTCATCAGTCTGTTCTTTTTAGGTCTTTGTGGTGACTGGTATATTGGACTGAGAATTCTGAAACCTCTTTAGCATTTGTTCAGTGGAGGTTGGCAGTCCCAGAGATAGAACTTTGCTGTATCAGGAAATGTGGCATCCACAATGAGTGATAAGAGATTTTTTTAAATGTCTTTTTTGCTTAGATTTGGCTCTGAGAATCGAACTCAGGACCTTGTGCTTGCCAGGCAGGCACTGTGCCACTGAGCTGTATCCCCAGCCTCTTAAGCCTTAATTGATTATTTGTAACATTTGATTTCTAATATGTGGCCTGAAGATGGAGGACAAAAAAAAAAACAGTAAGTTTAAAAACTTTTAGTTGAGTGTTCAGAATATTTTAAATTTGGTTTCAAAATAGCAGTGCTCAACCAGTAAAATATACAAATATCCCAAGATCTGAAAAACTTCCAAATCTAAGCACTTCTGGTCCCAAGCAGTTTAGATGAGGGATACTAAAGCTGTGGTTGTTCCTGATGCGCATTAGTAACAAGGTGGTTTAAAAAAACCCACATAGATTTATTTTGTGTTATGTTAAATAGTTGTTAAAAAGAACAAGAAAAAGATACAAAGGTAGTTGCCCACCCATACCATTGAAGGAGAGAAAGTAAGTCATGAACAGGAGGCATCAATGTTCACATTCATGATTAATAAAAATTGCTTATACTTTATATTCAAACACATTTATGTGTCTAAATATCACTATATGAACATGCAGTGATTCACCATGTTATAGGTTATAGGTGATCATTTATAATCTAGGAAAATATTTGGAAGAGTACACTAATTTGTGATTCTATGTACACTTCATTGTTAAAGATTTTTAAAAACACAAAGCAGTAGTGTGTTGCTGCCATGATTTTTAAGACTTTTTTTTTAAATTTTATTTTTAAACCTTTTAAACCCTTTTTACTCAAGGAAAATGCTGTATCTTTGCAGACCTGTTAAGCGGGGTCAGGCGGGCTCTGCTCCATTCTGGGTTCCTCCTGGACTTTCTCACCTGCTAGTTCTTTTCCTGTCTGGCCTGTTAGTACCTGTCTGACCTCCACCCCAACCTGAAAGCAGGGACTTACATTTCTGAGTCTCTTTCCTGGCACAGATTTGCGGCAGGAATTGGCTGTGCAACAGAAGCAAGAGAAGCCCAGGACACCCATGCCCAGTGCGGTGGAAGCCGAAAGGACAGACATAGCTGTACAGGCCACAGGCTCTGTGCCGTCCACTCCTATTGCTCATCGAGGACTCGGCTCTGCTTTAAACACCCCAGGGACATTCAGGCGTGGTAAGGGCATGGGGAGCAGGGAGGATTTTCTGTGTTTCAGAGTCGTCCTCTGTGAGGTGGGTCCTGGTGAGGTGTCTTGGCTGGGCCGTACAGTGGGGAACAGTGTGGGGTGGTCACCACAGCAGAGTGTTGTGATCCTAGATGTGGAGCAGGAGGGTATAGTGGAGTCTGCTGACTGGAAAGTAGAAACCCCATCTGAGGAGGTAGCTGTCACTTTCTGCTTTCACAAGGAAGGTGGGCCTAGCAAGGCCGAGTTTTCTACCAGAAAACAGAAATCCTCTTATTGAACATGAAAATCTCCCAAACATAAAGTATCCATAACCAAACTAAGGAAAAAAAAAAAAAAAATGTGCAAAGCATTGTGGGTCCAGAAAAAGCCAGTGCTGTGTGGTAAAACCAAAACCTTTGTGTCCTCCTCCAGGCCCTCTGCTGGTTGCTTAACTGTGAGACCTCTTATCAGGCTAATGGTAGCAGACACTAAAAGCAAATAAGTATTGAGTGCTCAGCGTGTACCTCCCAGCTGCTTAAAGGACTTTGGATGGTGACTTTATGAATTCACACCACAGGCCCATCATAAGTCACACAGCAAGAAAATGGCAGAGTTGGGATTCAAACCCCAACAGGCTGGCTGTGACTTAATCTCCTGTATGTTGCCTAAGTCCTTAACTTGTCTCCTGGTGGTGAAGAAATGGTGAGACTGCTAGATTCTAGAATATCTTATGAGGCACGTCATTTGATGGCGATGAGTTAGAATTGTGTTAACTTTCATCTTAGATGAGCGGGGCCTGTGGTTATATACCTATTGGTGCTGGTATAGACTTTACCTTGAAGAGAGGGCTCTTTGGCTCAGAACCTTTTTACAGTGGCTGGCTGTGCACATACGCATTTATCCCAGATGCTGGTAAATGTTAACTGGATGGAATTTGTAGGAATTGGAGAGGACCTGTTTTGGCTTTTTGTTGTTGTTTTTATTTATTTTGTACTACCAGGAATTGAACCCAGTCTTCACAAGGACCTACATCACCAGCCCTTTTGCAACTTTTTATTCTGAGACAGGATCTTGCTAAGGTGCCCAGGTTGGGCTCAGTCTTGCAGTCTTCCTACCTCAGATCCCAGAGTGCTAGGATTACAACCATCCTGAATCTCATCTGGCTTTAGCTTGGAGAAGATGAATATGTGAAACTAAATGTTTAATGTAATTTTAAGGACTCAAAAAGCTGTTCATGCAGCAGAGTGTTGCCATGTTACACAGTTAACTCCTGAATGAAATAGGGAGCATCCAGAAGCAAAAGGAAATGTCCCTTCTGTCCCTCATAGTTTCAAGTCTAGAGATGTTGGTACACAGACCATAGGCTGGTGTTGTGATGATGCTTCTGTTCGCACAACCAGGCTTGGATAGCTCCAGCAGTGGGACTCCTCTGACGCCTGCGGCCCGGATTTCAGCCCTCAACATTGTGGGGGACCTGCTGCGGAAAGTTGGGGTAAGACTGCACTTTCCTGGGGTGTGGTATGTTTTCTCACCTGTCTCTTATAATGCCTGAAAAGGAAGCATCTTACCTTTAATAGAGATAAGTTTTAGATGTGGCTGGTCCTGCAGAGTCCCTGGGCCTCCCAGAGGAGTTTCTGTGAGCAAGGCCCACAGCTCAAACTGAAGTCTTCCCTCCCATCTCTGGGTGTCTCTGTTTTGTTTTGTTTTTTTGTTTTTTGTGGAGACAAGGTCTTACTATGCAGTTCAGGTTGGCCTTGTGGTCACTTTGTAGTCCAGGCTGGTCTCAGACTCACAATGATCCTCCTGCCTTGGCTCTCCAAGTGTTGGGATTACTGGCATATGCCACCACACCCAGCCTTATTTTCTTTCTTGAACCATTTTTCTTCCATTCTTTCAAGCAGTTTGGGACAATAGAAATAGTCTATGGATTTTTTTTTTCTTAATTTGAAGAAATTTAAGGGCCATTTAAAAATCGCTTGCTCTTGATTTGTTCCCTCAGGAATTTAATATAACTTCTTGAAAGACCAGAAGGAAGGAACTGACCTTCATGTTTTATGTTAATTACAGGATAAGATTCTTATGTGTTTAAGCAATAATGTGGGTATTCTTTGTTATTGTTTATTTTATTTTTTGTTTCTTTTATTTTTCAAAAGGAGGCTGAGAGCTATATAATTTTAATCTCATTAGTTTGTCATGGATCAGACAAACTTACATTCATAACTAAGCTTAATAAAAGCTTGCAACACATTCCTTACATTTTGTGTCTTGGCTTTCTGGTTTTCTGTCACACAAACAGATGTCTGTGAGAACCCTGGGGGGCAAGAGGCCTCGCCTGCCCCTTTAGTTTTCTCAGTGTCTGTTTGCTCCAAGTTCAAAACCTTGCGTAAACTTCCACTCAGTACAGGTTTAACACAGTAAACAAAATAGTAAATGAATCTTAAGCTTTGATTTCATACTTTCTGTAGGCAGAATTGGACAATAGGTGGAGTTACTGATTTTGCAGAATGCTCCCAAAAATTTCAGGCAAGTGGTTATGAGAATTGGAGACACATTGGAGTCCCCTGAGCCCTGCCTTAGAATTCCAGCACAGCACGGTTTGAAAACAATGTTTTAGGTCGTCTTTGCTATGTCTGGTGAAAGAGGACATCCTGTCTTTACTGAGAGACAAAAGCACATTTCTCTTCAGGCTCTGGAGTCCAAACTTGCATCCTGCCGGAACTTTGTGTATGATCAGTCTCCAAACCGGATGAGTGGCCCGGCCTCAGGGCGGGGGAGCAAGAACAGAGATGGCAGCGGAGGTGACAGAAGGACAAGCGGCAACGGCGTACCTTTGGGTGACAAAGGGTCAGTACCTGTTGATGTTCTTGTGTTAGGAGGAGCACCTAGCTACTCCAGGTCAACACTCAGCCCCCATCTACTGCCTTTTGGTTTGAGTTGCAGGATTATTTCAGTGATCTTATCCTGTACCCCTGTCCCTTGAAGCAGGATTGGGTGACATCATCTGGTTTGGGCAAACGACCAAGGAGAGTGCCACGTTTACTATTTGATTCTCTAGCTTGGCTCAACATCAACTGTGAGAATGTTCTGAACCCCTTGTTTAGGCATTGAGCTTCAGACACTTCTCTGCTTCCCCTAGATGGTTGAGTTTTATTTTTAAACAAGTAGAATCTTCCAGAAACTAAAAGGAATAACTAGAAAAAAATAAAAGGACTGATCAAATTCTAACCAGACTATATTCCTGAAATATTCCTTATTTCCAACTAGTCACCTAGATCAGATGCAGATCTGATCTTTAATGAGTTTATTTTCTTGTTGAAAGAAAACCAGGGCCCTATCCACATTCTGGAGTTCTGTGGGAAGGACCCCTTTCTATCTGGAGACCAGGCTGCCTAAATCTGTGGGCCTATGGCAGATGCATGGTAGGAAACTATGAATGACTTTTCCATAACATGTAGTTCCAGAACTTTAGATTTAATCTAATTTAATTTTTATTTTTGAAATTTTAAATTTAGGGACTAGGGCTCTGTAGACAAAAGGCCCTGGGTTTGATTCCTTGCACTGTTCCCCTCTCAGTGTAAATACATATACACTTTTTTTTTTTGATGAGTAAGAAGCAGATGTTTTTAGAGGTTCTTCTTCTGAGATGGGGCATTTTGTGCACACTTGGGAATCGGAGAGCCAGATAGCCAGTGTCCTTTTCTTCATTTCACAGGAGAGAAAACTGAGGCCCTGGGAGACCCCGCTCCTCACTCTTAGAACCCTGTGGGCCCTGGTGCTAGCCGGTTTGTCCCTGCTGTCCCGTCAGCTAAACTTGGTTTGCTCTGTCTGAAGGTTGGGAAAACGCCTGGAATTTGGGAAGCCACCCTCACAGCCATCCTCGCCAGCGCTGCCGCTGCTGTCTGCCCAGGGGGTTGTCAAGCTGTTGCTTTAGGAACCCATTCGAGCTGGAGCCCTATCTAGCCAGGGTCCTTACCTTTTCTCCTCTCTTTACACTAGGATTTTTTTTTTTTTAAATTAGTTTGAGAAATAAGAGCCAGCAGTCACTATAATTTGCTTTGTGCTGTGGGACCCTTGCTGCTGACAGAGGCTATTAGCTATGGTCCTGGTGGTGTCCCTGTTGAAATGATGTCTGGTAGTTCTTTGTCTCCTCTTTGGTATCTGCATCACAGAGACAGTGACAAGTCCTCTAGGAGGTTATAAGTGTGGATGACAAAGCTGTCCATCATTGGCTATCCAAGAGTCCTGATGTCCTTGAGGGTTGTTTTTAGTGTCCAGTCTCTTCCTGAGAGGAACCCAAGCCTTCTTGTGCTCACCTCCTGGCTCCTTGTTTCTGGAGCTACCTTACAGAACAGACTCTCGGTACTTTAAAGTGTACAGAAACCACATCGTGGAGCCGTGAAGGGGAAACACGTGCCTTTTTAAAACTGATAATGTACCTCTGACTTTTTAACGTGCTTCTTGTGATGTTACTTAGAGGTATGTCTGAGTTTTGGAGTCATTTTCAAGTCAGTCACCATCAATGGGGAGTCCTGTCCTCTGAAGGTAAGGCTCAGCCCTTAATTTCCCTAAGTTCCCTGCTCTGGCTTGGGGGTGACATCTGCATCAGGACCCTGTGGGTGCTTGAGGTAGAGCGGACTCGATAATGCAGCCCCTAAAAGGAGGACTACATTCAAAGCCATCTTGAAATAACCGGGCTGACCTTCAAATGCGATGAAAACAACAGCTGTTGTTGGAAGCGTGTTCCTGAAAGGAGAGACAAGCACAGCACCCTCAGTGCTCCCCACATGTCGCCTGCTCATCCCTGCTGGTCCTGCTCTGCTGCCTCTGCTTTCAGACACCAGCGGAAGGAGCCCCGCATTTCAGGACCAGGAGTGCAGCCTAATGGTCTTCACTTTTTACTAAGTTATTTTCTGGAAGAACCAGTGGAGCTAGGCCTTGAATTGAAAATAGAATTTTCTAAGCACAGCTGAAGTTTGGCAGAGAAGTCAGCTGTGGGCTGGGTTTATCAGCTAACATGTTCTAACCCATGTGGTAAAAGATGACCTTTTATTTTTTTTTTAAAGAACAATAAAATCAAGAAAAACTTGTGCTTGGCTGGTTTGTGGTATGGTCAGTACATGTGGCTTGACGTGCGTGTACTTCTGTGTTCGCTCATGTGGGGGTGAAAAATTAACTTTTTTAAAAAAATAAAACCACACACATATAGAATACCCATTTTTAAAATTTCTGTTCAAGTCAGCTTTTTGGAAAGGTTTCAGGATGTTCGCCCACCATTCAAGGTATAGCAGCATTTGGTCATGCAGTTGAGCCTCTTGTTTCTATGTTTGCTGTGTTCTCATCAGTTTTGCCTGAGTGGGTATGCAGAATAGTTGGCATCAAATAGAAGCTTTGCAGGGCCTGTCTGTCCAAAGGCTTGGAACTAGACAAGGAGAGGCCCTCTTGGTTGCTCTTAAAGGACCTTATGCTAAGAATGGTTTCTTTATGTTTTTAAGCCTTGTCGAAAAAAAATAATGATGAACTGGGCTTGGTGTCACGCGTCTGTAATATCAGCACTCTGGGAGACCAAGTCAAAAGGATCACAAATTCAAGCCCAGCTTGGGTGATTTAACAAGACCCTGTCTCAAAATAAAAAAGGGATTGGTGTGTAGGTCTGTATAAAGGCCCTAGATTCAATCCTCAGTATGAGGGGGAAAAAATGTGTGACAGATTAAATGTAGCTTGCAAATGCTGAAATATTTACTGTCTGGCCTTTATACAATGCATCTTATGTTTTGATTTACAAAATAAAAATCTTATATTCATCATATTACAGATTGAGTATTCTTTACCCAAAATACTTGGAACCAGAACAGTTTTTTGGATTTTTTTAAACGTTAGCATATGTATAATATGATGACTTGGGATTGTGACCGAGGTCTAAACACACAGTTCATTTATGTTTCATGTATGCCTGACCCACATAATGAAGTAAACAGTAATTCTAGAGTATCTGTGTTTTGACTATGACTTGTCACATGAAGTCAGGTTGAAATTTTCCAATTATGGTATCTTATTGGTGGTCAGTAGGGTTTGAGTCTTGGAGCATTTTGGATTTTTGGGTTAGGGGTGCTCAGTCAATATATGCCAAGTGGATTTGGTTGATAAAGATGGGTTCCCCTGTCAGATTCAAAGACAGACGCAGTGCCTTGCCACCACACATCTCACTCCTTGATCCTCTAGCTGCCTGCATCTTAGCTGGAGAAGCCCCCTCAGACAGCTACACTTTATTTATTTATTTTTTGTCTTTTTGAGACAGTGTCCCGCTATGCAGTTTAGCCTGGACTTAACTCACTTTATAACCCAGGCTGGCCTCAACCTCCCAGCAATCAGCCCTCCTGCCTCAGCCTCCTGAGTGCTGGGATTATACCACAACACCGCTCTTCATATCCGCTCTTTTTTATGCCAGCCATGGGATCTTAGGCAATTTATATCACTCCCCTAGGCCTCGGTTTCTCCACATCTAAAGTAACAACCCTGACTTCGTGGGGTCACTGTGAGGATTCGATGGGAATGTCCTGTTCCACTTTTCTTTTGCTCTGAAGAAAGCAGTCCAAAAGAAAGCCAACCACGTGCTGGTGATTTATAACCTTTTATTAGTGACGGTGTCCCTAAGTACAATCAGGGTGCATAGAAGACAGTGCGGCATCCCTGCTCTTAGCCCTTAGAGCAGCGTTTCCTTTGTAATTCACGTGACTACAGAAGGCACTTGGTCTGGGTGAACTGTGTGTGTCTCAGGTGTGGCAGCCAGGAGAGGGGAAGAGAATTCTCAAACCAGGGTCTCACTCAAGAAGTGGATGGGGGCTGCATGGTAGGGAATGCACTGTTGGCGAGCAGGGCTGGTGGCACCCATTTTTGGAAACTCTCCCTTCATGTAAATGAAGTTGCTGCTGACTGGTTACTGTGGCTGTTTTCTTGAAAACTCAGCAGGATGCGAGGCTGCCTATTTCCTGGGATTCTTTCTTCTGGTACCACCTAAACATTGAAATTCACACGCAGGGCAGTCCTTTTATAGTCATTCTGAGGGGTGGCAGTGAGATCTGGAATTTGAGAATGGATTTGGACAATGATAAGTAAAAACCTGCTGGGTTTTGTTGATTTTTGTTTTGTTTTTTTCCCTGTTGTGATGTAAAACTTTAGGGAGTTTATTCACTGGCTTTGGTTCCGTTGAAGTCCGCATCACGAGCGTCCATTTCCTCTTCAGAACCATCTGCATTTTCAATAACTCTTCTTCCTCCTCCAGACCTTCTGGAAGGAACAAATGAGGTCGAGGTCTCGTTTCCTCGCCTGTTGGTTTAAATAAGAAAACATGTGACTGTTTAGTAAAGGAATCTCTGTTGAGGTTGGAATAGATTTCTATAAGGGGCAAAGGCCAAACACAAACACATTCAACACAAATAAGACACAGCTAGTCAAGTTCAAGGCAACAAATCCTGGCCCATCTTAAGGTATGGTTGGTTATGTTTAATCAGTAGAGATGGGGGAATGCGTGGGTTTTTAAAGGCAGGATTATCAACTTTAATACTTTCACGATGGGGTCATAATTTGTGTTTTGCTGCTGGGCAGCTTGAACCACCAGTGCACATAGTATACGCATGACTGTCTCTTAGGTACCTTTTTATTAGTAAAAAGACCAATAAAAGTGACTAGATTCATTTGTACCACCAGGGGTACAAGCTGCCCGATGGGATACTTGTGTATGTACCACTACGGGTTCAAGCTGCAGGCAACATGTTAAAAAAAAAAGCAAAGCCTGAGGCTGCGTGTGTAGCTTGGTGGTAGAATGCTTGCCTATCATGTGCAAGGTCTAAAGTTTAATCCCCAGCACCATCCCCACACACACTCTGGCTTGGTCACTTGATTACTTCTGGTCTGTTATGGCCTTGGGAGTCTGGAATAAGAGACAAGAGTGTAAAGGTAGGGGTAGTGCACACCCATATTTTTATTCAGGAGAGCAAGCGTGCTGTGTTCTTGCTGTCAGAAAAAAATGGGGAGGGTTGAGGTTTATAATTGGAAGGCTGGAAAATGGACAAGGGCACCATTGAGAGGGACAGAGGCGATGGATACAGAAGGACTGTTCTGAGGCTTCTTGGTCAAAGTTGGTCGCTGTTGATTGGGTTTTTTTTCTCCCTTTGGTATGCACTGTGCATGGCATAAAAATAGGTGCTCAATAGATCTTTGTTGGAAGAATGAGTTATACATGTTATTCAAGGTCAGTGTTAGCTCAGCCTTTCTCTGCCCCTATGACTGCTCATCTCTTCTGGGACGGCCACATGCCTTCTGCTGGTTGTCATCTAGCAGATCATCTGAAGTGAGGGGTGGACAGATGGGGAAATCAGACTCACTTGTAATTAAAATCTTTGCTGTTCAATAGACATGCTTAAGTGTATTTTCAACGACTGCAACTAATGATGGTGTTACAACCAATGATGGCCCTGGTTAGCCTGAGCAGAGGGCAGGTCTCAACTCACTTTAGGACATTAAGAAGAAAGCAGACTTCCGGCAACATAAGTGCCCAGCTCACCACACACAGGCTGGATGGAGAAGCCACAAAGGTGAGTCCACACCACTGACCCCTTCTTTAGTCCAAAGAAACAATCCAGACAGGTGAGATGGCGGCATAAGCAAGGCTCAGAGATTCATGATCGCTGAGAAGAATCCCCGTGTGAGCCTTTTGGGCTTCGCAAGGTACAGCGATCAGGAATAAATACTTAAAGTCATGGCCAATTCCAATTCAAGCTTTAAAGGGACATTTCTAGACACCCCACCAGATGAGAGAATCAACTGTCCCCACCTCTAGCAGTGACTTTTCTGCCACTGCCTGTCTTCCCTTTTTCACTGGGTTGCAGAGAAGGTCCCAAAGGTCAGGGCCGAGAAATGAGCATCACGACCATGTGGACCATTGCCCCACACCTACATCCTTGCCCTGGTGCTGCTGGCCTCCAGGACCAGGTCCCATAGGCCAGCCTGGAGCTGGAAACTGGACCTAATTGTGCTTTAGGGCTCAAGCACGCTTCTTTACTTTGAAGAAAAGCCAGCATTTGCTAATCAGAAGAGTTAAGGGATCAGTTTGTCCCTTGACCTCAGAAGTAGCCTGTGCCCTGGGTCAGTGAGCTCTCTGCTTGACTGGCTTCTGCGAGGCAGTCCCTTCTAGTTCATGTGTCTTTATTGGAAGAACTAGCTTCAAATGCTAGATAAAGCTTGGCACTGACTACCTCTGTTTTGGGAAGTAAGAGACTGCAGATTCTCTTGGAGTCTGATCCTGGAGAACAAGCATCGTTGACAGATGAGACTTCCAAACTCAGCCCCAGCTCCTTGAAGGGACTTGATTCCTGCACTGAATCCAGCTCTAGAAGCTGCCACCCTCTGAGACATCCTAATGTCCAAAGACTCATCCACCCTATCCCACGCAATCTACACAACACTGTTTGCAAGACCTCACCCAGCTTTAAGTATTTGGTAGCAATAGCAGAGCTGAGATTCTCCAAAAGAGAAGATGGATACAAGCAAGAATTTGTTTGACCTCTCAGTGGGGTGACAGAACTCCTGGGGCCCATTGGCTAACTTTACTATGTGAAAAAGTTGTAAAAGTCCCAGAGAAGTAGAGGCCTCTGTGTTCTCTGGAGGGGGGTCCCATGTGTTTCCCTAGGAACTGGGCATCTACTCCCCAGTCCTTGAACACATGCATGCCGTGAGGTCTCTAAAAAAGACTGCAGATTGTACCTGGCTTGGTGGCAACCAGTTCCCACCCTCATGCAAAGAAAACAGCAAGTAGCCAAACTGTGCTCCAGCCACATGAAGCCCCAGCATCTGAGCATGGCAGTGAGAGTTCATGTCTTTTGTAGATCATGCATGACAGTCTAACTGTGAGAAGAAAAATTTCTGGCTGTGGTCACCTGAACCTGTGTTGTTATTCCTGATTCGTGACCCAGAACATGCCCAATGAAAGCCACGTCCATTCTCAGGGATGTGCCCAGGGTGTGGACTGTCGTATTCAGGAAGTGTTTGCCATACAGTGGGGGGGATATTGTTGCTGAGTGTTCTTAGCCTGGGTGACTCTCAACACACAGGTAAGAAAAATTAAGTGATGCTACGCGTAAAAATCTCATTCAAGTGTGACAATAAGGCCAAGGTCCATGCCACATCACCGGCTAGGCACCACCCAGAGAGGGAAGGGAAATGGCTCAGGAGAGGAGATCGGCTTTTCACCTTTGTGTTTGTTTTGAAAAGACAGTTTTATCCAAGATACCCATCTTTTCAGGTTTTATAGGAATCTCACAGACATTTGCAAAGACTAAATAAGGGAGGGGATGGGTGGAGGGCGCTGGGCAGAAAGGAAACAGCGCGACACATAGGAGCTGCGAAGCCAGAGGCATGATACCTGGTGGGTCATTGCGAGGTTTCCTGTGGGGGGGCCCCTCTGAAATAGAGAGAGAGTCCCGGGTGGTTAGCATCAGCAGACCAGAAGGAGCCAGGTTAAGTACATCTCTCATCATTAAAGGCATTGGCTTCAATTAAATGACAGATACTTTAAGTCAACCGTGCAGTGAAACCCTTGAGGGCACCAGAGCATTGGGAGAGGCTGGCACCTCAGGGAGAAGCAGCGTTTTTAACCACAAAAGAAACTGATGTCCCTCAGAAGTTGTTTGAAACCTATAAAGACTGTCACTGCATACCTATTTAGGAAGTAAGATAGTGTGGGAGACCAGCCTGGGACCTGGCCACCCTGGGCAGAGGACTTGTGTGGCATCAAGCCTGATTACTACCTGGTCTTTGCTAGCTTTGGTGCCTCTAATGTGAAAGTAGCTTTTGCAGCCTGGATTGGAGCCAAGTAGCCAAACGGCAAATGATGGGACATGGATGGGACTCAGTGAGGGCTTGGGTTGAGGTTTGTGTGGTAGATAAAACTGGATTCCTGGGAAAGTTGTTTTCTGAGGAGCTGGCTGGGTATACTGGTCTCACCAAAGCTCTGATACCCAATTTTATGGCATAGTACACCCAGAAGACCAAAAGCTGGGGATCTGTGACACTCTTCAGCCTCTGCCACACATGTGCGTCCTGGCCTGTCTGGACTAAGGGTACCACAGGGATGTTCAGCATAGGCTAAGAACCACTGAGCTTGAGAAAAGGGAGCAGACACAGCATGGGTACATAGCTGGGGTGGCTGTACCCTATCACCAGGAACACTGGCGCCTCCAGTTGCCTGCAGAGTGCATTCTGGGGGTCTCCCTGACCTCTCAACCCTGGGAGCTGCAACTCAGCTCCTATTGTCCCCTGAGAAGTTGGTTCTTGTTTCCTTCCATCATGAAGGGAACAGGGGCTCCTCCTCACAGCCTTGACACCCGAACCAGGCACTCCTCTTAAAGGTCTTGGCTTCTCCCTAGCTGTTGTGAAGTTCCCAAGGGCTGGAGTTGGTTCCCCAGGTGCTGGCTGCAGGGCATGTCACCAGATGAATGAACTGCCTGTGAGAAAGGTGCTCCCTTTCCAAGTGAGATGCCATCAGAGTGTCTGTCTGATGCTGGGGTGTACAGTTAGTTGCTCCCTTTCAAACTGAGAAGCCAGTTTTAGTCCTCAGTTTGGCTACAGTATAGTAGCTAGAACCCAACATTGCTTTAACATCACTGTAGTATTTAACTGCGTTGTAACCTGTAGATGTGTTGGGTTTAAAAATAATAGGAGAGGTAAGTTTTATTTGTAAGTGGGTGAATTATGATTAAATATTTGAAAGATAAAGTCTTGGCAGGCATTAAGGGATCAAGGCAAACGACAAAGGTGATGTGACAATGAAGCAAGACACATATCCACTATGCTTAGTAACTGAAGGTTTTGTGTGTGTCCAGTGCTGTCCTATACAAGGGGGATGAACGCACACAACCTTCTGTGCTCATGGGAATTGCAGGCTAAGAGGGAGGCAGATGTGAGATAAAATAGTCAGTAGGTGACGTGGCTTAAGTAGTAAAGGGGAGTGGGAATCCAGGAATGAGCATAGACATTTTAGACTGTGTGACTTTCCCGTAAGGACAAAGGGAGGGAAAGAGGGAGCCCTCTGCAGAGAGCTGGTGGAAGAACATATTGGCAGAGTGGGCATCAGTGCAGCTACAGTGAAGCAGTATATGAAGTCAGAGGGTAAGTTTCAAGGCAGTGAACAGAGATCAAACATCATGAAGACATAGCTTTGGCTCTGAGTAGAGGAAGCATTACATAGAATCCCTCTTGGGACTATGTTGACTACAGATTGTAAGAGGCCAGGTGGAAGCCACAGGCCCGTGAAGAGGCTGTGAAGATCATCAGGATGAGGAAAGATGGTGCCTCAGACCCAGGTGGCAAGAAATTGAATTCTTGAAGTGCATTATTTTTAAAGATAGTTGAGCAGTTTTTCCAACAGATTAGATGTGGAGCCCAAGGGAGGAGGGAGGAAAACAGAATGACCAGAGGTTTACAGTGCATGTTCACAGCCGTTTATCGCTCCAGTCTGAGCTGGGGGAGGGGGTGAAGCGCTGTGACTGGGGTCTGGGGCATGGGAGTGGTGAGCTGCCTCTGGATATCCAGGTGGGAAGGTCAGCTGCAGCTGTGGGCCTGAAAGGATGTCAGCTGGAAGATAATTATTCACTGCAGATGGAATCCTAAAGCCGCAAGACTTGACTGCGGTCACCGAGGGAGTAGAGAGAGAGAAGCAAGATAGTGGCCAGTGGTTGGTGGGTTTTGAAATGGAGATAGCCAGCAAGCGGGGAGGGCGGCCAGGGATGAGGGGTGGGGCTGGGAAACCCAGGGAAGATGGACACTGGACTATCTGGCTTTACCTGTCAACCCCACTGCTGTGGGTGAGGAGTGGATGCAGCCATCCTGGGGCAAGGCCTTAGGTGGTGGGTGGTAGGCAGTGTGTGCCAACTCCTGGAGTTGGTGGAAGGGTGGGTGCCAGGGAAGTGGGGTAAGAAGTATTTCTAGCTGATGGAGTAACTCAGTAGAGGGAAATGTGCCAAAGGAGCAAAGGGGACTCTGAGTAGCCACCTGAGCTCAGATGAGAGCTCAAATTAAGAGGGCAGTAGCTGACATAGGTGCTGGCAAGGACAGGAAATGAGCACAGATGTCAGGACAGGGGTGGATGGGGAAGTGGGAAGAATTTCCTGATCAGTTCTGGTTTTCAGTTAAACAGGAACTAAGAGCATCATCCAAGAGAGGTGGGGATAATAGGTACACAGAGACCGTAAGAAGGAGGCCGTGGGGTGAGGCCTGCTAGGCATTAGGGGGTGGGCATGGTGTGGGTGGTCTGCTTTTCTAGTGCCCCTTTGTGCTGTGCAGTACATGAAGGTTTAGCTTGGCCTGTGTTTCAACCAAGTGAGTCCAGCAAAGCATTAGGGGGGACCCAAGTGCTGGTGGAATGTGAGAAACCAGTGATTATATGGGTGGCCCTGGGCCTGAAGCTGGGTCTGGGGTCGTTGGGGGCTGTGAAAGAGAACATCAGTGAGGTAAAAGTCCCAGGAAGAAAAAGCCAGAGAAAAGTGGCTGTGGATGGCAAGGTGCTTGATGGTGGAATCACAGGGCTTTGAGGTCACTAGTCATGTCTGAGGGAGATCATACAGAAGTTCAAGGAACCAGAGGCTGAAGGCCCCAGGATGCTGAAATCACAAGAACTGGTGGTCTAGACCCAAAATCTTCAGGGAACCAAGTAGGGCAGAGGGTTGAGCAGGAAGCTGTCTGAGCAGCAGGAGGGGGCCTTCCATTCTCAGGCCTCAGGGGTGAGGTAGGCAACAGCTCACTCAGTAAGGACAGTCTCAAGGCTGTGGTGCCCCAAGGTACATCTAGGTCCTCAGGAGATGGTTTGGGTTGTCCCATTCCCAGCTGGGGAGTGCTAAAGACCCTGCCATGCACAAGATAGCCCCTCAGCAGGGGAATGTCTGGCCCCAAAAGTCAGTAATGCTGAGAATGAGAAGCCGAGGTCTAGAAAAAAGAAGCAGACAATGTTCTGAAAAGGGGCTTGTATTTGTGGAGAATGCAATGAGGAAAAGGTTTTAGGAGTCTGGGTGCTTCCCCACATGCAGAGCGGAGGAGACAGCTGTTAAAGGAGATGGAAGGTGAGCCCAGAGACTGCAGCCAGGTCTGATCCTGACCCACTTGGGGCACCACACTAGTGCTAGAACAGAAAGAAACCCTGGGAGGAGGCCAGAGCTCTGGGGCCCAATTCGTAGGCAGTGGTCTGTGGGTGTGGAGCAGGCATGACAGGCCAGCGAAGCTCTGGTGCTCCCAGCTCACCCTCACCTGAGCTTGCTCTTGAGCGCCGTCACCTCGCGGCCCATGGCCTCATTGCTCTCAGTGGCTTCATCCAGCTCCCGCTGCAGCTTCCTGCGGTTGGCGTTGATGCGCTGGGATTCCTCCTCTGCCTCCTCCAGCTGCCTTTTGAGCTGCTTGACTCTGGCATTTCCCTTCTCCGCCTGGCAAGGAGAGGGCAGAGGGTCTGTAGAGAGCAGAGGGTGGGGACTGCCTCGGGGGTGTGGGGCAGGGAAGGTGGTCACCAGCCTACCTGCTCTTTGTACTGTTCAGCCATCTTGCGCTCATCCTCCACCTGCAGCAAGGCTTCCTTTAGCTTCTTGTCCTTCTGCTTCAGTGTCTTGGCAGCTGCTTGTTTTTCTCTGCACAGGGTGAGGAAAGGGAGGTAGTTTCAGAGGGAGCTGCTCCCTTTGCAGTGTGTCACCAGGCACAGCAAGGCACCCTTTGCGAGCACTTTTTCTTGCAAATTAAGACTCAGGCTAAGAAATAGCCAGATGGGGGCTGGGGATTTAGCTCAGCAGCATAAGTGCCTGCCTTGCAAGCAGGCAGTCGTGAGTTCAATCCCTGGTACCGATAAAAAGCAGAAAGACAAAAAAAGAAATAGCCAGATGGAAGGATAGTATTTGACTATGAAAGGCAGTGAGATTGCCAAGGTGTACTACAACCTGGACAAGCCCGGGAAATACCTTACTACAAGGAAGACGCCACATATTACAAAAGGCCACATGGCATAGGATTCCCTGTACCTGTGGGTGATGGGAAAACCCCAGAGGGCTCATGGCTAAAGGGCACGGAAGTTTCTTGAGGTGATAAAACATCCTAAAATTAACTGTGGGTTATCATTTCACATGTCTGCAAATATACTAGAAACCATTGAACTGTACACTCAATCAATCCATAGCCAAGTATGTGAATTATCAATAAAGCTGCTACCCTAAAGAGGTCAGAATACTTGGTCATCAGTGTGCTGTGACCTTGTGCCTGGGTTGACCTGTAACATGTTAACACGAGGTGCCTTGCTGTGTTTGTGGGCTGAGTGGTTTGCTGTTGGGACTCCTGTATACCTGCTGGTAGGAAGTCCCTGTAGATGGAGGTTAGTAACACCCTCATGTGCTCCTGGGCCCACTACAGTGCTAAGGGCAGCTGCATGTACAGTGCCTGCTCTAGGCCAGGCACGCAGCCCTTTCTGTGTCTCCATCCTTTCCCCACCACAAACCTGCAGTGTAAACACCTCTAAACTTATATTTTTACAAGGCAGAACTGACACTCAGGTTACCCAGCTTTCCCAGTGCCCCCCTCTGTTCCCCAGCAAGCAACCTGAGGGATGGGGAGGGACTCTGGCTTTCCTATACCTGGCCTCCTGCTCAACCTGTTCCTCCAACTGTGCAATCTTAGCCTCTAGCGCTGCAATGGTAGACTTGAACTTGGACTTCACTGCTCCCTCCATCTCCTGCAGCTTGCTGCGGAGCTCCTTGTTCTGCCTTTCCAGCTGCTGCCGTGCACTCTCATTCTTCTGGGCCGTGCTGCGCTCCGTCGCCAGCTCATTGCTGAGCTGCTCAGCCTGTGAGGTAAGCATGCAAGCCATGAGGTGGAAAGCACAGGAGCCAGGGCAGTGTCTGGAGGCCATAGCCCTTCACCTGCCATCTCCAGTGTAGGTTGGTCCCCACATGAGTCCTTGAGCCCAGGTACATACCATCCTCTCTCTACTTTATGCAACCAACTCCTGGGAAGCCTAAAACTCAGCTCAGGAGCCACCTCTTCCAAAAGTGTCCCCTGCCACTGAGGCTGAGTAATGGGCTGACCTGTGTCTGTCCTAGACTGTAAAGGCTTCACCTCACACAACTGACCTCACATGCATTACGGCAGACCCTCTGTAATATTTTCAGTGGGCAGTGCCCCTGAGGGCTCACTGATGTGGCCAATGCTTAGGACTAGAGAAGGAGCAGTGAAAGGGGAATGCCAGTGCCCTTCTTCAGATACACATCATCTTGTGGAAAGAGCCAGACAAGTGCTGGCCAATGAAGATGACTGTGTGGGCTGGTGCAGGGTGTCTTGAAGAGGCAGGCAAGACACTACTAGAGGCAGGGAGGAAGGGCCTAGGATTCTATTGTCAGGTTTCACTCTCTGCACCCCTGTGCTGGACTGGCACACGGAAGGCTTGTGATGTATGTCACTAAAGCAGTGCAGGACTTGGGACGGAGACCCTGTTTCAGGACAGAGCCAAGGCAATGTGCTCCTCTGGTACAGGGACCATGGCTATTGTGGTCTTGTCCTGCTGTGGTCTTGTATCCCCATGTGTGACCTGAGTGCAGCGTTCACATGCCTGCCAATGGTGCCCCACTTAGAGGAGGAAACAGCCACCGGAAGCTAAATAGGGGTAGAAAAAATAGAAAACTGTCACCTGACCTGACCCCTGCCCCTTGCTTCTGGGAGCCTTCCATGCTGACTTACCTAGCTCAGAGAGCTGTCCTCCCCATCTGCTCTCACCTTGAGCTCAGGGTGTCACACACCTGCTGCGTGGCCTTGCGGACGCGGTCACTCATGGCCTCCATGTTGCCCTGTTCTTCCTCCAGCTCCTCCTCCAGCTGGGCGATTCGGGCCTCCAGGCGGCGCTTCTCATCTTGCAGTGTGTTCCTGAGGAGACAGATATCATGGGGCCCGGTACCCTTGCCCTGGCTTAGAAGTGCCTCTTGCTGGAGGAGTTATGCCTTGTTGTTGCCCTTTTACCTCTAACTGGGGAAACTGAGGCTCACAGAAGGTTAAGACACTAGTCCAAGATTGCTGGTTAGAAAGTGGGGCGCCAGGACTTGTACCTGGGCCTGTGTCAGCAAAGGCAGGACTGGGAACAAGACCAACTCTTCTCTCCTGGGCCCACCACATTACTCATTCAAAATGAACAAAACTGGCCATAGCCCAAATAAGGTCATGGAAAATCCAAGGAAAAACCCATCCGCCACCATGGGTCTGTCCCATTGAAGCTCAGAGTACTTGGTCATCCTCAGCATTAGAAGGGGTCCAGGGCACTCCTATGAGCTGTGTTCCCCATGCTCTGCACCCTATACCTTCCCGACAAGCTGCTGGCCAGTTCCTCAGCCAGTTCCTCCTTCTCCAGGTCAGCCTGCTTGCGCGCCCTCTCAGCTGCTGCGAGATCCTGCAGAAGCAGCAGGTAGGAAAGCTCTCATCTGCTGGGGATGGCCCCAGCCCCACCCAAGAAGCCACCTGCTCCTGTCACCTAACCCTCCACGGGCTCTGTAGCACCTTGAAATACAAATTTCTGCTCAGGGAGCCTCCCACATACATCTGAGGAGAGATGTGGGCCCGCCCATCTGGGATCTTGACTGAGGGGAGGAAATTTGGATATACAGGTCTGTGCCCCAGCAGGCTGTCCCAGCAGGAGGAAGCCTTTACCTCCTGGAGCTGCATGAGGTCAGCCTCCAGACTCTTGGCTTTCTTCTCATTCTCTTTGGCAGTGGCAAAGATCTCGTCTCTGGAGGCACGAGCATCTTCCAGCTCTCTCTGGAAGTCCTTCATCTGAGCCTGAGAGAATCAGTGGAAGAACAAACCAAAATGTCCTTACTCGACTTGGTTCTAATGGCAGACTTACCTCTGCATGCCTGGCCCTCAGCACTTCTGTTAACCAGAGAGGTGCCTGGTGTGTGGCTCTGCCCTGTCTCTGTGGTTGGGGTCACCATGCTGCAAGGGCATAGCAGACCTAAGAAGTTGAGCTCCTAGTGTGATCTGAACGTAGTGGCCACATTCCTGACTGCAGTATCCCACTCAGGAAATAGTCACCCAAAGTTACGTGGTGGTGGAAAGTCACATGACAACTGGCACCCACAACAGAGGCAGGCCTGCTTCTTTGAGCCTTGTACACTGGCTTACCTGACCTTGGGGAGTGATCCTCTCCCCTCCACCAGAGCCCTGAACTCAGGGTGTCACCTACCTGCAGTTTTCGAAGTTGCTTGATGGCTTCCTCCCTCCCCTTGATAGCTGAGTCAGCCTGAAGTTCCAGGTCTTTCAGGTCCCCTTCCAGCTTCTTCTTGGCTGCTGTTGCCAGGGCACGCTGCTTTCGCTCATCCTCCAGTTCCGTCTCATACTCATGAAGCTGAGTGAGGAAGAGATGTGTGCTGCCTGGTACCCTTTGGAGGCTGTGACCCTGCTCCCAGGCATTCACGGTCCTTCCCAACCCAACTGTCAGTGTGTGGATTTGTCCTCCAGGTGGCCATGAGCATACAGCCTTCATGGAGCCCATACGCAGTGGTGGAGAAAGGAGTGGGCCTCCCACCTCCTCTCTCCTGCCTTCCCCAAGTGTTTACCTGCCTCTGCAGCTGCCGCCTCTTTTCCTCATTCTGCTCGTCCCTGGCTTGGAGATCCCGCTCAAACTGGCCCTTGAGTGCCTGCATGTTGACCTCCAGCCGCAGTTTGGCATCTTCGGTGGCCTGCAGCTCATCCTCCAGCTCTTCCAGCTGCGTTTTCATCTCCTCCATCTGGGTCTCTAGGGCCCGCTTGGACTTCTCCAGCTCATGCACCTGGCAGGCAGAGCAGGCAGGGTTTTTACTGAAGTGAGGCCAAAGCCAGAGGAGTAGCTGCCAGGACAGAGAAATGGTCTTGGGTGTCCAACACGATGGACAACCAGGGACTGAGATGGCCCTTGAGAGCTCAGATGCAGCCCCTCCCACACCTGCCCCAGCCACAAGACCTGTCTTCCTGTTGGGGGACAGCTCAGTAGGAATGCGACTGAGCCTGCCTCTCAGGCTGATCCCCTGTACAGAGCTGGCTGCTGAGCAGAAAGCAGCAGGGCACTTACGTTCTTGCCCACATCGTCCTTTGAGCTGACCAGGTCTTCCATCTCAGCTTTGAGCATTTTGTTCGTCCTCTCGAGCTCCTCTTTGGCTTCTAGGGCCTCTTCGAGAGCCCTGGCCAGGGACAAGGCCTTTGTTTCCTTCTCCCTGGCTTCTGCCTCAGCTCGGTCCCTCTCATCTGCGTATTTGGAAGAGATGTTCTTCTCCTCGGCTAACAACTGCAACATAACACAAGGTTTTTAGCAGTGCCCCTGCAGATCCAAGGCTTGGTCTCAACTGCAGACATGTGAAAAAAGCAAGTACCCTGGTGCAGCTGGAAGTATTTTAGATGCTTCCAGAAGTCATTGAGGTCATCTCCCTTTCTCACTTTTGGATCATGCTGGTGATGTTAGAACCCAGAACATCCTGTTGCTAAGGGTGAAATGACACTGAGTCCTACTCAAAGTCAGCAGTTTTTGGTTGACTCATGGACACAAGTAGCTCTCCTAAAATGCCTCTGAGCCACATGAGGTAGGCAAATGGGGAGTATGGATGAGTATGGATGGACCTGCAAACACCTCTCCCTCTGCTTGAAAAGCACCTCAGAGAACATTTCATCCTGAAGTTCATCTTGTTTTTAGAGAGCTAGACAGTGTGTTCTAGATTGCAGGACCCAAAACCAGACTTGCAGGCTTTGGCAAAGACCTGTCAGTAACAGGAACCTCCGAAGCAGCACAGTCAATACAAAAACTCAATGTGATATGTGTAGGAATAAAAGCAAGGTCAGACCTCCATGGATAGTGAAGCAATGGGGAGAAGCTGACAGACAAAGGAGGGAGACTATCAGGAAAGGGGAGAATTAAGGTGTTTGGAGCCCAGCAAGCAGAGGCCAGGGGGAGCTGAAAGCCACCTGCGCCTGTGCCTGTGCTTGTGCCTTTGACCTCGTGATACAATCTAAACTTGATTTTGAGAAAAACTCAGAATCACTTATGAACTAAATGGGTGATAGCCATTACAAGTTAATATTTACGTCTTGGAGTATGCAGTTGTATACATTTATCAGAACTCTGAGCATACCTTTAAGATTTGTGCATTTTATCATATGTAAATTTTACCACAAAAGAAGCATTTTTTTAATGAATTCAAATTAACAAGCAGTGCTGGGGTGTTAAGGGAAAAATATATAACCCAAAGAGAAAAATGTACTCAAAAGACAAAAAAACCATGACTGACAGAATTCATATGTGATAAATGAATAACAGTAAAATGTTAGTGGCTGAACCTAGGTGGTGGCACTACAGGTGTCCACTGTATGCTTTCCATGTTGTTGTGAAATTTCACCCAATGAGATGTTAGGGGAAAGTTGTAGGTAGGAAAGACCATAAACTTTGAATTATTTGAGACACTCAATAGGTGTTCCATGAATACTCATCGAGTGAATAAAATAAGTGAGCCTCACTCTTTATCAGGGCTGGAAACTAAGATATCACTATGTTTGCAAATGTCCCTCATGGTACTTGTACCTAGACTAGTTATTGTCATCAAGGCTTCTACCAATGTCCTCACTCTGGTCTAGCAGCTCTCATGTGATCTGATCTTGACAGCCTTTACGGCTTCCAGCAACATGGGCATGGGATGCAGATGCCCAGCTGCCACCCCTGGGGCCATACAGTATTGAGGCCCCATTGTCTGAGGACCGAGCAGAGCACACTCCCATCCCTACCTGATCAAACTTCTTCTGCTTCTTCTCCAGGTTGGACACCAGTTGCCGCTGATTATCCAAATCAACAACCAGGTCATCCAGCTCTTGCTGAAGTCTGTTCTTGGTCTTTTCCAGTTTGTCATAAGCAGCTGCCTTCTCCTCATATTGCTGGGTAAGGCCCTCAATTTCCTTCTGGAATCTCTTCTTCCCTTCCTCCATGGCTTCTACAGTGCTCGTCAAGTCCTGTAGTTTCTTTTTCGAGTCGGAGAGCTGAAAGCAGTGGCCAGGATCGGGTAAGAAGAGGGCTGTAAGCAAATCCTAGCCTTTGCCCACCAGACCCTTCTTCTCATTGAAGAAATCAGACAGCAGAGGTGCTGGTGAGCCAAGCAATATGCACCACTGCTCAACCACAAACAAAACTCTAGCCCCAGAAGAGGAAGATGCATGACCTAAGCAGACGCATGCAGGTACCTGGATATTGAGGGTGGAGATGTGGCGCTCCAGGTTCTGCTTAGCCTCCATCTCCTCATCCAGTTGGTCCTGCAGGCTGTTCCTCTCATCCTCCAGCTGGCGCAGCTTGGTGGACACATTTAGCTTTTGCCGCGTTTCTTCTTGAAGCAGCTCCTACGAAGGGTAGACACGGAGGAAGGTCGCACCCAGAAGAAGGTCCCACCCCAGATCCATCTAGCTGATACGGTACCACACTCACCTGAGTGTCCTGGAGCTGGGACCCAAGGGACGCCACATCCTTGCCCAGTTTGATGGCCTTGCCCTCCGCCTCGTTGAGCATGATTGTGACGCTCTCCACTTCGTTCTGAGGGTGCCAAGACACCAGTTAGTCAAAACTTCTAGAACAAGATCCTCAGTAAGCAAGAGGAGCCCTTTTTACTCAAAACACATCATGTGTCTCATTGGATAGGACTTATGAGACCCAGAGATTGAGAAAATGTCCATGTGGTATCAGGAACTCTGTGGCTCTCAGAGGAACCCATCAGACCAGCTGGGTTTCCTGGCCCAAGAACTGTATTGACTGGACCCTGATCCCACTAACTGGATTCTGGCTCCCTAGCAAAGTTGGCAAAGATGAGACAAGTCTGAAAGTTCACACACTGAGGGACCCTCTGCTTCTACTCCCGTCCCTGGTGTTTCCAACCAGGTTCTCTGAGGATATCAGCCTGCTACCCTTCTCTTCCGTTTCCATGGAGGATGTAAATGACCTTCAGCAGACCTTGTCTGCTCTTCAGGACATGGCTTATCGAAGGGGAGCAAAATCCCTACACTCCACTGTATGTGGGGGAAAAAAATCATAATCTTCCCCTACACCAAGCTATAGGCACATTAAATGTTGATCAAACTTCTGGCCATTTCCCATGAATGAAAATTTAGACCAAATGTGTCTTCAAAGCTGAAGACCAAAGATGAACACATTATGTCATTCGTCAGTTTAAAACCCTTAGATGTTTGCTTGGCAGAGCAAAACCAAGCAAACAGCTAATGGGGCCTTGAAGGCCTTGCAGTATCTGGCCACAGTTCACCTCTCTAGTCTCAGCCTGTACATGTTTCTCCTTCCAACTCAGCACTCCAGCTCTCTTGGCTTACTTGATTCCAGATTGTCTCACTTACACTAGACATTTGCACTGTCCCCTCTGCCTGGCCAACTTAAGTTGGCCCCCCAAGATTAGTCCTCCCAAGTAAAGCCTTTTCTGAACCCTCTCCTGAGATGGGGCTCCTTGTAGCTGTAGCTATAGTACAGACTGCCTCCCCTTCCTGTGTAATTTTACATCCACGAGTGGTTAATGTCTCCCCAACCCTAGAGTTCTCCTGGGATAATGTCTGTCTCTGCTGTTGCATCTCAGAATTAAGCACAGTGCCTGCATATGGCATGTGCTCATTAAATATTTTCAGTGGATGATGGTTTTGAAAAGATTAAGCTGAGCAAGGAAGCATGTAACTGGAAGCAGCTCCCTGTGTGGTGGCCTGCAGGACCTCACTTGGTGTTGAGGGTCCTCCTCCAGGAGAGCAGGAAGTCCCGGGAGGGTGTTGTGCTGCTCCTCACCTGTAGCTTGTGGACTTTGTCGTTGAGCTCGACCCGGACCCGCTCCCCATCACTGCACTTGGACTGCAGATCCTGCAGCTGCACCTCCAGCTTCTTCTTCTTGTGCTCCACCTCCTGCTTCGCCTGGCCCAGGACCCGCAGCTCTCCAGCCAGTTCTGCGTTCTCCTTCTCCAGCGTCTGCTTGCTTTTGTCCAGGTTCGCCTTGGCCTGGCCGAGCAAGCAAGGGAAGCTGTGGGAGTGTGTTTGCAGCAGGGCTGGGGCCACCGGAGCACCCTCCTCCTTCCCTTGCCCTCTTCAGGTAGGTCCCCAGGACAATGCTCCTTTCCACAGGGGAGGGACATGGCAACGAGACTTTTGGGATTCTGTTTCCCCAAGGCTGAGGTTGCAAACTGGCATCCCACCAGCTGTGTCCCACCTGCTTTGTCGCTCATCAGAGCCATTCAGTTTTTAAAAAACTACTTGCCAGTATTTTAATAAATTTTACATAAAAGTCAGGACTCACAGCTTCTCTTTTGAAAAACCTAATGTTCTATGTCATAACTAGTGGTGGTTACACAGATAGACATGTTTGTCAAAATTCATTGAGCTGCAGACTTAAAATTGATGAATTTAATGACACACACCTCAACCATTCTGACTTTCAAAAAGCAAACTAAATATCTAGAAACAGGAATCTTGGCTTCCTCCAAGGCAGAACTCAGCATGGCTGGCCCAACACATGGGATGGCAGTGCTGTGTTTGACTCCAGTCCCCACCACTCCCTACTGTCTTTCACATTTGTCAGCAGATTTACAGTTTCTGTGATGCCTCTAACCAGCTCGTATAGGCACGTGAGTTGCTCTAAGGAAAAAAGTGGGGGCTTCTCATAGACCACAGGAAGGGAAAGAAAGCAAGTGAGAAGTGTGCGGGTCCTGAGCTCAGAAGAAAACCACACAGTGCTGACAGCTCACCACAGGTCTGGGCAGCATGCAGGCAGCCACAGAGGAGATTTACTCTGCCTGGCACTAAGTAGGAGCTGCTGGGACAAAGTGACTCTTAGGATTAATAGTACAGATTGATAGGCAAGGGCCTTGGGGGATGTATCCCCAAAACCTTTGCCTGGCCTGAGACCCCAAACTGTGGCAAACTGCATATGTATAAGTGGGGCCCATGTAGGACTGTTGTTAAAAGATTCTCCAACAAGTTTAGAGGCCCAGGGTTCCCAGCCAGACCCAGGCTTGTCAGAGCCCAATTGCAGTCCTCTGTTCCCTGAGCCTCTGCAGGGCAGAGGTTCTCAGCCTCTATGTGCTCTTTGCCTGTCACAAAATGTCTGTGGTGTCCTGGACAGGGGAGCTCTTCCAAAGAGGCCTGGCTACAAATGCAGGATGACTTCTTGTCCTGCTTGTATGTAATGACATTCAGCTGGGGACCATCAGCTGTCCTGTACTGAGCCCCAGTCTTCCCACAGGAAAGAGAAGGAACAGGTGCGCTTCCAGAGTGCTCTGGAGGCTAACCGTTTCAGTAGCCCAGCTGGGTTCAAATCATATAAAAGTTAAATAAGCAAAAATGCCACTTTGTAACAGAAAAAAAGGAAGCCATTTGAAACAGAGAAGTATGCCATAAATCTAACAAAATGTTTTTGTCCAAAGTATGTACAGAATCAACAGAAGGCATAAGGCTAGTATCCAGAGCCCACATGATAAGTAATAAAAGGACCTGCGGACTCTGAACAAGTGGCCATTTGTTCACTTGGAGGTGAGGCCGAGCTCAGTTTTGGATAGCACTTTTCAAAGGGTGGGCCCAAGACCCTTCTCAGCAGGATGAGTTCTAGAAACAGGGACCACAGGTGAGTGTAAATGTGTTAAGTGTTTGTAAGGCACTCAGGACAGGACCTGGCATGCTATAAGCCTGACTACACAAAGGATTCTCATTTTAATGCAAAGGTTGAGATTCCAACAGAATAGAGGTAAGCCAGCATCCAAAAAGGGGCTCAGGGAGCCACCTCCTGGAAGAATGTTCACTGGGAACCATTGCAAATACCCAACAACTCTTAGGTAATTCTACACCTGTTTAACCCAGCGGAGCCACAATCCCATACTGAAGGGGCGGTGGTGACAGAGATGGGATTCAGGCTTTCTGGAAACAACCAGGGAGGAGGTCACATGCTGAAAACCTACCCTTGGAGATGAAGTACAAAGAAATCCTCTAACAGGAGATAAAAATAACCTAAATAAGGTAATTTTACACAGGGCACTGCTGCTATTTAACAGCCCAACCCCATGTACCCCAAATGGCCCAATAGCAAGGAAATGATTAGGTTTGGCCACTCAGCTACGCCAGAGAGAACTGTTTTGCCACCGAAATCAAACAGCAATTTTCTGCCAATCCTCAGAGAATGTTCCCAATTTTAAGTCAAATCTCCCAGTTTTGTTAGAACTTTGTTTACTCTAAGGGACAGTGCATTGTAGACCCTGCCCTGCTGCAGCCAGGAGGAGGGAGGTCTGGAGCCAGCATGCGTGGGTCACTGCTCTGTCATTTACTAGCTGTGTAACCTTGGGAAGCCTCTCGACCTCTCGGCACCATGGACCTCAGATTCATGTGTAAAGTGGGTTAATAGTGCCGCTATGGTCTGGACCTTCCGTGCGCCCGCAGGCTGATGTATATGTGTACGGCTTGGCCCCCAGGATGGTTCATTTGGGAGGTCAGGGAACCTTAAGAGGTGGGGTTTTGTGGGAGGTCTTTAGGTCCTAGGGGTGTGTTCTTGACAGGATGCTGGCCACCTCTCGGCTCCCTTTCACTTTCTGGCTGCAAGGTGAGTAGTTTTATTCCACAACAGGCTCCCACCAGGATGTACTACCTTGCCAGAGGCCTAAATTCAACAGACCAACTGATTACCAAAACTGGTAGCTATAACAATCTCAATCTGTCTGTCTCTCTCTCTGTCTCCCTCTCTGGCAGTACTGGGGATTGAAACCAGGCCTTTGGGAGCTACCTCTCCAACCCTTTTCTTATTTTTTGAGATAGGGCCTAGCTAAGTTGCTAAATTGCCCATCTGGGCTCGAATTTGTGATCCTCTTAACACAGTCTCCCACAGTGTTGGGCTTACAGGCCTGTACCACCACACCTGGCTTACCTTTCCTCTTTATAAACTGTCTCAGTTCTTACAGTGATAGAAAGCAGACTGCCAAGTGCCTGTCAGAGACGAGGTATGCAGACTGGCACAAGGTATGGGAAGTTCTTACTAAACACAAGCCACTGTTCTTATTGTCAGAACCTTGTACACCTTGTGATCTGTCTTCACACAGCCCCTGACATACATAGACTGAGTGTCCCTTATCCAAAATGCTTAGGACCAGGAAAGGCTTAGATTTCACATGTTCTTCAGAGTGTGGAATGTTTGCAGGTAGTTTGTAAGGAGGTATTTTAGGCCAGGAACTGGAGTCTAAACATAAAAATCACACTCTAGGTATATCTTATATACATGGACTGAAGGTAATTTTACACAATATCTTCAGTACACTGTGTGTGCATGCGTGAGTGCATGCATACTGGGGAGCAAACTCAGTTCTATACACATTATAGCTGCCCCCCCCCATTTTGAGACAAGGTCTCACTAAATTGCTCAGACCCGGCTTGAACTGTGATCCTCTTGATTCAGCCTCCCAGAGTGCTGGGATTATGGCTGTGTGCCACCACACCTGGCTACCACACTTGCATTTTGACTGACTCATGACAAGGAATGAGGTATGCAATTTCCCACTTGTGGTGTCCGACTGTATTCAGAAAGTTTTGGATTTTGGCACATTTCAGATTTTTGGGTGAGGAGGTTCAACCTGCAATGGTTTGAAGGCATTGACATGTTGGTCATATATGTGTTGTCACGAGCCTCGCAACGCACCCTCTTGAACTGCTCCAGCTGCTCCGTGAGCTCCTCCACTGCCTGCGTGTGTTTCTGCCTCATCTCCTGGACCTGGGCCTCGTGGGATCGTGTCTCCTCCTCCAGCGCCTTCTTCAGCACGGTCACTTCCTGCTCCCTCTTGGCCCTTGGCAAGAACAACAAGTGGATGGCACTCGGGGCAGCAGAGGGTCTCCTCTGATAAGTCTAACGGACAAGAGCTCTCCCACAATCCACAGGTAAAATCCTCCCATCACCCTTCCTTTGATATGTGACCTAGAGTAATTCTCCTAACCTCTCTAGACCTGAAATTTCCTCACCTGCAAAACGTGGAGTATATTACCTGGCCAGAATTTCTATCAGGACTAGCAAAGAAATGTGCACAGTCTTACTGAAAGAATATCTGAGAAATGCAAAATGTTTCTCAAATATAAATGCTGGCTCTCACTAGAAGGCAGGCCCTGAGCTACACTGATTATGTATATCATCCAATCCTCACAGCAACCCGAGCGGCAGGGATACCCTTTTTCCTGCTTTACAGATAAGAAAACTAAGGCTAAGTGGGGGTAAGCAGTGAGCTCACAGTGTCACAGCCACTGTGTGACAGAGCTATAATTGGAAGCCTGGCTGACCCGGAGCCCAAGGCTTTAATCACCACACTGCTTTTCTGTATCATTGGCTCAGCAGGAAGGGAGCAGAATATAACGCTGTCCTCCAGCTGGGCATGAGCCATGTACACAAGGGGTACACAAAGCTAGTACAGTCCCTGGTGCAGGAGGGACTCCAAATACATCCATATGTGTGCTGAGTGAATAAATGATCTCGTTTCCCTCAAGTAGCATTCATTATCTGGCAGATGGTCTGTTCCTGTTTTATGTTGTTGTTTGTTTACTTACAGTGAATCTTAAATTGAAGACTAATCTGATGGGTATTGTTTTAAAGTTTAACACAAAACATACTCTTGGAGATTTATACATACAAAAACCAGGAAGACATCACTTAAAAATGTTAACTGATAGGACTAAAGGTGACTTTTTGTGTGTATCCATTTCTATAGTGGGGTTTTTTTTTTGTTTGTTTGTTTGTTTTTTTGGCACTGGGGATCGAACTCACAACCTGGCGTTTGCCAAGCAGGCACTTACGCAGCTGAGCTAAATCACTGGCCCTCCATTTCTACAGTTTTAAGATTATTTCCTAATTGACTGTGCATTACTATTGTGATACAAAGTAAGATTAAACATAATAATGCTTCTTTTGATTCATTAAAACAAAATGCTGCCAGGAAGGTGAACTGTAAGACAGTGAGGTGAACCTTTTAGAGACTGAGTGCCCAAAGCACAACCCAAAACCCACTTATCTATCGCAATGTGCCAACACTAGAATTCAACCTTAATACTAAAGTTTTAGTTAGAAAAAATGACTGTTACCCAGCACTGGGCTGCTGAGGTGACCAGGATCACGGGCCAACAGAGAAGGCTCTGCATGCCTGCTGCGGCACACGTGCCACGGGTTCCCCACACTGGTGTCAAGCCGGAGGAGCCCCGCGATTCGGGGTTCGGGATTCTCTGTGGTTGTGGTCTCTGCTCCGCTGCGCCTCACCTGAGCTCCTGCTGGGTGGCCGTGGTGTCCAGCGTGTCCTCCAGCTCCGTCTTCAGTGCCTCCAGCTCCTCGCCAAGGTCTCGCTTCTGCTTCTCGGCCTTGTTCCTCGCAGCCCGCTCGGAGTCCAGGTCCTCCTGGAGGTCTGAGATGTGGCCCTCCAGCTCCCGGATCTTCTTCAGGGCATTATTCTTCTGGGCAATTTCGTCATCCAGCCTGCCAGGGAAGGCCCCCAGGATGAAGACCCCAGGACCCCCAGCCCTGCGATCTCACAGTGTGGCTGAAACAGTCACTGATGGTTCCAGGCTCTCAGAACACATTGCACCCCTACCCCTGAGTCACAAGGGACTGCAACTTGCCATGTTGGACAGCCTGGAGATTTGCTTGGGATGACAAAAATGATATAAAAAGCAGGTTACAGCCAGTTGTGGTGGTGCCTGTCATTCCAGTACTCCATGAGGCTGAGGCAAGGGGATTACGAATTCAAGCACAGCCTAGGTAATTTAGAGTTTAGTGAAACACTGTCTCCAAAAAAAAAAAAAAAGTCTGGGATATAGCTCAGTACAAAGGTTCTAGCTCAATCTGTGGTACCATGAAAAAATAATTGGGTCATGTGGGTGTGTGTGCACACGTACACATATGGGTAGACTGCCAAGCACTGGCCCCAGACTCGTGAGGGTGCTTGGTCCACGGTCCACAGCAGGTGCTTACCAGCTGCTTTCTGAATGGTGCACAGTTGTTTTTCCTCCCTTCCCTGGCTCTCACAGAGGCTGAACACTGCTCTAAGCAAAGTACTTGCCCAGGTGCTGCTTGGGACATTAAAACCTCGCCTGGGGGAGGCAGTGAGGAAGGCTCGAGTAGCGTGTGAGAAGCCAGGTTGAGCCCTGAAGGAGTTTCGTGGCTGGAGTGGGGCTTGTGTCTGTTTCTGACCATGGACCAAGAGAGGAGCCTTAGACATGTGGCATTTGAGATGCCATCAGAAAAAGATTCAGCAGGGGATTGAACATTGGAACTGGGGAGTAAACAAGAAAGACCTGGTTGCCCACGTGGCTACATCCCCACTCTAGGATGAGGAGATGCCAAGAGGATGCAAGTGGAGGGAAGAGAAAAAAGACAAAGGCAACCGAGTCCGTGTCAAGGGCCTGGGGCCACTTTGAGCAAGGCAGCTACTGTGACTGGCAACAGGTCCCAACTCGTGAATGCAGTGACATAGCTTGTACCCTTTGCTACCTTGCTAGAGCTGCCTGAAGCTCCTCCTCCTTCTTGGCCAGCTGCATCTTGAGCTCTGCGATCTGCGCCTGAAGGTCTGCTATCTGTTCGTGGAGGTCGCTGGCGTCACCCTCCAGCTTCCGCTTCAGCTTTTCCAGCTCCTGCCGGCTCTTCTCCTCCTTCTTCAATCGCACTGCAACAAAGCCAGGGTCTCAGAAGGTGGGCACCAGCAGAGGCACACCCAGCAAGAAGCTCGCTGCTTGGGCTTTTCCATGGAGAAAACTCACACACACACACACACACACACACACATTTGCCCACACATGGTCCTCAGGTCTTGGACTAGTATCCCAACAGAAAGTCAGGCCCCTTGATCAGCACCTTTATCAGTGTGTGCAGATTCGGGAGTGTGGATAGAGCCTGCTACTCGGAATTATCTGCTATTCTAGGATTTACTTTCTGATTTTCCTGGTTTAAAAGATATCCACTAAAAACCTCTTTTTACCTTCCAGTTCTGAAATCATGGACTCATGCTTATTTTTCAGCTTGGTCAGATTCTTGGCTTTTTCTTCCTCTTCTGCTAAATTTGTCGTCAAATCACTAATCCTCTCTTCAAGGAGTTTTCGCTCCTTTGGGGGGAAAAGAGAAATAGGCATTGGCTTTTTATTTTTCTTTACGATCTATGTTTTACTTAAAGTTACTTCTGTATAAACTTAAAAACAAACCCCACATTGTAACCATTGCAATCTAGGGTTTTGCAGAGCGAAGAGAAGATCCTTAATTTCCACTCCTCATCTCCTCACAGTCTGTCCCTCACCTCTGCCTTCAGGTGAAGGGACTCTCTTTCCACTTCTGCCATAGGCCAGCTGGCAAGCCATACATTCCCCTCTCTCCAACTCTTCCTCCCTCTGCAGGTTTCTACATAAATGTCCCTTCCTCCAGGAAGCTTTCCTGAGACCCTGCCTCCACCAACTAGTGTTCTGCTCTTATAGAGGGTGACCATCTCCTTCAGGGCCCTCAGCACAGTGGTGATCAATGGTTTCTGCAGTCTTACTAGAGTGTAAGCCCTGAGGACAAGGCCACCGGACACAGGACCTGGGTCATGGGAGGGCCCAGGCTAACAACAGCTCCGAGAACTAGCAGGACCCCCTCAGTGGGTGTTTAGTGATTGCTGCTGAGGGTGACCAACACATCCCAGTTTTCCCAGGGCTCTTCTGCTGTTAGGTCAGCAAGTGCTATCTCCCCAAAGCCCTTCAGGCCCTGGAGAAGAGCCTGTCCTGTCTGATGTACACTCTGCCTGCCACTCACTTTTGATAGTTTGTTGTTCTGATCATCCATGACCAGGATGTCATCCTCCAGTTTCTTGATCTTGGCCTCGGCCGTGACCTTCTCCAGCTGGAGCTTCTGCCTGGCGGCTTCCTCCTCCTCCAGCTGTTCCTCCAGGTCCTTGTCAGGAGGGAAAGGGATCAGAGCCTCACTCAGAGCAAAGTCACTATTAAGGAGCTCTGAAACTGACACATGAAGGCCAGGCCTGGTAACACTGCAGTCTCCTTCTAAAAGGAGGAAGTAAAAGACTTGAGTGAGCTACTTTGCTTTGTGGAGCTTCAGTCTCCTTGTCTGTAAAATGGGAATAGTGAGTGTGAGAGTGGTTCTGAAGTATGTCCACAAACACTGATATTCATTCCACCTAGAAGTAGAGCTCAGTTTCCCTCCCCCTGGACATGGGCTGGGCTCAGTGACTGCTTCTAGCAGACAGAATCAGGAGGCAGTTATGGAGCATGACTTGAGACTGCTCTATGAAAGGTGTTGCAGCTCTCTCCATCTTGGATCACTCTGTGGGTAGCCCATCACCATGGTGAGGACACCTGACCAGCCCCTGTGCCAAGGAACTTGAAGCCTCAGGGCAACAAACCTGAGGAAGAGCAACATGGAAATGGATCCTCTGGCCCAGACAAGCCTTCAAATGACTGTGATGCTGGCTTGCACTGTGACTGTAACCTCTTTAGAGACTCTGTGCCAGAATCACTAAGCTAAGTGCCTCCACTGCTAAGTTTGCACTGTTTTGTTATGTAGCAAAGTGACTCTTACAACTGCCCTTCACACAAGGTTGGTATCAGGAGATAGGGTAGCAGCACACAGAAAACAGGGTAGCAGCATCTGTATTCAAATCCCCACTCTAGCTCTGTGGCCTGGTGCAGAAGCACATCCCCACCACCCAGGCCTTGGCTTCTTCATCTGTCCAGCAAGTACATGTATTGTCCAGTGCCTGCATGTGCCTCCTTCCACAGGCAGCCACAGCAATGCTTTACCAGCATCTGCTGGGCCATCTTCTTCCTCTCAGCCTGCAGCTGCTGGCCCCGGTCTTCCTCCTCCTCCAGGCGGGCCTCCATCTCATGCAGGATCTCCTCCAGCTCCTGCTTCTTGGCTGCCAGACGGACCCGCATCTCTTCGGCCTCCGCGTACAGCTCGGTCTCTGCCTGCAGCTGTTCCTGAAGCAGGTTCTTCTCCTCGGTCAGCTGCTCAAGGTGGAGATGGCCAGTGAGAGGAGCCCCTGTCTTGCCCTTGGGACCGCACACAGCCCTCCCCGCAGCCCAGCCACATGCCCGCCTGGCCGCACCTGCGTGTGCTTCTGTTCCAGCTCCTTGAGCTCACTCTCTGCCTTCATCTGCCGCTCCTTGGTCTTCTGCAGCTCATCCTCCTTAGCCTGCATCTCTTCTTCTTGCCGTGTCACCTGCAGCAGTGGCTTCACCTGGGTACACAGACACCCATGTTTTCTTTTTGTGGCCAAAGAAATATATTCTATCATAGATCTGATCAGCAATTCTAAGCTCGGGACAGTTTTTCCCTCAACACCCATCCAGGGCATTCTGGGCAGTGTCTAGAGACATTGCAGGTTGTAACACTAGAGTGAATGATACAAATGTCATTAGTATCTAGTGGGTACTGGTCTGGGACACTGCTGAATGTCCCAGAATGTATGACACAGGCACCCACAACAGATGATCATTGAGTCCAAAATATTAATAGTGGCAAGGTTGACCTGGTTCAGTGTTGTTTTTGCAGCACTGGGCCTTAAGCATGCTGGGCAGATACTGTATTGTTAAGCCACATCCACAACCTGAGGAACGCTTAATAGAGCAACAGAAAAAAGTACTAGAAGAAAGGAGAAAGTCTCTCTCCTTTCCCCATCCTAGATCTATCCCAAGAGAGAACTACTCCTGGGAATGCTTATGATTCCCTCCAAGAAGAAAAGTGAGAGAGTCCTGCTCCTGTCTCCTATCTAAAGCATCACTCAAAGCCCCTTGTAAGCTTCCTTCAAAATAGACTTGAAGCCAAGCCTGGTGGCACATACCTGTATTCCCAGCACTCTGAGAGGCTGAGGCAGGAGTTTGAGTCCAGCCTTAGCAATTTAGGACTAAAAAAGGGCTGGGAATGTATCTCAGTGGGAAGGCCCTGAGTTTAATCCCAAGTACCAAAAAAAGAAAAAAGGAAAAAAAAAAAAAAACCCTTGAGATTATATTGCCTAGTTTTATGTTCTGCTTTTATTATTTAAAATCACAAGACAATTCTTACCCCATGCTGTTCATTGCATCTGCAATCTTTTTTTAGCTAGCCGTCATTTGTTAATAGTTGAAAAATTTTCCACTGAGGGGTGAACTAATCTGCCAAGGATTGGGCATTGAAATGCTGCCACTGTCAAATAAGGTCACGAGGAACGCCCTTAATCCCAATTTTCCTTATTTGAGATGGTTTTCAGATATATCAGTGGACATGAAGGTTTCTTAAAAACAGCTTCTCCCATGGTTCTTCACCATCTTGTCTCAACCCATTTATCCACCCTGGCCTGGCACAAGGAACCCCTGCTGATGTACACTGTGGCTTTCCTCAGGTGCTTAGCATAACATGCCATTATCTGTTCCTGTGAATTCCTCTTGTCTTGTCCCTCAGTTGTCTGAAATATTCATGAGGCCAGGGGACCAGGATGCCTGATTACAGTGGTGTCTCCAGCACCTGGCATGTACCTGGCACTTAATAAATACCCATGCCATGAAAAAGGTCTGTGCCAACTTGTATGCTCAAAAGCACACCCGGGGAAGCCCTGTTGCTGCATCTGAGCACGTCTTTGTGCAACATCCATATTTAACTAGCAAGGCTGCAGGAACCAGTCATGCCAAAGGCCCTTGGCCTCCCACAATGAGGAGAGAATAAAGTACGGGTAGGGTGGCAATCGGAGGGCTCTCTGGTATACACTGAGCAAAATGCTGTCGGACCTTTTTATGTATTATTATTGCTGTTGTCATGATTGTGGTGCTGGGGATCAAGCCCAGGGCCTCATGCATGCTAGGCAAGCACTCTACCACTCTACATCCCCAGCCCCCAAAGGAACATACTTAAAATAATGAAATTACTGGAATGAGATCAGGGTGGTGGTTGCCAGGGGCCACAGAGGGAAGTGGGTGTGGCTACGAAAGGGCAACATGAAGGATGCCCGAAGTGAAAGTGCCCTGCATCTGCACGAAGGTCAAGGCTAAAACCCACGTGGCCAAGGTGGGAGGACCTGCTCAGGCTTGGAAAGGTTGAGTACCAGCTCTCGGCTCCAGACCCACTTTCTGCCACCTCTTGGCCCTCATCGGGGGGTTTAAGTGGGGCCAAGGGATGGGAGGAGCTCTCGTGGCTTCTGAGAGGGGGCTGGGGCCAAGTACTCACTTTAGTGAACAGCCGCCACCACTGCCAGTTGCGCAGCTTGAGGTAGGCGGCGCAGTTCCTCTGAATCACCTTCATGGCTGTCAGCTGCTGCTGCCTCTTGGCAAAGGCCCTGGGGAGACAGGGATTGGGAAGCCATGTGCCTCCCCTATGGTCCACAGCATCCTGCCATGTAGTAGCCCAAACTTGCCTAGGATGTACCCTCTTCTCTCCAGCTCCAGTTCTCTCTTCTCTCAGGTCCTTCTGAGCATCACACATGCATACTGTCTGAGCACAGACCTCTTAAATAATCTGAGGCCAAGAGCCTTTCTCAGTGGGCAAGTGAGACCTCAGAATGCCCTGGACTCAGCTGGAATCCCAACAAAATCTAGAGTAAAAATCCATATTCCATCATTCCCACAGAGATCCCTTGTGCCCCTGGTTGCACCAGTTGAGTTTCTGACAAACCTGTTCTTTCCTTGATTGCATTTTATAAATCTTAAACCTTGACACCAAATCAGTACTTTTAAGGGCCTCTGGATGTGAGAAAACACAGAACATCGAACACAATCCTATTTTCTCTGCTTGGCTGCCATCTTTGATAGGGGTACGCTTTTAGAATTGCCCCAGTTATTTTGGAAGTGGGAAGGATGGCAACAGAGAATTTAGTTACGGAACTTAGCAAGTTTGGTCTGTTGTTGGAGAGTCTTCCAAATCTGCTCTTGACCACCTTGGGTCCACTTGGCAATGAATAACTTTGACTCAAGTAGGGGTCTATAGAGGAAGTGTGGCTTACACCCAGTTAACAGACAGAGAATTACTGAACCTGTCCATACAGTCCACTATAGGGTATGATTTTCATCAGAGAACCTGGGTCCTCAAGATTCACAGAACAGAGCCATCATGGGCCATCATGACTTCCAAGGCTCACGTCATTTATACATGGGAGATATAGATACTGTATAGCCAATGCTCTTTCCTCAGATCCTTTGCCCTATACTACCTTTTCTGAAATCAGAATCAGCCACTGGTCTCAGCTCTTTCCAAGAATCATCATTTCACCGACTCCTCCTGAACAATTCCATGAGTTAGAAATGAATTTGCTTATTTTCCAGTGGAGAAACCTGAGGCTCAGAGAGATACTGTAACTGTGCCATCAGCAAATAAGTAGGGGAAGCCAGGATAAAACCCAGGTCTAAAACTCCAGAGCCTGTGGGTTTACTTCATCACTGCACTCATAGCTTGTGCATATGTATAAAGTAGAGGCAATTCTCAACCAAAAGCTGTAATTCAATCGAGAATAAATTAGAACATGGGGCCAGAAATCCCTCTTGATATTTATGGGAGTGGTCTATTCTGAGGAGGTTTTAGGACAGGGGAAACTCTCTTTACTTTCTGGCCAGGTATCCACGGCACATGGCCTGGAAAGCCATGATGACATCAGTGATCTTCAAGTCTCGCTCCTCTTCCAGGTGAGCCAGGACCCCAGTGCGGAAGAAGATTTTGCTTTGTCCAATCCTATACAGGTTAGGGTCGAGTTCCAGGGCTTTGATCTGCAGAGGGAAGAGGGAAGAGAAAAGTTTCCATTTTCAACTGAGCCATTAGGCCAGTGGTGACAAATATCTAGGGATGGTCTCAACCCAGAGTAGCAAGTATTAGGGTGACGCAGGGCCAAGAGGTTGGAGCCAGATTTCTGGGGAAGATCTCAGGCTGAGCTCACCATGAGAATGCAGGCCTGCTTTCCATCCATGAAGCCTTTGGGAATAGCATTTGCTGCCAGGATCTCGTAGCTTCAAATATAAGACAGAAGTCACCAAGCACATCCCCATCTGTCTTTCCACCCTCCCGTTACCCACTGCCCCAGTGGGCTCACCGTTGGCGGAACTCTTGGAAGACAATCCTGTTGGGGAAGCCCTGTCGGCAGATGCGGATGCCCTCCAGCACACCATTGCACCGCAGCTGCTCCAGCACCAGGAAGGCATCTAGCTTGCCAGACTACAATGGCAGAAGAGACAATGGCCACTGGCTGGGACCCAGGGAGCAGCAAGCCCCAGACCCACCTTACCAGGCCATGGGTATTCACAGAGGCACCAGGCATGGTTTGGCTGAGAGGTACGGCACTGTCATGTGCCTTTGCCAGGTTTCCGTCCCTTTTCACTGGCACTGCTTGTCCCATGACCTCACTTGTACTTGGTGGCACTAGCATCCCCTGGCTGGAAACTTCAGCTTCTTCCTCAGAGCATCTCCGTCACTTCCTGTCCACCACCTATTCTGTACGTCCTACTTCCCGAGTCTCTCCTAATCTGCCCATATTTCCACTGCCACTGTCTACCATTGTGAATGCCCACATTTCCACTGCCACCTGGTCAACCACTGTAGCTTTACACCTGGTCTTCTCCCTGCTGTCCTACCTTCTCCTCCAGCCCCTCATCCCATCTAAAATATAAACCTGACCGCAACTTACACTGCTTAAACTCCCCACAGCTTTCTACAAACAGGAGGCCAAGATCTGGTCAGCACCGAACTCCATGATTGAGCCGTTACCTGCACACACCGTCATGCATCTTCCTAACTCCTACCTCACACCACCACGTGCCACACGAAATGTCCTACCTAGCATTTTCTTGCCCACACCTTTCATTCTCACCTCTACACTGTTATTTCTCCTGGCTCCCTGCTGAGGTTGCCCTTTTCTCACACACACTTTGCCACGTTGATGCCTACTTATTCTTCTAGGTTGTGTTCCCTACGAAGCTTTCTCTGAGCCCTGAGGCTGGGGCAGGAGCTCTGGCTCTTTGGTGTTCTTGTAATTTATCACTGTGACTATCCGCTGGTGCTGGGATCTCCCACTACCTCAGCACCACGGACACTTAGGATAGGTCATTCTGCACAGTGGGAGCACACTCTGCACTGCAAGATGTTTAGTAGCCTCCCTGGTCTCTGCCCCTTCCAGCTGTGACAACTAAAGATGTCTTCAGTTTTTCCAACACTGTATCCCAAGCACCTGGCACAAATAGCAGCTCAGTAAATATTTACTGGAATCACGAAAGAGCAAGTGGGTTAACGCCCTCAACGGCCCATAGCTGGACGTCTATATACTACTTTTCTCCCTTGCTTTCTTTTACCTCCAGGTTCAGACGACTTTCTACCCCTCCCACCCTGGTTGGCCTCAGTGTGGCCTTCCCCACAGTCCACCAATGACATCTCTGGGCAACATCCCAACCACTCGGGGCAGCCCTGGGCCAGGAGCCCGGGAGCAGAGGCCTTACCCTCTTCTCATGGTTGGGGATGATGCAGCGCACAAAGTTGGGTGTTGTGTTGCGCAGCGTGGTCATCAGCTTGCCCAGCTGCTCCTTATATAGCTGCCCCACTGTGCGGAACATTCCTTTCTTGGTTTTGGAGGCACTGGGCATCGAGCTCTCTGTCATCTTGGCCATCTGGTCCAGCCCCACGATGCGGTCCACTGGGAGTATATTAAGTGTGGCGTCAGCTTCCCACCCAGCCAAGGGCCCTCCACCCTGCAACAACTGGAAGACTTGGCCCACAGGCAGCAAGCAAGGATCTGATGGGGAACATTCTCTGCAAGTTTCCAAGTACTCTTGGGAGGCACCACCCCCATCTTCTCCTCTGACAACCAGTGCTTTCACCTCCGGCAGGAGTAGGGAGATGCATGGGAGGGGAGCTTCCAAATACTGTCCATGTGGGAAATCCAAAGAGTGCCTGAGTGACAAAAAGGACAAATATCCCCTGCTCTTGCCATAGAGGATTGGGAGCCAATCCCGTTCTTGCTTACGGTTCACTGAGTAACCCTGGTGGCAATATAGCATCTGCCCTTGGGACAGGGAAAGCACATGAGATATGCAAAGTGCTCACTTCCCTGTCTGCCTTTAATCCACCTTCTGTCCACAAGTATTTAGTGAGGACCTACTGTATACCAAGCTTCTAGGATACATTACAAATCATGTAAAGACCCTCCCCACACAGCTTATGGCCCACGGGAGGAGATAGACACTGATCAGGTAAGCATACAGTATTTCAGGTATGATGGGTGCTTAGAAAAATAAAGAAGGTGCTAGGTATGGTTGGACACATGCCTATAATCCCAAATCCTAAACCTGGAAAGCTGAAGTTAAAGGATGGTAAGTTTGGAACTGAGACTCAAACTCATGACCTTGGACTTGCCAGGCAGGCACTGTGCCACTGAGCTATAGCCCGGGACTAGAAGATGGCAAGTTTGAATCCAGTCTGAAAAACACAGTGATTCAGTGAGATCCTGTCTCAAAATTTTTTAAAATAAAAATTAAAGAAGGATAATGGGGGGAGATGGGGCACTCCAGTAGACAGGGTAATGGGGGAGTTGTCTGTTTAATAAGCTGATATTTGAGCAGAGATCAGAAACAAGTAAATGACCACCCCGGTATCCTGGGCACAAATGTTCTGGGCATAGAGTGTAGCAAACATTCAGAGATAAGATCCTGGCACATTAGTTAGTGCTCAACAAAGTGGGCGCTGATGGTATTTTTATTACTATGGGTTCTTTTTCCTCTAGGATGGAATGAGAGACTGGCACCAGCCCAGCAGGTGCTGCACACGCCACGCCACGCCCTCTGGCCTTGGACTGCACCATTGCTGCACCTCGAATGTAGATTCCATGCAATAGCATTCTTGGTTTGATGGTCAGTCCCACAAATCTGCAGGCTCTGTGAGGAAAGGGCCCAGCTGGGCTCACCAGGAGACCTGGCAGGAGGTTTCCTCAGGTCAGATGCTACACAGATCAGGCACAGGGCCATGGATGGCCTCTGTCACTGCAGAGTTGGGCATGCCCTAAATAACGGAAGCCAGTCCTTAAACCACAGGCCACAGGCATGTGCTCTGGGACTTAGAGTCAGAGCCAAAGCAGCAGACTCCCCAACCCTGATAGTCACCACAACTGCACGTTGTGCAGAACGTGTGCTCTCTGATTCTAAAGGCCGCCAGCAAGAGATCCCGAGACCAACAGAAATGTGTTAGAAATGCAGATTCCCAGGTCTCTTCTGCCCCACTGACTCAGTGTCTGTGGAGAAAGCTGGGTTTAGCAGGGGATTCTGAAGCTGGCTCCAGGGTGAGCCCCACCAGTCTAATACAACCCTCATGAACAGTGTACATGAGGCAGGAACTGTTACAGTCTTCCCAGTTTACTCATGAGGACACTGAAGCTTAACCAAGTCAAGTGACTTATCTAAGACCTCACAGCTAGTACACAGCAGAGACTGAATGAAATGAAGTCTCAAACTTGAGCTGAGACAAAACTGTCCCAATTCACCATGCCTAAAGCACTATTTCTTCTCGTGACTGCCTAGCCCTGACTGCTGGACCTTCTTGCTGGGATCCAGGCAGGGGATGGCAGGATTCAGCTGCCATGTGGAGTAAGAGAGTGATCGTTTCAACATGACATTGCCAGCCAATGCCAACATGGGGGCACTAGGACGAGGTGGATAACCAGGGTGTTCTACCCTCAGAGGGAAGGGGCTCACCATCCTTCCACAGGTCAGCTACGAACTTGTCTGAGGAGGCGTTGAGGAGGGAGGTCACATTGTCATTCAGTGGGTCCATGTTCTTAGTCAGCCAGGCACTTGCATTGTAGTCCACCTGTCAAGAGCCACGCCATCAGTCAGATACCCTCACTTTTGTCAGATAATAAAGGCAGAGATCGAGTCCTCCCCTCTTTTCCCAGGTCTTTTGACCTCAGAGAGAAAAATTGCATTTGTGTCAGCCATGATGGATCTCCACAGACACCAAAAAGAGACTGACAGACCAGCACAGTACTCTCAAGGACTCTGTGCACCACAGGACACCAACAGAAGGAGCACTTCTGGGAGGGCCTCTGTATTCCACATACCCTCCTAGCTACCCTCTCTCTGGCGCCCCCCCACCCCCGAGTCTGGCACAATGCCTGTGAGTTCAGGAAAAGCTAAAGCAGTGTCAAATGGTGGCAAGGCCCTCCCTAGCCTCCCCCTCCCCCAGAAAGGGCCTGACAACAATCTTAGCTTTAAAATTAAGTGTGGGATCTTCTCCACACTCTGATAAGGATTATATTTATAACTTGAAGATTTTGTTATGTGGATGTATAGGAAGAGGATATCTAAAGCTCCTGACTTGAACACTGAAAGTAACCAAACTCTAAATTTGATTACTGTGACTATGAAAGGAAAGCAATGGATATTGCAGACCTAGTGGGTTATTATGGGATATGGGTTGTTACAATGATGAGTCCTGATCTGAGAAGAAACCGGAAAGCCCTTCTAACGTTGGGAAAATGAAAATATTATCTCTATATGATTAAAGGAATATGTACTCCCTTGAACATAAGGTGGGAGTTGGGAGGCTTTTTTGGAAACTAGCCCAGAGGATTGATATTTTCAGTTTGGTGAGCCTTCTAGTCTAGCAGCTTCAGTCTGTAAACAACAAAACTTTATTTACAAAAACAAGCTGTGGGCCATATTTGGTCTTTGGGCTGTAGCTGGCTGGCATTCTCTGTCCCTGGGGATACTGGGAAGTCAACAAAATAATTCTGCAAGGTAGACTAAACCATGTCTTTTCTATGTGGGTGCCACAAGGCGAGTTCCTCTGCACTAAAAACTCAGACAAGATGATGATGTAAACAATGACAAAGATGATAGCAATCATGAGTCCCCCAGATGCAGCAGGCTGACAGTGGCAGGGGGGTTTCTGTTACACCTAAGAGTAGACCTGTTGGTTACCTGGTTCCAGCTGGACCTTCCTGTTTGGTTTAATTTCATAGCAGAGAGGATTTAGAGTCTATCCAAGAAAGAACAGCCTCACAACCAGGATTGAAATCTATTAGAGAAACTAAACCTCATCTCTCAATTGATGCTTAGACACTACAGGACTTAGTTGAGATTTGATTTGCTGCATGACGTTGGCATTTGTAGGCAGTCCGAGGGTTCCACTGCTCCCAGATTACTCCCACTCTGCCCGTCCACCTGGGTTCCCCTGGAACGGAGTATGCCCTGGGCCTGCCAGCTGGTACCTTTCCCGCATAGTGGATGATGGAGAACTCGGTTTTATCTTTGAGTTGCTTGGGCTTCTGGAACTTGGGGTGGTTGCCCTGTTCAGTGCACAGCTTTTCCACAAAAGACTTGTCAGTGGCTTTGGGGAACCAGCACTCCTCATCCAGCAGGGCCAGCACACCAGGAGGGTTGTTCTGTGGAAGACAAGCCAGGAAGGGACCCATTGAGACCAGAGGCTCCTCTGGGCTTTAGGCTCACCAGGAAAAGCCCGCCACCAAAAGTATATTGACATCCCTAGGCTGTTACCCACATCTAAAATGTGCTGTTGTCCCCATTACCACAGCTCCCAGAATCCTGAATACCCTGAGGCCAATGAATAGAATGGAATGGGGGTGGGGTGGGGTTAGAAGGCCGACATCAACCAACCCCGAAATGTGTATGGCTGCCCCCTTGTGGGCAACACAGAGCACCACAAGGTTGTGAATCTTGAGAATTTGTTGCTTTGTTTCCTTATAAATTCACCTATAATTTCTTTGTAAAGCACTTCCTTGTGGCTGGGAGGGTCTGCCTAGAACATCGCCAAATTTGCACATTCCATTCACCCTGATGGAATAGCCTTCCCTTTTGGACTCAACCCGGAAGCTTGCGGACTGCTCCGTCCAAAGCTGAGCTTCCTAAGTCACTTTCCATGGTGGCCTGATGAGAAGTTTCAGTTGCATAGTTTGTCTGGTTTCACAGTCTCTTCCTCCAAGAGAGCATGGCTTGAGTCTGTCTCATTCACAGTTACATCCCCAGTCCTTAAGGAAGGAGCCTAACTTACAGTAGATGCTCAGCAAATTTTTGCTCAACGAATGAGGTTGGCAGTGCACCACTGTAAACCTAGCACCCTGGGAGGCTGAGGCAAGAGGATTGCAAGTTTGAACCCAGCTGGGAGACCTAGCAATTTAGCAAGACTTTGTCTCAAAACAAACAAACAAAAAATAAAAATAAAAAAGGGTTGGGGATGTAGCTCAGGGCTAGGTTCTATACTACAGGCTCTAGGTTAAATACTACAAAATAATCATCACCTGTCTACCATTAATTATTCACATACTATAGTGAGTTTGGGATATATCAGAAAATAAAACAGTCTTTGGGAGGGAATGAACGGGAGAGGAGAAGGAAAAGGAAAAGAAGCGAAGGAAGAAAATGAGGAAAACAGAATAAAAAATACTTTTAGGATAATGCAAATGTGAGCTTACAAAGTCACAGTTTACAGCTTTTTAGGTCTTGGAGCTGAGTTGCAGAGCACGCACAGAGGCGGTGGCTCTGCGTGCGTCCTAGCCAGGCAGCGCATGCGCGCTACCACCACCCACCCACCGTCCCTCACCGGGCGCTCGATGAGCTCGATGCAGGGTTGCAGGTCGAGGCCGAAGTCGATGAAGTTCCACTCGATGCCCTCCCGCTGGTACTCCTCCTGCTCCAGGATGAACATGGTGTGGTTGAACAGCTGCTGCAGCTTCTCGTTGGTGTAGTTGATGCACAGTTGCTCGAAGGAGTTCACCTGCACGCGCGACATGGGCTGGGTGAGCACCTGGCAGGCGCCAGTCAGAGGGCTGTTCTGTATCTGAGCACCTGCCCAGGGGCCCCAGGAAGCGCCTGGCAAGAGCCACGTGGGCCACTCCCTGGTCTCACAGAGAGCTGTGCCGGACTGACCATGGACCTTTCACAGAGAGGAAAAGGAGGCTCAGGGACAGAGAAATTCTGCTGTAGACGTCTTTTGCATATACATCACTCCTGGACTTTCTCTTCCTCTGACATTTTTCTCCGAAGTGTGACGTAGTAAACAGCTACGCTACATGAAATACTGCACGAGCTTGAAGACAGTACTTGGCTTGGAAGTGACCAAGTAACTTGGAGTCGGTGGGACTCCTAATTCAAGATTTTGGTTGGAATTGTTAGGGGGAAAATGTCCCTTTTTTCCTGCCAGCATCACTGGGAGACTTTTTGGAGCTGTGGCAAGCCTCTTGCCACCATGAAGAGACAGCCACTTGAGGATGGAGCCAATATGGGGAGGCAAAAGAGAAATGATAGATTAGATCTTGTCTCTAAGAGCCAGCAGTTCCTCCGCTGTCTCAGTCACACAGATCGATACATTCCAATTGGATTTTTGTCTCTCCCATGCTCAAGTTTCTAACCTTAACTAAATAGCTTCCTACTCTAAAGTAGCCAACTGCACACTTTTCTCCATAATATAATGATTTCTGTAAGCAGAAGCCCCATCAGAGGACCATAATTATAGCTGTCATGATCTCACCAAGCTTACCTCAAAGATCTCAAATCCAGCAATATCTAGGATGCCCAGGAAGGAAGCTCCTTGCCGATGGGTCTTGTCCAGGGCTTTGTTGACGCGGCTGAGTATCCAGCGGAAAAGGCGTTCATAGGTGGCCTTGGCCAAAGCCTCTATAGCAAAGTCAGCCTGCAGTGGTAGCGACGTCACACAGTTATTCCCAGCAAGCTGTATTTGTGCATGAGCAGGCTGGAGGTTTGGGTTTTTCTTCTCCCCCTACCTTTAATCACTCCTTTAAAAAGTAGATCCCCTCTACAGCCCAAGGATAAACAGTTAAACTGGTCAGACCTAAGGAATGAGTGTGTAGATAATGGACTATCCCCAGGCAGGGGGACTCTGGGAGCTGTTACCTCCCAGGATCGTGTAGGGGCAGTCAGTCATTTCCACAGATGAATCTCTAAGGTCAGACCTTGTACTGATAACTAAAATACCAAAGTAAGGTCACGAATAAGGGACTTTGCTGTTCTTGTTTAGCAGTGTGTCCTTAAAGCCTGACATGGGACTGAGAATATTCTATTACTGGATGGATGAGGGTTAAAGACAAAATGGATGAATAAATAGGGGGAAGGTAGATATGTGGATGAGTGAATGGATGAATAGTGGACGGGTGGAGGGATGGATGGATAGATGGATGGATGGTTGCATGGGTGGATGGGTGAATAGATGGATAAGGGGACAGATGACATTGGATAGATGTTGGCTGTGTATGGTTGGGTGGATGAGTGGGTGGGTGGATGGAGGGATGATGATGGATCCGTTGATGAACTGATTGATGGGAGGATAGGCGGGTGTGTGATTAGATGGGTAGATAGATAGATGGATGATGCATGGATGGATGGACAAGTGGATGGTTGGATGGAACATCCTACTGGAATACGTGGCAAAAGCATTATTACCTGCTCCTTTGTCTGAGCTTTCTGTACCACATCCCGTCCAACTTTGATACGTGGGGTTAGAATAGATCTGGTAAAATCTGTCACATTAATTCCCACAAGGTGGCAAACTTTCTGAGCAGCTAGAAGAGAAAAGAGGCATCTTGAGTGCACCACAAAAGAGAAGGCCCATAAAGGAAGGCACCCTAGTCCATGGACATGTGTGGTCCGTGCACCCATGGGTGCTCTTGGAGAAGGGAGGCTTAGGGTGGTGAACCCAGCATGAGTGTGGTCTAAAGACCACAGTCACTAGTGACATCACCCTTAGTTTCTGTTAAGAGGCAATGCCATGGGGGCCCGGAAGTATGCCTCAATGTGGGGCTCAGGGTCAGGAAGATCTAGGTACCAGTGCTGGCTCCAAATCATGTGACTATAGCTAAGGTATTTGATGTCCTGACGTCTTGTTTTCCTTGGCTTTATGAGTCAGCAGTTGGATACCTCATCAACTGGATTAGGTGAGGAAAGGCATGTAGAGGGCTTGACGTAGCAATTATTCAGTAAATGTCTGCTTCATTGATCTAGGACATGCGTGTCAGCAGTGTGTATGGGAGTGTGTGGGAACTGAATGAAATGGAGTCCTGGATAGCAGTCACGGGGAAAGACTCCTCTCTCTCTCTCTCTCTCTCTCTCTCTCTCTCTCTCTCTTTCTTAGCTGGAGGTGATTATGTCCCCATAGGACACTTGGCCCTGTCTGGAGTCATTCTTGGTTGTCACACTGGGAGTGAGTATAGCTGAGGAATGACCTAGACAATGACGAGTATTGACGGAAAAGCACAAGGCGCAGCTTTGTGCAATTGCAAGCGCATCTACGTGGGTCAGACACCGATCTGTGAGCGTGTAAAAGCAGACCGGAAGGGGATGGAATAAAATACAGTTTTGGTTGCCAGCTGATACAGGTACAGGCAAGAGAAGGAACCCAGCTGGAGAACAAGGGGGCAGAACGTCACCTACTCTGTCACATTTTCCTTTTAAAGATGAATCACCCTACCCTAACCCTATTTAAACATGAATAACCCAAATCCTAACCCTAAATATATTCCCAAACACCAGGTATGGATAAAGGACACATGGGTTGTTATAATATTGTATATTTTTATGCATTCAAAACTTTTTTTAAAAACCCTCCATCAGCTGTTTTTTGAACGTGAGGATTACTGGTGTTGCACAGCAGCTTGCACTTGCATAGTGGACATAAAAGTGAGTTTAGACTGTCCTTTCCCATCACTCCTTTCCCTGCAGGTCTCTCCTGAGAGTTGACCATTACCTTCCATAGCAGGGGAGTGTAACAGACAAGGAAGGTCTAATGGGTGAGCCGTGAAGACTGAGACAAACAGCACAACGATGTCCAGGCTGATGGCTCGGGCCACAGTGGATAAGAGCTGGTGGACCGGAACCCTACAATGGCCAGTGACCTTCTCAGAACACAAAATACTAGTTATTAGCAGGTAGGGTTGTCAGGCTGGGGATGAGGGGCAATATCCCTAATTAAATGTACATTTCAGATAATGAAGAATACTTCTTTAGTATAATTCTAACCCAGTATGCTATGGAAATAATTTGTAATAAAAAATATCTGTTGCTGATCTGAAACTCACACTTAACTGGACCTCCTGAACCTTAGCGCATTTGAAGGAACCTGAGCTCTGTTTTTTTTTTTAAATTTAGTTTTTGTGCCAAGGATTGAACTCACAACCTCACGCTGGCCAGGCAGGTGCTTATGCCATGGAGCTAAATCCCTGGCCCTCAAGCTCTGTTTCCCAATAAGACCATACGTGCCATAAGAAGGACCAGTCCTGGTGTATGCCTGTAATCCTGGCACTCTGGGAAGCTGAGGTAGGAGGATCACAAGTTCAAGCCTGGTCTGGGCAAAATTTAGCAAAATCTTGTCTCAAAATTTAAAAAAAAATTTTAAAAAGGTTGAGATGTAGCACAGTGCTAAGACCTCAGGTTTAATTCCAAGTACTGGCAAAAGGAAAACAAATGTAAAAAGGAATAATCTTGCTTCCTGCTGTTGCCAATACCTGATGTACAGTAGGCGCTCAAGAAATACTGAAGCCAGTTGTAGTGATGCATGCCTGCGATCCCAGCACTCTGGGAGGGTGAGGCAGGAGGACCTCAGGTCCAAGCTCAGCCTGGACCACTGAATCACTTAGTGGGACCCAATCTCAAAATAAAAAATAAAAAAAAAGAGCTAGGGATGTAGCTCAATGTGAAGGCCTGAGATTCAGTCCCCAGCATCGGGAGCAGAGGAACGAAGACTTGTTTAACAAGCAAATGTGTGGAGGGTTTTAGAAGAGACAAACCCTAACAGTGGTGGCAAACCTATGACACCCTAGCGTGGTGGGCTGTTTCTATCATCGAAAGATCTCAAAGGTTCCCCATCACGGAACCCTAAGGATCTGTCTACCCTATATCACTGCTTTGAGAACTTTCAGTAGTGAAGTTTGAAAAAAGAGCAAAATCAATGATGAAAACCTAGTCCAGTTACCAGTATCACAGACACCCTCACCCAGAGATGTGTGAACCCCCATTCCACAGGGCATGTGTGCCCAGACCTCCAGTGGGTGTCCGAAGTTATAGAGGGTACAGAACTTTATACATACTGCTTAATTATCAGTTAGGCACAGAAAAAGAATAGCAACATTAATTTATAATTAGCTAGAACCATTGTAACAATATATTGCATCAATGTGGATAAGGGAGACATTCACCAATGCCAGAATGTGAGTCTCCTCCCATTCCAAAGCCATCAGTTATCAGGAATAGGTGGCAGATACCTGTGTTATCTGGCATGGATGCTTGGTCTGTATTTCTTTCCTTCTTGAAGACGATATTTCCCAGCTGGAGGACAGAGGACACCACCTTCAATATGGCTGCAGTGGGGAGAGAAGAGAAGACCGGCGGTGTCAACACTGTCTAGAGCTGATGCAGGCTATAGTGGCCGAATGGAACAGCTGTGTCAGACAGTACATGACCTATAGAGGCCAAATATTTGCTGTCTGGCCTTACAAGGGATGTTTACTAATTCTGCTACAGAGCAACATGAATGAATGACTTGCAACTGCAGAGAACACTCTCGACAGCTCACAGACATGAATACCACACCAAAGGTACCAGACACAAGCAAGAAGAGACTGCATAGGTCCGATTATAGAAAACTCAAGAACAGGCAGAACTCCTGTTGCTAGAAGACAGGTAACTGTTATGCTGGGGTGGGGGGGGGGACTTCTGGGGACTGAAGACCTCCTACCCAAACAGGCAGTAGTTCATGGGTATGTTCAATTTATAAAAATTCCCTGCATGCTTCAGTTGGGACAGCGTATATCACATGTCACTAAAGGTTGAAAAAATTCTTGTGTTTAATACACTTCACTGGATATACAGATTGCTCATGAGCACTGATGAGTTAAGGGGTGGCTGGAGGATGTGGGGAGGGAAGGTGGTCCGATAGGTGGAGGGTGGGAGACTGATGAATGTGAATGTTTGGCATAGGTGAATGCAGAGACAAATCGCCCAGAGTTCTGGTCTGCGAGACACCACTGTGTCCCAGAACAACCCTAGCTGGTTTCCCATCAGCCAGGGCTTATACGGACCTTCATAAGAGCTATCCCCCCCCCCACGGGGTCCCAGGTCTAGCTCAGCACAGAGCACCCCGATGCGCACCTCCCCATACTTCCTGTCACCTTCCCCATTAAAAGTTCAGGCAGCTGCTGGTGACAGGACATGGCTAGGACAATTTAACAATAACACCTGGGAAGAGGGCTTTGTAAGCTATCAGGTTCTGAGCTTATGGTTTTGTTGTTGTTTTTTTGTCTTCGTGCTTGTGGTTTTTAAAGTTCAAATACAACCTAGGGATCGCTGTAAGGCCTGCAGAACCCAGGAGAGAAGCCTAATTCAGTTTTTTTTTTTTTTTATCTTGGCATTATTGAAATTTAAGGCCAGAACATGCTTTGTCCTGTGCAGCATGTCACATGCTTAATGGCATTTCTGACCTTCTACCACTAGGTGGCAGTAGTGTTCTTTTTCCAGACCTAGAAGAAAAAGGGAAAAAGTCTCCACTAGTTGAAATGGGCAGAGCAGACTCATAGTAACTCTGGGATCCCGACCACAACTCAGCCTGAATGGAGTGTGACTCTTACTGTTGCCACAGGACAGATGAGTCCAGTGCTGCTGGAATTTCTCACGTTTCCAATGATGGAAGAAATGTAGTTTTATGTGAAATCTACCCATGTTTAAACATTGAGGGTCAATTTTAAAAGTTTCGGAGGCTGTGGTGGCCAAAACTTCCCTCCTGTTGAATCAGAAGCCAATGTCTAGTGCTTGATGGTACAGTGCCTGTTATCACAGAAATGACCACAGATTGGTAAGCCTACCCAGGTAACAGAGATAAACTGACACAAAGAGATACTGACAGCAAAGGGCTAATTAGAAAGGGCCACGTGAGAAGCCAAGGTGGCGATGGCTGGCAGCTAGTGCAGGTTAGATAGTCCTGGGCTCAAAGCCCATCTTCGCCCTGCTGAGCTTCAGATGCCCTCTCTGCAAAATGGAGATGGCAACAGCATAGTTACTCCACAAAGTTAATGTCAGGGGAGACGATGTTTAACTAAGGGGCGTGGCCTGTGATGGCACAAAATGTCAGCCACCTGTAGAGGGCAGAATGTGGGGGGGGGTCCCCCAAGACATGTCCACCTAGAACCTGTGAATGTGATCTCACTTGAGAGTCTTTTTAAATGTAACCAGGAGAAGGCTCTCAAGGTGAGGTCATCTCACATTACCTAGAGGGCCCTGAATTCAGTGCCAAGTGTGCTTAGATGAAAGAGAAAACTAACAGGGAGGTAGGCTATGGGACAGGAAGCAGAGGTCAGAGTGCTACAGCCATGAGCCAAAGAATACAGAGAATGAGCTCGGCGGGGCAGAGGCGTGTCAGGGACCTCTCAAGGGAACCAGGCCTCCCGTACTCTGACCTCAGCCCTTTGGCTCCAGACCCGGTGACTTACATTTCTGATGTTTTAAGCCACCAAGTTTGTAGTTATTAATCACAGTGGCCTCAGGAAACAAATCTACCTCGCTGATGCTGAGGAATGGAAGTAGGGTTTTGCAGCATGGACACATAGCCTAGGAGGTACAAGACTGAGGTGAACGGCTTTTAAACAATCTTAATAGCTAGGAATTTACTCTAAGTTATTAGAATCAGTCTAACCAGAGCATAACATTAGTGCTTTTATAGAAACTGTTTAAGACAAAGGGCTATTGAAATCACCCTGCACATAAAAACATTCAGCCAATAATAGTACGTGTAGAACCTGGGAGAGGTGTCAGGGACACGAGCTCCACGCCTGAATGCTGGAGCTTGGCACAGGACCTCAGATCCTGGCCCTGTTCGGGGCAGCTGTGTCACCTCAAATTGGGTCTGAGCCTCTCTGGGTTTCTCTCACCATCAGACCACTCAGGCACATATCTATCCTATAGGATTGTCCCAAGGGCTAACCTACACCCAGGTAGTGCTCAATAAATAGTCATTACCGCTCTGTCATTGTTTTGTTTTGTTTTTTTAATTTTTATTTTTTAATGGTACTAGGAATTGATCTTACGAGAACTGATCTCATGACCTTGCATTGCCAGGCAGACACTGTGCTGCTGAGCTCACTGCCCAGCTCTCCTCCCTGTTACATGTTTCCAGTCCTAAGCTTTGGTCTCTGGACCTGGTGAGTTCCTTTCCTTTCCTTTCCTCTCCTTTCCTCAGAAGTCTCTGAAGTTCCCTGGGCTTTGGTGGCTCTGCCGCTCTTCCATGAGAGCAGAACTTGCTGGGGCCGGGAAACCCTGGTCCCCTGGGACCGCATGATGCTCCGGCCTGGGGCTGACTCCTGCCTTCTCTGGCCCCCAGCTGCCAGTCCAGTCTGGGATTTGCAGCCAGGCTCCGCAGGCACAGGGCTCTCAGTCTGTCCTGTGGGCACTGGTCACCCACACAGGATCTGAATGCCGCTTCTCTCTATGTCCTACCTGCTCCATTACTGTTTTTTCTTTAAATTCACTTCCACCAGCTCCTTACATTTATTTATAGAAAACTTGATCTTAAGTGAAACGTCAGCGTTACTTGCTCAAAATAGAGGTAGCTATAAAAATGCTGGGAAAACAAGCAAAACATTTTAGGCCACTGCTTGGTCATGGTCAAGTTCCTGGGCCTGGGACCTGTTGCCTCTCTGTGGTTTGAAGGGAGATTAGCAAGTGTCAGAGAGGAGCTGCAGACCTATGAAGCACCAGACTGCCACATTCCCTGTGAAATCTATCCCAAAAAACCCAAAAAAGCAGCTGAAAAAGGAGGCTTGTCTCAGGGTGGGATTTGACATCTCTGCCTACCCAGCAATGAGAATTGTGCTTATTTCCTTCTAACATGAGTTTCCGTCTGGCCAGGACACAGGTTATAAAAGGTTTCTGAAGGATTAAAAACTCCCGTTCCTGTGCCAGTCATGTTGGCACACACACCTGTACCAACACTCAGAAGGCTGAGGCAGGAGAATCGTGCCTGAACTATACAGGGAGATCCTGTCTCAAAACAAAACCCAAACCAAAAAATATTCCCTTCCCACAGACAAAAGCAGGGGTTTGGGAGTCCTGGACACCCAAATATAAGCTCTAGATCTAATATCAACTTGCCGTGTGTCCCGGGGTAAATTCCTTCACTTCTTTGTGCCTCCATTTGTCCATTTACAGACTGAGATTAACAACAGATGTCTCCCAGCAGTGCTGAGAGAGTAAATAAAGCTTATAAAGCATTTAGCATATTACTTGTCACCTACTGTCTCTGTTTTAAACATATTTTAAGCATTTCTAATGCTTTTCCAAAAAATTCCAATTGTCTTCATGAAGACAAGAGTTTAACAAATCCTTTACCAATCAACATTTTAGTTTGTTCCAGTTTTGTACTATTTAAATAAAACTGCACTGAACATCATGGTATCTTAAGGGGGGAAATGATTCAGCACATGCCTGGCACACAGCAAGCACGAAAGCATTTTATTTGTAGTTTTTAAAAAGCAAGATTGGAGGCAAAGATTGGGACCTGTGTCCCAAATGAAATGAATCATACTTGTGGAGTCCATGGCATTGGAGTCTGGACACAGGACCCTGGCCAGAAGCCACAGGCGCCAGCCGTCCATCAACTGAGCCACAGAACCTTCTTGCCCTGGGCTCCAGGTTATCACTGGGGAGCTGCCCCCTCCCCTTGCAATGCATTTCAGCAACTAGCGATGTCCTAGTGCTGCAGAGGGCCGTGGGAAGGGAGAGAAACGTTCCACAATCTTGCCCTCCGCTCCCAAAAGACATTAACTTTGAACACTGTGGCACATCTGATCCTGGAGCAAAAGTGTTTTCGGGAGCAGTGTTGGGACCAAGAATCTCCCTCTGAGCTATTCCCTTGTTTTCAGGCCAAAGGTCCCTTGTTTCTGATGAAGCTGCCATTGCCACCTGGAGTTCCAAGGCTCATTCCTAGAGCTCTCCACCTACCCTCACCAAGCTTGCCACAACCTGAGCAGCTCAGGACCCTGCACATCAGCCGCGGCCAGGGCTCTCCACTGAGGGACCCAGGCAGGGGATCCACTCTGCTCTTTGGGCATAAATCCAAAGGATGCACAGATTTCAATGCAGCTGTCAAAAAACAGCGTGTGTAGGGCCTGGGAGTTAGAGGAACAGAGGACAAAAGCAACACAAAACAAACAAACAAACGAAAAGCATCAGACTCCAAAGCAACCTGAGCCCCTAGAGCCTACTGTACTTGAACCAGTATCCCTGGATGTTTTGCATTATGAATGAATGGTTTTCCTTCTTGCCTGAGCCAATTTGGGATCCTGGCAACTGAAAAAGCCCTAATTAGTCACTTTTCTAGAAAGTTAGTAAGCCACCCACAGTAGAATTGGTTTTCCCTCTGCTTTTCTTTTTAGGAAACAGGATCCAGAGCAGAGATCTGTCCTGACCACAGGAGAGCCCAATGCATCCCAGCGTGTAGCAAACAGGAAATCGGGTCTCCCAGACCGTGTGAAACCTACACAGCTGCTCTTCCTCGCTGAAGCCCATGATGGACATGGCCTCCAGCGTTTCCTGGAACATCTCGTCATCCTGGGCGGCCGGGATGGGCACGAAGCCATTGGAGAGAAATGTGTAGTTGCTGAAGCCTTCCAGGAGCAGGTCATCTAGCAGAGGAAGAGAGGGAAGTGGTCAGTGAGACACATTTCTGCTTCCTGTAGGAGACAGGGGCTGGACCAGTACAATTCTTTCCCTTTCTCAAGACTTAGTTTAAAGCCTTCCTCTTACATTATTCCATTGTTGGCCTCACTGGCCATTGCTGGCCCCGTACAGTAATGTGGGCTGGGCACTGCTCCAGGGTGTCTGGCAGGTAAAATCCAACTTTATCCTCCTATGTAAGCTACACTCCATGACACAGGGTCACATCTACCCAGTGGAAAGGGGCCCTTCATTCCTACTTTCCCAAAGGCCTTAGCTTCAGGAGCAAACCTGTCAAAGCTCATCTATCATAATAATAATACTAATTATTATTATTATTATCTACTTTAGACAGGGTTTCACTAGGTCCAGGCTGGCCTCGAACTCACAGCAACTCTTCTGCCTCAGCTTCCTGAGTGCTAGATCCCTTATTATTATTAAATAGACATTTGTTATATTTTTATCAAAAATCTTATACATACATGAATTTAATGAATCAATTATTACCAAAAGGTTTATGTCTTTCCAAATCATATTCCTTCTTCAGTTATTATTTTAGTCTATAATAACTACTTTTTAATCTCTTTTAGCTATTATTTTTGTTAGTTACCACTGTCTTCATATATAGTAGGTTACTATTATACTAGTACATATACAATAATGCTACACATATGTAATGTACTATACTATATATAATATACTATACATACCTATGTACTACATTTGAATAGTATATTATAATATATATATACAATTATATTTAATTGACTGTTGCCGAGTGTATCAAATTTAGGCATTATCGATGGACTTTCAGTTTTGTGAATGACGATTTAGCTCTTGATAACCTTCCCTTTTCTCTAATTATTTCAATTTGAATCAGTAGGTAAGTCTTATACCCATGGTTAGCAAATGTGGCCCATTGGTTATGTTGTCAATAAAGTTTTATTGAGACACAGTCACTCCCATTTCCCTGTCTGCCTTCATGTTAGAAGGGCAGAGTTGAATAGTTGTAATGGATAATACAGAGTTCTAAGAGCTTAAAATGTTTACTCCCTGGCTCTTTAGCAAAACAATTTGCTTATAAACTCTTTGTTTATATTATACCTATTAAAACTTGTGCTCTGTACGGTCATGTTCTGCAGTTACATCTACTTTGTTATGGTTTAATACTCTTTCCCCCCAAAACATTTAGAGTTACTTTTGTTTCTCCTATCTTACTTGATTTCATTATTCCTTCAATACACTGAATTTCCTCTTCCAACCATCTTTAATTAGGCTGGATTACAAACACTCTTGGAGAGACATCAATAAGAAACTTTTCTTTTTTAAACCAAGGTCTTTTATGGGTCAAGTCACTTGAGAATTACTTGGTAAATCTGAGATTAAATTGACCAAAGGCACATTATAACTCCAGCTTTTGGGTTAAGTGAAAGCCTAAGTCAAGTCACAAGGATTTGGGTCTTTACCAAGGCTCCATTATCCATAATATGGGTAGATTTACAAATATTTTATTCTAAGAACCAAGGCGCTTCTCAGGTCTATCATGAAGAATACCACGGCCCCAGGAATTTTACCCATTGCCTTACCCTTGCCCAATTTCCAGAAGATCAGACACAGCACAAAACTGAATCCAAGTCAAGAGACAACCAAACTCCTGACTTTGGTACCAAGTAGAGGAAAAAAAAAGACCAATTTACCATATTTACTGATGTATAACACCCACTCAACATCTTTTGTTTTTTTTGGTACTGGGGATCAAACTCAGGACCTTGCACTTGCCAGGCTGGCACTTTGCTACTGAGCTAAATCCCCAGCCCTCGACATCTTCTTTTTTCTAAGATTGCTCTACTTCATACTTGAAAGCCAAGCACCAAGGAGATTTAAATAAAAACTAACACCACCCCCCTCAAGATAGGGCTCTGCAACAGCCCCTACAGCCAAGATGGGAGGTCACACATCGTTTCTGTAATCTTCCTAAACAAAATAACTCTGGGCCACAAAACTGACATGAAGCAAAGTATATATTGTTCTCATACATTTTTAGACTTAGATTTATTGCTAGAAGCAGGCTCTACTACATACCTATCTTTAAGGAGGCATTGAGTTTTTCAGCTATGTGTTTTGCATATTCTTTTAAGAAATTACTATGTAACAAGAAGTTATAGTTCTTTACTGTAACTGTATTTCATTTATATAAAGTATATGCTTCCTTTATATGAAAAAAATTTTTTTGTACAACAGAGACCCACAAACCTCGCACACTGCCTGTTTTAGTAAATGAAGGTGTACCAAAGAGCAGCGTCCTACACCGGTTTGTGTATTGCCTGTGGCTGCCTTTGCATGACAATTTGGAGGTGAGCAGTTGTGACAGAAACTGAAAGATCTGGGTTTGCCGAGCTGGGAGAGTGGCAGAGTTGAAGAGTCCTTGCCTAGCTTGAGCCAGGGCTTGGTGTAGCACCATAAAAAAAGAAAAAGCTTGTTGGCCTCTTACAAAGACCATTTCAAAGTCATCTTCAAAACATTTGCCATAAAGAATCCTTAATTCCACTAATCTTTCAAAATTCTTATAAAATTAAAATGCATCTTACATACTTGCAAGTCTGACACATGTATGACAATTGTTTTTCTGCCTTCTTCCAAGGCACAGACTGTGTCTAACTGGATTAATGATCTAATGTCTCACTGGGGTTGATATCTACTATGTCACACAGTAGGTGTTCAGTAAACGAGGACAAACAAAGACCACACTCATGCACCAGAAGGAGATGAGGAGGTGTGCACCTGCCATCCACAGACAGTGCTTTCTGTCGCCTACCCCAGCCCTGGTGGAGGAATGCAGCCCTGCACCCCCTCCCCCCAGTCAAGGATCATGGCTAGGTGCTCACTTTTCATCTTCTCCTTGGCTCCTGCAATCAGATAGTAAAAGATGTGGAATGTCCTCTCCTCCCTGGCTTGGCGAATCGCCCGAGACTTCTCCAGCAGATCTGGTGTGGAAGGAGTTAAGGGTGCTGAGATACTGCCAGTGTTCAGCTCTCAGAAACCTAACCTCTTCCTCTACCCCGGGTGCCAGCTGTGGAAGAAGCCACGTCCAGGACCCAGGCAAGGCACGATGGAGAGGTCTGGAGAGTTTAGAGCTGGGCAGGACTGGCTGTTGCATCCGATTCACACAAATTGACCATCCAGTGAGTACTGTCCCAGGAATCGGTGAATTTTGGTGATGCTTCCCACAGACACATGGAACCACTGTGGTGTTGGTAGAGACCAGACTTGGAAAGCAAGGGGACAGAATGAAAGGGAAAAGCCTAGAAAGCTGGAGAAAAAAATGCTCCTAGGATGAAGGGCGGCAGTGGGGACCAGGGAAGGACATGTTTTCTCAGTGGCCACCACATCTTTGCCTCCTCTCTACAATGGGCTGTCTCGAAACAGGAGAGGAAATAAGGACAGCCTGTCTGGCCTGTTCCCCTTGGAGCTCAGTGCTCGATATGCACCATCTCAAGTCAGTCCCGTCAACTGTGCTAGGAAGGAAGCGCAAGGGTCAGGTGTGCTTTCAACACAAGGAGACTGAGGCTCAGAGATGTGAAATCATTTCTCAAGATCCCACAGCCTGGGAGTACTTAGCAAAACCTCCTCCACCTTTCCTGTTCCAAAACAGGAAGGAAATTACTCAATCACAGGTGAGCTACAGGGTGGGGAAGAAGCAGCTGGTGGGGGCATCAGGCTCAAAACTAAACGGGACCCTTTGGGATGGCGGCAGGCTCATCTATGCCAACCTCATCCTCTCTAAGCCCTAAAACGGACTAGCAGTACCCAGCCTGCTCCAGCCCACTTCTGACCCAGAAGGCAGAAATTCTGACTTTCCCAAGGTGCAGGGCTCTGCTGGGCTCCATCCAGAGCTCAGGATTCAGCCAGTCTGGGGCAGAGCCTGAGATGTATGTTTCTAACCAGTGACAGGGATCCTGGCACTGCAGGTCTGAGAAAACACTCTGAGAATCAATGATCTCAAAGGAAAATGCTGCATCCAGAAGGCCAGGCCAGGCCTGAGGATTGTAGCAAATACAACAAAGGAACAGGTAAGAGTGTCTGCTGGGCCCACTGGACACTAGGTCCTTGGCTTGGCCAGTCCTGGCTAGGAGGGCAGGATGTGCAGCTCTGGCAAAAGCACCTCATCTCAAACGGTGCTTAGGCAGGAGCAAATCTGAGCTCAGAGAGGCTGAGTGACTTGTCCAAGCCCCACAGCTAACAGAGCCGAGCTGAGAACTAGACCTAGGCCTGATTCACCCCTCAGTCCTCCTTCTGCACCAGGGCACCAAATGCAGCTGGAACGTACCCTGGCCCCATCACTGCCACACTCATGCTCCTCGAGGTGCCCTGAAAACCAGCATCTTTAAGCCTGAGGGCCGCCTGCAATGCTTCAGAGGTGAATAAATGAGCATGCCTGGGTCCAGCCCCCAAGTCTGGATCTCTCCCTGGGCTCCTCTTTACCTGCCACACTCTGGAAACAGATGCCCGAAGGGGAAGGTTCCTTTTCTACCCATTTCATAGACCACCTTGTCCTTCTTTTAAGGACAAGAAGCCTTGTGTTTGAGTTTGGACAAGACCCAGTAATGAGGAAGTAGGACCATCACACAACGCCAATGCTCTGCCAGCCCTTCCGCTGTCCCAGCATGGTGTTACACAAACTAACTCAACTAATCCACTCCCACAACGTCTCCGAGACAGGGACCATCATGACACCTGTTTCACTGCCAAGGTAGAGAGAGGCTGAGCAATTGACCCATGGTCCCCGAGCTAGGGAGAAACCAATCCAGAATCAAGAGGGCTGGTTGGGTTCAAGCATTGATGTCACCTAAATCCTAAGGCCTACAAGTGTAGAAAAAACAAGTACAAGGGTTGTTTGAGAAGAAACTCAAGAGTCTGGGGCAAGTGAATGGGTTCTGTGCCTTTCTTTTCTGGAGCCCCTCAGCCTCTGGGCAGGTGGATGTTGGTGTGGGAACCCCTGTGGCGTAGGCTCTGCCAAAGGATACACGTCTCGATGTTGGCTCCCACGATGTAGCCGGTGACGTCAAAGTTGATGCGGATGAACTTGCCCTGTGGATGGGAAAAAGAGTTCAGGGAAAAGCCAGTTATAGGCAGCCTCAGCCCGACCCTCACTACAAGCCTGCAGGGAGGGAGATGTTGGGGAACATTTTGGGTGTGTGGAGATTTCTGCCAATGTGCAGAGCCTTGCAGGTCAGCCCGCCTGAAAGAACCAACCTTGTCAGGCTGATGATCCCAGGCCTTACAGATAGACACCCTCCCAGTGCATCTCATTTGGCTTTTGTAATGACTCCAAGTCCAGCATGGCTGTTTCCTTGTTGAAGGTGAGTTGCCCTATGACACTGTTCTTCACAGGCAGAGCTGTAAGTCAAGAGCGCCCAGTGGCTTGAAGCTCCCTCCCTGCCTGATCCTGTCCAGACACACGCTGACCCTGGCATCGTCTGGCTATGGGGTAACCGTTTCCAGCTGTGGGGAACCACCTCCTGCAGGACAGTGAGCAGAAGGCCCTTGAACCACCTGCCCTAGCAGGCCTTGCCTGGCATGTCCCATGGGCAGGACAGTGCTGCATCTTTGGCCTCATTTGAGACCTGCCTTGAAGGGGACAGCTGGTCCCTTAACCTGGGCACAGAGAAGCTCCACAGCGGAGGACAGGGCTTCAGCCCACCCCATGCCTCACTTTCTCAGCAGGTGATAAAGGATCACATGCTCTGGCGCACCACGACTTCCACAGTGAGTGGTTCTCTGGTGGACATACTCCCCTAGGCTGGCTCAGGTCCCATGCAACCGTCACACTTTCCTTATCAGAAAATGAGACCAAGTGACTGGGGCAACCACATGGCTGCTGCTGCAATAGGGAGCTGCTGGGGGCTGAAACAAGCCACTGCCCCTCTCTGCTTCCTGAGGAGGTGGCCACTTTTAAGGAGGCTGTTTCATAATTTTTGTTATACTTTTACCTAAAACAGGTTATGTTTTCAGTTCAACTAATTACAAACAAGCTTTTCACATTCATGAATGTCAAGTGGGGGCATTTGAAGGGCCCAATTTCCACAAATTGTGGAAGCTGCGCATGGTGGTGCACACATATAGTCTTTGCATTCTGGCAGACTAAAGCAGATTTTAAATTCAAGCCTAGTTTAGCGAGACTGTCTCAAAAAAAAAAAAAAAAAAAAAAAAGCACTGGGGTGTAGCTCAGAGCAAAAAACCTAGGTTCAATCCCCAGTACCACAAAAAAAGAAAAAAGAAAGAGAACATTGCTCTAATGTGACTATACAACTGCGCAGCTCTGGAGAAGGCTGTTCTTGACAATTCTGGGGATCAGAGCCAGGGCCTTGTGCATGCCAGGCAAGCACTGGACCACACAGCTGCACCCTAGCCCCGATGTGTGTATTATGAATTATCTTATTTTTCCTTCAAATTACAGTCAGGGCCTCATATTAATTTGCACTAATCTGTTCTGTGGAGTAGTCAGACGTTACTTATAACTTGAATTTCAGCAAGGAGAGGGGACACGACTACTTGCTGTAACACCTGGGCCACAGGTCTCCTGGGGCTGGGAGTGCTACGTGAGTGTGCAAGGTCCAGGAGGAGGGGTGGAGTAGATGCCTCAGCAGGCAGTTCTCCATGAACCCCTTTCTGGAACAAGGGCACCCACAAAGCAGCAGAGGGTCCCCTGCCAGGGAGGTAGATGCAGCCTTGCCCCTATATTCTCTCCCTAAGAGCTTCTGGATTCTTCTACAGAGGCCTTGGCTGCTTCTGTACAGTAAAACAACTCTCGTGCATGTGTCATCAACCACTTAACAAGTTCTCTGCCCTGTTAGGCTCAAGTAAGAAGAGGAAAAGGGTGGAGCGGGAAGGAGCCTGGGAAGCTGGCAGCTGTTGCCCAATCGGCTGTCTACTCCCCTAACTAGACCACAAGCTCCGACAAGGCTCAATCACATCTAAATTGTTCACTGCGATTCTGGGAGCCCAGTGCAATGTCTGGGATACAGTAGGAGCTTAATAAAAATTAACCCAGCCCCCTCCCACAAGTGAGCAGTGTGTGCCAACCAGAGTGATTATTTATAGTTAGCTAAATATATTAGGTTTGGTGAAAGATAGATGTACATGGTATAGAGTAAGATGCTCAATTCGTGCTTTCCAAGATGAATGGGTACTAAATATATGTGTCAGGCACATAGCAGGTGCTCGGTATGTATTTGTAGAATTAACTATGAATACAAAATGCCTAACAGTGCTTGATATGCTGTAGATGCTCATTGGATAACTGGGGAGAAGGAATGAATGAGTGGCGGGAGCCCTTAGGAGACAGAAGTTCAGGACGGGGTGAGGGCAAACGCTGTGGTGACGTCCACCTCTCCCTTCAGGTTCAGATTCCCCAGCACACACACACACAGTCTGCATTCTCAGGAAGGAGGTGGTACCAGGGGACCCAAACCTTTCCCAGAAACCTGTGTGGCTCTGGTACTTACGAATCGAGAGGAGTTATCGTTCTTCACTGTTTTGGCATTGCCAAAGGCCTCCAGAATCGGGTTTGCTTGTAGAAGCTGTTTTTCAAGCTCTCCCTAAAATTATTCACATCTAGTTAATTGGGGAAACAACCCCAGCCCTAACAGTTCACTGCAGAGTGAACTGACAGACTCCGCCCTTAAGCCACAGTTTTCTCCTACCTTCTATCCTTCCCTGCAAACCCTGATGGAAATGTTGAAGCTTATTGGGTGATTTCAAAGAGCTTTCTGACAACTAGGATAATTATTCCCGAGGAAGGATGCTTTCAAAAACAAGGGCCTGCCCATCTATGCAACGTTATTGCCACTGAAGTCTACCACACTGCATAACACCAGGGATGTCATTTACATCCTAGTGAATGGTACCCCCGGGGTTGGCCAGTGCACAGACTGTCCTGCTGTACGTAGTCATCGTGCTGCAGCTCAAGTTTAATAAGCAGCTTTCTTCAAGCCAAGTGACTGTAATGCTTCTCCTGATTTTTTGGTGTGACTTCTCAAAGTTGTATTGTTTCCTTAGTCTTGTTTTCTGAAGCCTCTTATGGACAACTAATTGAGGAGCAACACCCACCAGGATCTTTTTAACTGATTGCAAAACTAAGCTGCAAAGCAGGTTGCTGGAGCTCCATTCATCAGGTGAAATGCAGCTGAGACAGGACACAGCTTACCGACCCCTCTGCCCCCACCCTCGCTGGGGCGCCTGCGCACAAACACGGTCACGTGATTAACGTGGCAGGAAAGGGCCAACGAGGTAAGTCAAGCCTGGAAAGTGAGGAGATGCTCTCTGCCCAGCCTGAGAACGTGGCGGCAGCTGTTGGAGCCAAGGGAGAGTGGGGTCCCCAGGTTCCTCCTTGCTCCCTTTCTTTGTTTCCCTCACAGGCAGCAGCTGGCTGCGCAGAAGCCAGAAGGGCACCCAGCAGGGAAGAGAGTGGACTCAGCTTTTTCCTGTAGCATCAGGAGGAGTTGCCCCAGGGACGGAGCTGAAAGCTCCTACTTCCCTCTGTGCATACTTATGTATTAAGTTTCGTGCCTGGTCCATTGCCCTTCCCAGAACGGAGGAGAAAGCCCCGTCTCCATGGAACTCCGGGCCTCTACCAGAATTGCCCAATGTTGGAAACCAGCAAGGAGCATCATGGGCTTTTCCTTGGCTAGCAAGAAAGGATGAAAGGAACCCCTGTGTCCATACAAACTTTGAGGTTCCAGCGTCTTCTCCGAAAAGCTCCTTCTCTAACGTGAGGATTCTAGCAAATGGGGGCTGAATGATCATCACAGAGGAGCTTTAAGCATCCTCATTTTATACCATTGAAATCATGGCTTGGAGTGACTTAGCCAAGGTCACAAGACATTAGATATCAAATGAGAACTGGATTCTCCTCTGAGCAACAATACTGCCACCCAGGGTCTTCCTCGAATGTGCTCTTTCCATGGAGACACCCTGAGAGTCTCCTCCAGGCTGCGAGCTGTGTGCGAGCCCCTTCCCTCCAGCTCTGCCTTAGAAGATGAGCTTGTACTTGCAGACCAGGTCGTGTGGCATAGCTGGGGCCTTACCGTGCCACCGAAGCTGTGTGCCGCGAGCCTAAGACTGTTCCAGAGCACTCAGCATGCAGAAGACGGACACGCACTGCACACACATGCACAGACACACAGGTGCACCGGGCAGGGCTGGGACAAGGACTAGGAGGTGGCAGGAAGGAGGGGGGAAGCATGCAATGATGTCAGTGAAGCCAGGGAAGCTTTGGGGCCTGACAGTCCTAAACCACTCGGTCAGACGGGGTGATGTCGCTAGGGCACTCTGGGCAGGGGCCCCAGAAGCAGACACGATGGGAAGGACGTCGGGGTGAGGCTGATCCTGAACTGGGGAGATCCATCCCGGACACGAGATTCTAGCAGAGGTCCTGTGGGTGACAAACGTACTCCACACCCCACCCTGGCATCCGACACCCACAGGACAGTGTTTGGCTGTGTTTGTTGACTTGGGATGTGAAACTCAGAGGCCTACACTGATCTAGGGGTGCGACAGGAACATGCAGATAGATCTAAATCCACTCCATGCCACCCGCACACACCAGGAACACTCTCAGTTACTCACGTAGGCAAGAGATGGGCCTTGCTGCGGTCAAACAGTACAGTATAAAACAAATGTCAGTGTTATTTCCAGTGCACGCTCATTGGGGGCTGGGGACATGCGGTTTCAACCCTCCCCCGAAACACCTGGACTCCCCCAGCACAGCAGCAGGCATAGACTCTGTTTCCCTTTTTTTGGTATTCTCTCCCTCTTCTAATTCCTTAGACATCCAGAAATGTCCAAGGGCTTTTGCAATGCCAGCAACCAGGGGGACATTTTTAAATAGCATTTGGGCATGTCCTGCTGAAGCATGTTCACATGCTATTTACTCTTGTGCGTGACACAGGAGGCCTTCATGAAGATAAGCCATTAGCAGTAACTATTAGTTTGTATTTTCATCATGTAGGGAAAGGCTGTGAGAGCCAGTCCCACACAATGGTGCCGTCTGTCCCCATGCAGGTTGCCTGAGAACCAGCTTGCCTGGAACGAGGGGACAGGCCAGACCTCTGGCTCCTGTGTTCGTTAGGAAAGAAAGTCCCTGAAGCTGAGACTGCCGCCCACCAGTTTCCAAGCTGGCCACTGAGACTGCACAGTCACCTCTTGGGGACTGACATGGGACACCATGCCACAGCAGAGCTCATTCTACCATCTTCCTCTCCTCAAGGCCCAGAGACAGGGCAAGACGCCCTCCTGGGACAGATGAAGTCAGGAAAGCCAAGGAGGAGAGAGCGAGGGCTCAGGAGGGATGCCCTGGAAACCCTTATTCCTGGGGGGACACTGTGAGATTACTCAGTGATTCCCTCCCTCTGCCACTTGTCCTGAAGCTCAGTGGACACAGCGGCAGCCTCTTATTCCTGGCCTTATCCCCGTGGCTTTGGCAACACAGGAAGGGCTCAGCCACAGTTACAGAAGCCACTGGGCCAGAATTCCTGTGCCGAGTGACTTCGACATCCTCCCGTCCCGGGGGATGGAGACACTGGGGAAAGAGCAAATCCAAAGTGCACCTCGGCTCAGGGAGTCCACAGAGACTCATTTAAGGTGGGGATTCCCAGTCAGGCATGACTGGCCCCACACCTTGGGTCGTCTATCTGGCAGTTTCTGGAGACATTTTCGATAGTTGTGAGAGGGGAGGAGTGCTGCCAGCATCTAGGGGGTGGAGGCCAGGGTTGCTGCTAAAAGTTCCTTGAATGTACAGGACAGTGCAGGGACAGAATGAGCTGTCTGTGCGGCCACTGCTGAGAAACCCTGATAGGAAGCCAGCATCCACTGCCATGGGAAGGCTCATTGCTGGCCTTAGGATGTGTGTCCAGCTGGATAGGAAATGCCCACCCAGCCACCTAGCCACGTGTCCTCCTGCACTGTTGGGGGCAGGCAGTGTCACCAGGCCTGAATTCTGCTTCAGTGTCCTCTTTGTACCTTGGTCAGGCCATTCTGCAGACCCACCACTCACCGTGATGCTGGTGTCCTTCTTGCCCTTGTGTGAGGAGGCCACCACAGCCAGGTACTGGATGACCTTCTTGGTGTTTTCTGTTTTGCCAGCTCCAGACTCGCCTCTGAAAGACACACGCACAGTGACCTCAGGGAACCTTGAACAGGTGTCTCCAAGGCTCACATCAGGAGCGGAGCAAAGTGATGGCATCATCACTGCCATTCCCCAGGGGGAGGAAACGGAGGCTCTTAGGAGGGGATCACTTACCCAAAGACACACAGGCAGGAGGGAGCTGAGCTGAACCTCAGACCCGGGTCTAGTACTCAACTCCTCCCAAGAGGATGAGGTAAAGGATTCAGATGAGAAAGAATGGGGCGAGAGGTAAGAGGAGCTAACTTTCACTGCAAAGAGCCAGACTTAGGTCTGTCTGGAATTGACTGCTATTAGGACATCATTAGCATGGTTAGAAATGGAGAGGCCAGGCAAAGGGCAGTATTCAAGGGAGACATAAATATCCTCAGAGCAGGATGACCTAAACTGCACTCAAGAAAAAGAACTGATTAACCCAAGCCCCTCATCCTATGGGGAATCCCCCGCCTCGAACATCAGGCGGCCAGCTAACCATCTCATTTATACACCAAAAAGAAAAACTTGAAGTTGTTCATGCTAAAGTGGGCATGACTGATAGGTGTTGTCTATCAAAAAGAATACTCCTAAGATATGTGAGTAGATTTTTGAGCAAGGTAGACTTCTTATGCTGAGATCACCCTGATGGATGGGTTCATGCAGGGGCACTGGAATGGCCCCAGCACCCTACTCCCAGGGCACAGGAAGCACTGGTCTCTGCTGAAGCTTTCCTCCCTCCTCGATCTCCTCTGTTTTCCATTTCTTTGCCTAAACTCTCCTGATTTCTGAGCTCATTTCATATTCTAAAATGTAAGAGAGTTTTTTTTAAAGTCTGCACAAGAATTCGTCGCCTCCCCCCAGGTCACCTCAAGGTTGTCTGTGCTGAACTGGTGCCACCGAGGCCAGCACACAGCCTCCGCGCTGTTTCCTAATTAGGCAATGAAGACATGGATGTTCTCTGCCAAGGGCGGGAAGAAAAGGCAAGAGAGGAGGCAGGAAGCACGCGAGCACTGGCCCGGCTGCAGGCTCACTATCCCGAGGGGTGGGCGCTGCACCGGGCTGCTGTGCAATCTCCTTCCTGCCCGCGGTCCTTGATCCTTGGTGGCACCACTGTTGCACATGGCCTTAGAGGCGACTGGTAAAAGGGGACCCACAGATGCATTACTGCATCTCTCCAGAAGTGAAAGAAAGCGAAGGCCCAAATCCCTGAATGCTTTGTTTTTTGGGTTTTGGCTTTCAGTCTTGCTGTATAGTCCAGGCTAGCCTTGAACTCACAGCGATCTTCCTGCCTCAGCTTCCAGAGTGCTGGCATTGTAGGTGTGCACTACCATGCCTGACTTGGATATTTTTTTAAAGAGGAGAATTGAGTGTGTTGAGCATCTTTACTGTTTCCCATGCATAATCTCCTTTGCGTTTCTCCTGTCTCCTAGTCCTGGAGGCAGGACTGGTCTCCTCTCCTCCTCGTTATTTTATAAGAGAACATCCAGCCAGAGTGGGCAAGCAACTTGCCCTCGGCCACACAGCGAGGCAGGGCAGAGTCAGAATTCAGTCAGGTCCCTGACCCCAGAGCCATCAGGACTCCTCCTGTGTTCCATGACATAGGCCCGGCTCTCTAGTAACCTGCTCTCTAAGGCCAGAGGGAGGGCGGGGAAGAGGAGATGGTAAGTGCTGGAACCCTGTGGTGCACTGGGATTGGCTCACTGATCTTTTCATTTAATCCTCCGGCCACCTACAGAAGGAGTTACTGATGATCCTCATCCCCCACCTGGGGAAACTGAGAGGTTGAGGTAAATCACTCCAGGCTGCCATTGCTCCTGCTATCACGCGGAAGGGGAATGGAGGCGGCTCGGGATTTACTTTGGGTGTGCTTGGGACTGCAGTGTGTATTTGACCTTCCGCTGCCTTTGCTTGATATATAAGGAGAAGAGAAAGACAGAGCAAAGTCCCAGGCTTGCTGCCCCAGCATTCTTCACGGAGTCCAGGAATTCTCGCCTTACTAGTCTCTTTGAAAATGTTACCAGGGATCAAAGATCTAAGCCAGGAGGTTGTTTACACCAGAGTCTGAATTACTTCAATCTGGCTCACGTCAAAATACTTGATAACTTCACCCAAAAATGAAAGCTCAGTTCTGATCAGAGAAAGATAAGAGTTATGAATGTAGGAAACCACCTCTGTGGGTGGCCCTGGGCCTTCGCTCTGGGACATGGTCAGGAGAGCAGCCCTTATAAGCACCGCGGGTAGAGCACTCTCTTCCTTCCAAGCACGCTGGCATCCCCGATCACTGCCACCTTCCGCTCTCTCCCCACAGTTCCCCTTTCTCCACCCTGCCTTTGGTCGCTCTCATTCCTTTTACAACAAAGATGGCAGTGGCCCGTGCCTTGCCGTGGCCTGTGAGAAGCTGGACACAGACTTTGGGAATCTGCTTCTCCCCGTGGATCATTTGGCTCAACCGTGTCCACATTTTGCTGATAAAAATAAATTGTCCTAGGAGGTTCTGCCAAGGAAAACACCCCGGCTCCGGGCACGTGGGCGTCTGAAGGTGGATGTGCTCAGGGCTGCTCTGGAAACATTAGCGTCTTGGTTTTCTGACCGTGAACTCTGGGGTAAAGGAGTTGCCCTGGCAGGGGACCCTGTGCCCCCTGCCCTGGTTCTTTGGGAACTTGGTGCCCTGCTGCCCCTTCCCAGAGGGCTGGGCTCGGCCACCCATGGCCCACTGCTGGTCCTCTCCGTCAGCCCAGCCACCCAAGGCAGCGTAACCCCACCGCGCTCATATGCGACCTGCACGGTCTGCCGGGGACTGCCCCCGGAAGATCTGTGCTTGATTTAATGCTCTGACATTGTCATCTGGAAATTCTTACTAAGTTTTCAACAGTGGGCTCTCTATTATGGAGCTGCTCTGGACTCCCAGGGCCGAGCACTCCCTACTGTAAGTCCCTTGCAGCCTGTGGTCTGCCCTTGGTAAGAAAGCCATTCTGTCCCTGATTGTCATGTGGCTTCCACCCCACTAGTGCCACTAGTGTTCTCTAGTAACTGCTGCTATCCAACTCCTACACACCTGGAAAAGCCCAATTACACATTCTCTCTGGCAACAGCACACTCACTACTACCCTTCCCTAGCATTAGTTGGCAGATGGTACCATGGACTCCCAGGCCAGGCTGCCTGAGTTGAAATTCATGAAGCTACCCATGTGTCTTAAAGGTAAGTTGTTTGACCACTCTGTGCTTCAGTTATAGCTACACAATAGATAAAATAAAAACACTTTGTAGCTTGGCATGGTGGCACACATCCATAATCCCAGCACTTGGGAGGCTGAGGCAGGAGGATTGCTGTGAGTTTTAGGCCAGCCTGGGCTACAAAGTGAGTTCAAGGGCAGCCTGGACTACATAGTAAAACCTTGTCTCAAATAAACCAAAATGAAATAAAATAAAATCATTTTGTATCATTGTTTGGAGGATTAAGTGAATGAATATTCATATAATAAACACTCAGAACAGCACCTAGTACACAAGAATGCCAGCTGTAATTATTTTTATAACCACGTTTTCCCTTGGGTGTATACATTTGATTTGTATCATGATCTTCACCAGCATCCTCTCTTAAAATATAAACTATATCCTGTTTTTCCACTGTTTAACCCAGGCGTCAGGAAAGATCCAGATGGTAAATATTTTTGGCCGATGGGACATGTACACTCCGTCATGACTGCTACCCACTGCTGCCACAGAAGGGAAGCCGATGTGTGTACTAATGGACGTTCCAATAAAACTTTATTTACAAAAGGGGTGGGTGCAGATTTGGCCCACTGCTCTGGTTTGTCAAGGCCTGGTTTGAGTTGCTTGGTGCTTTCTGGTCTCTTGTAGATTAAAGTGTGAACTCCTTCCCAGAGCCCAGAGGGCCCCCCTGAGCTCCTCTCTCTGAACACAGGTTAGTATCATCCTGGGGTTTCTCAACCTGCCCAGGGCCTCCAGCTTCATAACCCTAAATGAATGAGATGCCAAAAAAAATTTAACACATCTGCAGGTGACTGTTACCCAGCCAACTGTCAGTCCCAACCCATTCTTCCTCCTATTCCCTCATTCTCCTAACACCTCAGACTTTCCTGTCAACCTCTAGGTCCTCTGACTGGATGATCGTCCCAGCCGAAAGCCAAATGAACAAGGGGAATTGAGCAGTGGTGGTTCAGGGGGACCAGGGTATCTGGGATTTCCCTCTGACAGTGGCAAATGCCTACTTACTGAGCATGGGCTGGGTGCGGGGGCCCAGCCAAGAAGGCAGGGCCAGAGCACGGACATCGCTGGTGGCCCCAGCAGTGGACCCTGCAGAGCACTTATCCCAAGGTGCTGGTGCTACCCTCAGTCCCTCACAGGCGGTCACTTGGTCCTCCATGCACCAAAGGGGGTACTGGATTGTCCCCACTTTACCGGTGGGGAAGCTGAGGCTCAGAGAGGCATGGTGACTTGTTTCTGAGCACTCACAGCTGGCCAATGATGGGATTGTGAGGTGCAGCCTGGAATCGACTCTTCATTACACCCCACTCATGGATATTTATAAAGTGAGTAGTGGATGAATATTCTCACCATGAATATTCACTGAATGATAAGTGAGCCTGGTCAGACTGGGAGCAGGGAGCTGCCACAGAGGCCAGGGCCACAGATGATGGCCTCCCAGGCTAGGGGGAGGCTGGGGAGTCAGGGTGACCCAGGAGAGAAGTGTTTTACAGCTGAGCTATCTAAGCAGATGCTGTCAGAGATGCTATCTAAGCAGATGCTCTCAAGTTTAAATAAAAATTCAGTTCCTCCGTGGCACTGGCTGCACGTCAAATACTCAGCAGCCATTGTCACAGCAGGTTCTATGGGACAGTGCCATTCTGGAGGAAGCAGCAGCTGTGATAGCATGGGTATTGGGGTGGCAGTGTTGCCCTGTTCATCCTCACAGCCCCAGCCCACACTCAGCTCAGAGAGGTCAAATGCACCCTGCAGAGCCACACAGTTGGAAGGCGTCTGTGAGGCACTCTGCCCTGCTCCCTGCTGTACCACAGAGTTCACTTGCTCGAGATGGTCACTGAGCGTCTGGTTCAGCATCTGAGCAGATGATATGGGGTTCACATGGGGGCCTGGTCCACAGAGGCTCAGTAGGCCCTGTGGACAGCAGAAAAGTGTCCCTCTCCCTAAAGACGCCCATGTCCTAATCCCCAGACTCTGTGCTCGATTTGGCAGCACATATACTAACCCCCAGACTGCGACTCTGCTAGCTTAGGAAAAAGTATTGCATCCAAGGACGGTAGGTGGTCCCAGACTGACACCACGGATGTAGCAGTGCTAACCCTGGTTCCCAGCTACTCATTACTAAGCATCGAATGCTGATTCCTCATTGTGGAAAATGAGCATTCAGCTTCCTACTTAGTCCTCTGCCCTTCCATGCAGAGCCCACTTGGACAAATATGCAGTTGTCCTTTGGTATTCAGGATGAGTGGCTCCAGGACCCCTGTGGACACCCTAATCTGCAGAAGCTCAAGTCCCTTCTATAAAATGTGCTAGCATTTGCACATAATTTTCCATGCACTGTAAAGCATTTCTTGGTTCCTTCTTGGATGTAATATGATGTAAATGCTATGGATATGTACATAGTTATTTATTTTTAGGGAATAAAGGCAAAGAAAGAAGTCTGAATATGTTCAGCAAGATGCAAGTTCTTTCAAATACTTTGAGCCTGCGGGTGGTTGAATCTGTTAATGCAGACCCCATGGGGTAGGTGAGGTCGACTCTAGTTACTCTGGTGACATTAACTCTCCAGCTTTGCATTATCACATGGTCATAAATACATTGCACATCAAAGACCCACGCCTATTGATATTCTTCCTGCTGCCTGCCCACGCATGCTTCCCCAGGAGTAGTCATTGGTTTATTATTTCCTAATTCTCCATATCAGCCCCAAACTTAAGAGTTGTCTAAATCTTCTCCCAGTACCTCTCAAGGTCCTCCTGGCATCTGTAAGCACCTGAGATGTATTTCCTGCACCTCTAGAACACCCCAGCTAGCAGATGCCAGCACTTCTGGGCACTTGATGACTGTTGCATAGAGTGAGTCTGTCTTTTCAACCCTGGGAGCTTGTGATGAGGAACGTGCTCCAGGAGGAAGCAAGAAAAGGACTCCGAGGGGAGAAAGCAGGTTCGGATTTCAACACCAGAATGCCACCGGAGTCATTAGGAGTGAAGGGTTGCCCGCTCTGTGGGAGAACTTCTACCTCCGTGTTTGGTGAGCATCCGTTTAGGGATGAGATGAGGCTTTGCATTGGACCTATGAGCAAATCAAAGATCTTCACCTCCGTGGATCCTTTAACACACTGGCTCTTGACCCCAGATAAACAGAGTGAAAGGCAGCTCCACTTACGTGCACAGAATGGACTGGTCCTCACGATCTGAAAAGAGAAAGGAAAGAAATCTGTGAGTCGAACAAGCTTTGAGCTGAGGGTCCGGACCCAGCCCCTCCTGCCTCCCACCCTTAAGTCCCTACCCTCAGCCCCACTGGGAGTGCCCTGGAGGCAGCTGGGCTCCCTGCTGGGGCATGAGTCATGACCAAGCCAGGAGGGCAGCCGCAGAGGCCCCGAGGCAGTCCCAGGAGGCTGTGCACATCTGACCCAGCTAGCTCTGGGTCCTGGAGATCCCTCACTCCCCAGTCTCGGACAGGACTCAGATTTCCCTGCCCTGAGGCTATATCCCTGTTTTGTGGCCTTGGGCAAACATTACACTTCATGCTGCGGCACGTTTATTATGGCATGGTGAACATTTCTGGTTTTTGGACATTCAGCACCAACCCTTCTCCTTCCAGGAAGCTTGTACTACGTTCCTTTCAGTGAGATTTGCCAGCATGTCCTCCCTGCCACCATGTCCAGTCTTGGTGGGCCTTCCTTTATCTCCAGAAAAGAGGTAAGTGTGTGCCTCAGGCGACATGGATCTAACTCTATGGCCTAAAACTCTGAGCTCAGTCAAAATCAGGAAGCAAAGCAGTTATATGGGCTCCCTGTGGGAGCCTCCCTGCCTACCCCACAGACCAGGCAACCCCAGTTGCTGTCATTTTAGGGGGCTGACACCCAGTCTTCCCACCCCATCTGCCAGCTCCCTGACATTTCTCCATAAATTCCCTTCCTCTTTAGGTACTCCAGTCAATGTCTGCTGTGATGGCAGCTTGGCAGGTAGAGAAGGCATCACAAGACCAAAGGATCAGAAAGATGTTACTAACCACCTTCTACTCTTAAAGTGGCCACAGCAAATGGAGTCAGGTCTGGAGCTCCTTCCCTCCCTACGAGGGTCACAGCAACAGTTACCAGCATAACTGTGAGCCAATCCTAGGAATCAGTGTTGCACTCACTGATAGGCTACACCAAAGCAGTGAGCATTTCTTTTCACCTCCTGTCCACCTCAGTATTCAGTCTTCTATAAGCATCACTTCATCAGTGATGTCCCTGGTTGTTCTCACACTGTATTTCCATTGGCAGTAGACTGGTGGGTGTTAGGTGCTTGATTATAGTTTTTGGATGGATGAGAACAGATAGATGGATAGATGGGCAGATAAATGGATAGATGGATGGGAAAATCATGAATGGGAGGATGGATGGGTGGAAGAATGAAGGATGGATGGAAGGGAACATAGAACTGAAGGGGGCAATGTCTGTGTATCCTTCAGGACAGAAGGGACAGTGGTGACCACATATAGGGATGGAGAAGATGCCACCTACCCCTTTGCCTTTGAGCTAATATATCTTAGCCATTGTTCTGAATCAGACCACAATAATCCACCTTGCTTTCTCTTCCCTTTGTTCTTCCCTTTCTTTTTGTTTTTGTGGCACTAGGGGTAGAACAGGGGGTCAGAGGTACTGGGGGCCAAGGGTGGCCCTTGAAAGAAATAGGGCCACAGGATGGTACAGGGCAGAAGGAGAGAGCATCCTTAGGCATCAGAACTCTCCATCAGCTCATGATCCTGTCTTCCAGCAGAGCTGTACTCATGTTGGCCGGACCTAAAACCCCTGAACCTTTGCCAAGATTCCCTCCGCACTTCCAGAGCCACTCAGGAGTGTGCCAGAGCCACCATCCATGTGCCCAAGACATATCTACAAGTTTTTCACCGAGCCCTAGTATCTGTGCAACAGCAGAGGCCTGGGAACTAGCTCTCCAACCTGCCTCTCGTCTGGAGCAGGGATAACCAGTCCTGCTCTTTCAATTTGTCTCTGCGACATCATGATGCATTTGGCAGACATTTAAAAGAATGAGGCAGGGAGGAGGGCAGCTCAGTGGCAGACTCTTACTAGCATGAGTGGGCGATGGGATCTACCCTCCCATTACAAAAATAAAAAGAAAGGAGGAACTTAGGCATGGAGGGAGGAAAAAGCAAGGTGGATTTTTATAGTTGGTTACAGAATGGTGTTTAAAATACATTAAACTAAAGTAAAGGGGTAGGTGGTGAGATATATGCCTCATGTTTTAAAAAAAGGGATACAAGTCAGGTGTGGTGGTGCAGATCTGAGGCAAGAGGATTTTAAGTTTGAACCCAGCCTGGGCAACTGAGGACTCAGTGAGACCCTATCTCAGAATAGAAAAAGGCTGGGAATGTAGCTCAGATCAGGGGTTGAATCCCAAATACTGCAAAAAATAAAAAAGAGCCAGATGTGGTGGCCCCACGTCTGTAATCCCAGCACTTGGGAGGCTGAGGCAGGAGGATTGTTGCAAGTTTGACACCAGCCTGGGCTACAAAAGGAGCTCAAGACCAACCTGAACTGCATAGCAAGACACAGTCTCAAAAAGATAGATAGATAGATAGATAGATAGATAGAAGATAGATAGATGAATAGAGGAAGAGATACATGGTTGTGTACTTGTATGTGCATGAAAGAGGTAGACATTCTGCTTTTGATAAGGTTATAACCTGATAGACCTATTGCAATTTGAAGTAACATAAATCGAACATGCATTTGAATCACCTAACCTACTCAGGGCCGCAGCCCAGCCACGAAGCATGTTAGAGAGCATCAGTTGTTTCCCTTGGGATTGCAGGACTGCCTGGGAGTGTGGAGCACTGCTCTCACCCAACAGCATGAATGTGAGTGAAAAGATCATAATTCCAAACTCAAAGCACACGTTCTACTCCACAGTTACACCATTCTTTTTTTTTTTTTTTTTTTGGTCCTGGAGATCAAACTCACAACCATGCACTTGCAAGGCAGGCAGGTGTTTATGCCGCAGAGCTAAATGCCTGGCCCAGTTATACCATCCTAAATCAGCCATTTAAAGCTGTGGACCACAGCTGGGGATCACAGATGGGGATCTGTGAAGCCACTCTGCATGCTGCCCGCAGTGCTGTCACTGAGGAGAGGGACTGAGAATGAGGGCAGGAAGGGCGTCCGGTTTGATGCCATCTACTCCCATACCCATTCTAGTTACGTGTCTGCTGGGACTGTATGTAATGGAGAACCTCGCCCTCATCCTGACCAAAACAACCAACACTGTTTTCAGTGATGCTGGGGATTGATGCCTCCACACCCAACAGTATGTCCATCCTTTTTTATCTTTTTAGATAAGGTTTTGATGAAACCAGCATGACTCTAAAGCTTAGAAAAGACAACACAACAGGTGCCCACACATAGTCCCTTTCGCTCCTGCCATGGCTGAGCGCTCTCTGCACCTGGGCCTCCAAGAGCATTTTTTTTTTTTTTTTTAGTACAGGGGATCGAACTCGAAACCTTGTGCTTGCCCAGCAGATGCTTGTGCTGCTGAACTTCCCTGGTCTCCAAGAGCCATTTAACTTTAGCTGCAGCCCAAGAAGTAGGCACTGGCTCTGCTTCCATTTGTCAGATAAGGAAAGCAAAGCTCACAGGTGAGTGACCTGCCTAAGTCATTATAGTGGGGTGAAGTGTGGCCTCCAAAGGATGTGTCAGCCTGGAATTGCAGAAGGTGATGTTCTTAGAATAAGGTTCGTGGGGTTGTAATGAAGGTGGCGAAATGAATTCCTATCATTTTAAGCCACCAAGCCAGTGGTTACTTGTTATAGTAGCCACAGGACACTAGCAGTCATTCACACAGCTAGTAAGTGGTAGGCTGGGATCAAACCCAGCGCCTGTCCGACTTCAAAAACTTCGATTTCACCACTGCATGATTTCACCTTTTTCAGATAACTTATTCGCATGTACTGGCGCTTTCTTCCAGGAAGAAAACAGTAAATCTTTAATCCCCCAGCACACTCTGGAGACAGGCACAAGGCAGTGTCACCCCTTACACTGCTCCTAAATCCAGCTTCCTCATACTGGAGTTGGAATATGGTCCTGCATTCTCAACTTCCACCTAGAGGGGGCATCACTCTATGCAGAGCAATCTGGGAAACAGGTTAAAAACTGATTTAGGCTGGGCAGGCAGAGGGGCGAGAGATGGAGGACCCCGGCAGAGAGACACCCCTGGGCGCACCCACACAGCGGCCACCATGTTTGGGAACACTTTTGAGGTGGGCACACTATGGGCTCTGGCTCCAGCTGTCCCCAGGAGGGAGGCAGCCTTTCCCAGAGCCATAGAGATTTCCAGGGTCAGAGGTCCCCAGGCCCCAGGAGAGGAGCAGGCTCTGTGCTGGGGGCCGCTTGAGACCTCTGGCCTGGTCCATTCTCATGGGAAACACAAATGTGGGAAGTACACAGAGCGCTGGTCACGCTGATCACACCGGTCACGCTGGTCACGGGCAGAAAGGCTCCATGTGGGGCTCTTGCCCAGCGGGCTGGGAAGGGGTCCAGGAGGCTCCCAAGCTGTGCTTGACGCCAAAGCAGAGCTCTTAGGCCTGCAAAGTAGCCTCGCCCGTTCCTGGTCTACACAGGCTGCTGCTTCCCTGTGTCCTGCCAGCTCATTCTGTCTTCATCTCAAAGCTGTTAACACAGTGCACTCAGGGTGTCTGCAGTGCCATACTAGGGCTGCTTCCATCTAGCTGCAAAGTCTTCTGCTCCCCCAAATACAATCTGGTACCCCGTTCTCTGCTACCCCTTAACCCTGGGTAACCAGCTATCTGCTTTCAGTCCTAGTGGAGTCATCTTTTGTGAGGTCTTTTGTGCCTGGCTTCTTTCACTTAGCATGTTTTGGGGTTTGTCTACACTGTAGCACGTGTCAATACTTCACTCCTTTTATGGATGAATAATATTCCACTGTATTGTTAGGTTATTTTTTTTTTTTAAATCTGTTTATCTGTAAATGAACATCTGAGTTGTTTCCACCTATTGCTACTGTGAATAGAGTTGCTGTGGACATTTTATGCAAATATTTGAGTGCCTAGTTTGCAATTCTTTGGGTGTGTACCCTAATCCATTCTTGGACATCATCTGGGGAGTCACTTCCTTGATGGTACCTTCTCTGATTCCATACCACTCTATAGATGTTGCAGGTGCCCTTCAAC